TATAAAGGAATTGTTTTTTTTTGTTGTGCTACTGTTTAAATTTTTTTTTTGTTATAATCACTTAGAATTGCTTTTAATTTTACTACTGTTGTTTGTTTCAGTTTTTTGTTTTTGTGTTTCATTAATTCATATAAATGTATATAAATTTTCCACTTTTCATACTTTTCCCTAAATACGGAGCCCAATCCGGCAACACCGCCGGCAAGCGCCTCTCATATATGACATATCCACAGACGTCATCGTCATATGGTAGATGGCGGTGGTAATAATGAAGGAAATAAGCGCCAAAAATAGTGTTTTGGAAAAAAAATCATGAAAAACGTGCTTCATCCACATTTTTTCTCATCTAAAATAAACTATCAGACTACACTCTATAAGTTTCAAGTGAAACATCAGTGAAATCCGAAGTTCTACAAGACGCAACAGTACCTAATAAGCATTTACTTTTAAATTCGAACTTACACAGTAGCAATATTGAGCTCTCTTTTAAATGTTTTTGTTGTGCGAAAAAGATCAATATTTCCTCTTTTTAAGTTAATTGAACATAGCCGAAAGTGAACAATTTTTGGCTTGTAGGGGGAATCGGAAGTGTGCAAGGTATGCGATACAAATCCCTTTCCACTTGGCGGGAACTTTATAACTTGCTTGTGCGGGCTTGTGAACGTCCATATTCGAATTCCACCTTAACACAGTCATTCGCTTAAGAAACGTACAAAAACAAAAAGCATATAAAAACGTCAGATGGAGATTTTTTTAATATTTTTAGACACGTGATTGTCCGTACGGATTGCATATATATTTAGGACCACAAAATCGAAATCTGCAAATCAAAAATGTTCCGCTTTGCAATAAAAATCGTTCAAAATAAATAAAAATTTAGAAATCTACAAAAATGGCGAGCCTCCAGCAATACTTTTGATTAAGCTTGAACTATGCATCCAGAACTGGCCGATATGACCGCTCCTTTGTCCCTCAGGTATCGAGATTGTGAAACAATCTACATGAGTAGGCGTTTCCTAGTTCTACGAGCCTTAGGCAGTGCAAAAATCGGATTAACAAAGTTTACTTTAATCTTTTTATAGCAGCCGCGGTGTCCTGGCATTTAAGCTTCTGTTCGCGGGGCTGCTTTGTTGCAAAAAAACACAAGCTCAAAAAGCACACAAAACCAAACATTACCGATGTTTGGTAAAACCTCTTTTATGCCGAAGCTTCGGTCCGGCCCCAGATTTTTTTGCCAATACTTATTTCGTTTATGGGTGGAGGTGCAAATAAATCGTGGCGTTGTGTTAATTCACCGTGACTTGGTAGTTAACTTGAAATCTAAAAAAAAAATGGGATATCAGTTTGCATCAATCATCGTTATTTTAGTGATCAAATGTATAAAAGTAAATTCAGTATTACTCGTAGTTTTTAATTCTAGGAAGCAAGTACTCCTGTCAATAAGAAAGCGATAGTGCTCGCAGTATTTACCTACACTCGAATCAGTTTGATGTAAATGCACTCAAGATTTTATCAGTGATTAACCGATATAAAGTTAAACACATAATTTTTTTTCTCCTCGAGGGTCGGCGACACTCCGATTCCTAGAGTTCTTTTTATCACTTGAGAGCTCTACCTTCAAAATTAACAGCAAACTAAATTGATTTTGTGCAGCAGTAAACATTTGTAATTAGATTGCGTGTGTAGTTTTTGGTATGTTTTGATTCAGGCAGATACTCTCATGGCAGTGCTCAAAATAATAAAAAACAGTGAGAATACAAACGTCATCAAATGTGTTTTGCCAGGTGAATTTGCCAATGTTTCCATGTGACATGTACATAAAAAATGAAGCAGACTTTTCTAAAAATACAGTTGGTGTTGATAGCTGTACCCCTCGCTTACTGTTTATTTTTCTCGTAGATTAAAAAAAACTTTCACAGACGCAACTTTACACTTTACTGGTCATGCAATAGAAGTACCTTTTCAATTGCTTCCAACCTTTCGAAGTAGTAATATAATGTTTGTATTGCGAGAATTGATATCGATCTGCCCATAGGCCTAATTGGAAGAATTGATTTTAATATTTGTGCTAAAATTCCAAAACATAATGTTAGTTTAAGTTTGACACTGAAAATTGTATATAATATATTTGGGAAATAATAGAGAATGTTAACGATAACCTATAATCCAATGACTGAAATGTATATGTTAAAGCTATTTGTCAAAACTCTCTATTGTCATCCTACCACAACTTTGCTTGAATAATATTTATGGTCTATCCCCAATTAGTACCATCGATGGCGTATAAATATCTAACGCCCTGTATCTCGCCGTCTGGGCAAGGATACCCTGTTTGTTGCGGGAACTTCTTGTGTCATTTTTAGATTTATTTTCTGCTTTAGAAGTGTTGCTATTGTCATCTTATACAGGGTGTTTCACAACTTATCCGACAAATTTTAACCACATCTGTACTGTCACGAAAGAAGTTGATTTCTCAAAAAAAGATGTAATAAAAGTCCTACAAAAATTAAGTTATAAACCTGAGTTTCAATAATAAATTGAAAAATAAATATCTGTATTTTGTGTTCAGCGTCGTGATATTAGAACCTGCATTAATAATTTATTAATATTAAAATACCAGGATTTTTTTTCATACTGATAAGAACTGTAAATAAGGTTTAATCTGTTTCGTGGGTGATCTGAGTGAAGAACGGTCGATTTTTGTGAAATTAAATAAGAAAGTATTTTGCGAGTTTATTTTTTCAGTTATTTATTAATAAAAATGGCACATGTGTACACTAATGAGAAGTTAGTGGACATTGCTTTAGCGTACGGCGAAGCAGGGAAAAATTCGCGAGCGGCTTCTCGTTTGTATGCACACCGATTTCCGAATAGGCACCACATCACGAAACATTTAGTTCATTTGTTTTACATGCACGTGCTAGTGGAGATATGCGCCCCAGATGTGGAGTGGAAGGGGATCGGGTTCGCCCACAACGCGTTTTAAATGCCGAAGATGAATTTTTTTATTTTGTGGAAGAAAATCCAGGAATAAGCACAGGGCAGTTAGCCCAACACGACCCACAAGTGTCACATGCAACAGCGTGGTGCATATTACATATTATTTTATTATCTCGATTTCTGTTGGACTTTTATTACATTTTTTTTTATGGAAATCAACTTTTTCCGTAATGGTGCATATGTGATTAAAATCTGTCGGATAAGTTGTAAACTACCCTGTATAGATTGTACGCAACACGCTTGAATCACAACGCATATTATAATATCTCGATGCCTTGATAAAAATTGGTTCATTCATGTGATAAGCTAGTGTAATTGGAAACTCCAGCATACAGCGTCATTTACTATATATAAAATATTGCGCTAATTGTTGTTACTAATAATTCCATGCTTACATTGAATTTTGATTGACAACAGATTTTCCCGTATAAATCCATTTCCTTATATTATTATTGAGTTTGCTCGGGGAAACACATAATTCGTTAAGTTCCTATTTACTTTTGTGGTACCGTTTGCAACGTGACATTTCATGGAAATACATCAGTACCGCGATTGCTCAGCTAAGTGATACAGGGAAATCCAAATAAATATGGCTCATTTTCAATGTTCTACAAAAAGATAAACGAATAGCAAATTGTTGTTAGTTGAATTTTCTTTTCTTTCTTGGTACCTACCAGAGACAGTGCTCTGATCAGTCTTAACCTGGTTAGTGTTTACTGGTATTTCCTTCATTTGTTTTAATCTTGTTAAAATAAATTTTATTGGACATGAAGGTGCCGAAAGATGTATGAAATAGTATCAAACGATTAATTTTGTTAACCTGCGATTGCAAAATCGAACCTCAGATACTGATGTATAACTTCTATTACGTATATCGGCCGCGTTTCAATACACTTTTTAAGTAAAGTTATCTAATTAAAGGTTCATTTAATTAAATCTTTGAAATAGGTCAGATACGAGCGAAAATCCAGGTCAAGACGGTTACAATTTTCGCACTCAGTTAATTATATCGAGGCGAAACGAATACTTTTTTCTTGGCAAATTTCACGGACTCAACCAATATACCAACAGTTGTTTTTTTTACATACTATATCAAAAATCGAAAGTAGCTTAGCGCTGATTTCCTAACACATTCATTTTCGATAAACAGTATTTATTGTTTGTTATTTTTCCTCTTAATTTATCTCATGTAATTGTTGTTCATCATTTTATGAGATTATGGAATTCAACGATTGTTATTACTTCCGTCACTTTAAAACATATAAACTGTATCATGCAATTACAACTGCGCAAAAAAATAAAAAACAACTACTCACAAATTGAGAGGTTTAGTAAGCCAACTAAATGACTTAAAGGCCACAGATTCTCTGACAAATTTGTAGTTGCCCATATTATTTTAATTCAAGGTGAATGTCTTTTAAATGCTACAGAGGCTTCGCGACTGCATGCAGATCGTTTTTCAAGACCCTTCGTGATCTCTTCTTTTGTTTAGGGCGAAATGAAATGTTTAGTACATAACATGGCTGACGAACTCTACATGTGCGAACTTAGAAATCTGATGCATTCGTTCGGAAAAGTTGGTCAATTCTAAAAGCCCACACTGATGCTTGGCTACGTCCAGAACGTACATATCGCCGTTGAAAATACGTAAAGGCGTATCTAGTTTTGAACGATTTTTCAGGAGAGCGTTTTAAAGAAATTTGCTATACTATTTCAAACGTAAGTCAAAAATTACTAACCTTACAAGACTTGTTTTTGACAGTTATTTTATACAAAGCAAGACTAATAAGATACACCTCCCAAATGTTGGATACATTTCTGCATGTTTTTATAATTTGTTAGGACGTTCCGTGATTAACAATTACTGTTGCATCTACTTACAAGGTACGTCCCTTATTGGTTGTATAGAAAGCAGGTTAAACAGCTTGGATCTTATGCAAGATAGTGCATATCTCAAAAACCTATTGTCTATTTATTCTAAAAAATGCAGCTAGTGACCATTAGAATTCTACATGTTTTTCCTGAATCAAAACAAAGTTATCAAAACAGCTTTTAAGGGCTTTGAAAACATTCTCAAACGACTTAACAGAACAAGAACTACTATACTAGTACGATAATAACACAGAAGGGCTTAAACCACATAAATAAGTCATCCAAACCAAACTGCAAATAGAAAAGGTGGAAAATTTTAACTAAATTCTTTATTGGGGTAAATTTGCATGAAATTGGACGTGCTAGGGTGAATTTATTACCGAGGTACGACCAGTTCATAGCGCCATTAAATTTTTATATTTTTCTAAAGATATTGGACGAAGTTCGTTATTCGACCGATTAATAGTTGTGATTTGGAAAGCTGCTCGTTGCCGCTTAGAGGGCATTGCCCTATAATTTTTATCTGTATGATCGACTTCGAAAAATAGTTTGACAGGTTTTTTTTGGTTACCATGAATTCAAAAATATCGGACTACTACTCGGAGATCCGCCTCTCAAAGATTTGTATTAAAGGCATATCTTGAGAAGCGCCTTACGTCCTAATTTATTTTTGTCAACTTCGAGAAACGCCCTTTACTTTTTATTTCACGTCTAGCAAACAGTACGTTTTTGAGATTCGCCTTCATTTCAGGGCTTGAAGAACGTTCAAATAATGTACATTGGAGTATCTATCTAATTTCCGCCGAATTTCGAGATACGCCTTTACGTATTTTCAACGGCGATGTGTCTTTGAATGTATACCAGACAGCTTTGGACAATACTTGACAGTACTGTACTTGAAATGTTTTGTTACTTTTACAAACATAGTAGAACAAAAAAGTCAAAACTTTGAGGACGCCCTGTATCTCAGTATAAAAAGTAGCAGTTGCAGATTTCAATAAATGGAGGTCATAGTAATTGATTTTATTCATCTAATGGTACTTTATAACCCTAGAAAATAAAACCACCATCTTTTAAAATAGCGGTTTGTCATGCTGTTAAGGTTGAGCGTTGTGCACGCTTATAACGTTAGGTCAATATTTTCCTCTTGCTAAGATCCATCCTAATGTGTCGTCATATTGAAATTTAAAAATGTTTATCTGACGTTCAAACACACCAGTATCACTGAAAAACAAGTAGAGAGGTAGGCGCTTTTTGAAAGGTATTGTGTACCAGATGTCCAAAATAAATAATATATTTTACTCCAAAACATGCAGGTTTTCCTTTTTGTGAATCACTCAAGGAGTATTGATCATATTATGATATAGGTATTCGTAATGTTTGGTTTTATCAATTTCACTAATTGAATATTTGTTGTACCTGCTATCGCTTGAAACAAAGGCGAAGCTGTCAGAAATAGCTAAAATGGAGTGTATCGACAGCGCCATTTTTAAATTTACCTTGGCGTCCAATCACCTTGAACTTTTATTTTTAGCTCACCTGGGTGCATTTTTAGTACCGACCTGCCAACTTTTGTTGAATATAATTGTTCGAAGTGTTGCAAATTTTTAAACCAGTGATATTGTTCTATGTATTTTAACCTGGCCTATAATTACGTTTCCACACAGAATTCGGGTTGAACTCGTGTTTCAAGAACCGTCTCGGAGCATTTGTTCAAGTTGAAGTTGAAAAAAATGTTACCTGCCAAAAACTTTTTATCAATAATGTAGTGTTTTTTGAGATTTGTGCTACTCTACGGGATATTGATGTTTTTCCTCCAAACTGTAGAGGGAGGAAGCCTAAACCGGACCCCCATAAAGCATATGTACTACTAGTCTCATTATATCTGCATTCTCTCAAAGTGGAGTTACTGCCAAGTGTAAATAGTAGTTCAGGTATCTACCACGCTAATGGAGGGTACGCGCACCTTGCGCCACAATAGGCTTGTTTGTCCACGATTATGTGTTTTGGTAGTGGAGTCAGTTCTTGTGCATTGTTGCAATGTAATTGTTACTCCTAGATATTTAAAATAAGCCTTTATACCTATACGTTTTTGCAAATGGCAATATCCTAAGTTCGTATTTTTCATGAAATTGGTTCATTTATATCAAAAAGATCTGGTTCTTGGAACCCCAATAATCGTCACTAGAATATGTTCCAAAGTAATCCTCATTGTCACCCATTTTTTGTATGGTCACGTCATATCAGTATCCGGAATAAAAATCAAATCCTATTGGCTGATTCTTTTGGCAGGAAACGAAGAAATATCTTTTTTCCAACGTGAACACACAAAAAACTAGGATAAACTGCATCATCCGTGGAGAGCATATCTCAGGCTACTGAAACGTCTCAGTAGATGAAAGAAAAAAGATAACAAACAGTTGTTGCTTCAACAATCTTACAAAAACGTGCACATCACGTGCTTATCAAAGAACGCAAGTTAACAATTAGGAGGGATTTTACCAAAGCTGAGAGTAACCAAAACATCATGGAATTGTGCATGGAATATTTTCCGGAAGCAATAGACATCTGGGATGACGCTAACTTCATAATCCTTAATTTCTAACAACAAATAATGGGTCAAAACAACAGGATGATATTGTTTGATAAGATAATGTGAATAATGCATGAATAAAGTAGGTACATCGTACACATCTGATAGTCATAGGGATTATGAAGCATAATGCTCACGTAATTGTAGCCTTAAAAAAATACATCGTACATCCGTTCTTCTCACGTATATGGTATATTCCTTTGACAAAACTAACATGAAAGACGGCTCATTGTGCAAACAGATGCTTGTCTCGAACGAAACTACTGTTCTTTTTTTGATATTAAGACGATAGTAGTAGTAGTAGTAGTAGTAGTACATAGTAGGAGTAATATAATATGTAGATCGAAATGAGTCTTAACCGTGAAACACTTTTGGTCTTTCCCAAATTCAAAAATAAGAACTATCAACTGAACCAGCATTAAAAGCAGACGGGATTCAAAATTTAAAAATGCCAAATACTCCCAAGTCGTAACAATCGTACTTATCAACCGTGGTCGTAAAATGATCACTCATTCCTGTTCTATTAGCTGATTGTCAAACCACATTCAAAAAGTCAGGAACTTTACTCTTTTGTGTATAAATACCTGCCTGTTAATTGATTTAACTGTATACACGTGTGAGTGTAAGGTTTTTCTTTCTCACCTTGGAAATACGCTACACGTTGTACGCGCGCCAGGATATTTAAAAAAATAATGATTAATTAAATATTTCTATGCTCACCGACGTAACCCAGCCATCAAATGTGATTGCATATATTCTGTGATCGAGGTCACTATCATAATGTTCCAACCGTTGTACGAGAGAATATCTGAGATATAGTATGTTCAACTGCCATTTTTACGCCAATATATAGAATAAATCCATCAATTGCATCATCCCGAATTTCAGCTCGTTAACTTGAAATGTAAAAATAAATAAGTAGGGGAAATTTTTCTGAAAAAGTGCTGTATGTTTAAGATTTGTACAGCTTTGGGTACAGGGTACCTACATGTTATGATATATGTATACAGGGTGTCCGCAAAGTTGGGGTTTTCCTTTACACGACGTGTAGATCTTGAAAACATAAGCAATTTTTCTTAGTACCATATACACCAATGTCTTAAGGGAACCGAGATAAATGGCTCTGCAACATCAAAAATATCTGAATACCGTCCTGTAGCCGCGACATCCCCAACCCGACGACAGAACTGGGTCGGGGTCAGTGTGTCAGAGGTCAGTATGCAACCTTCAACCGACGGTTACGGTCACACTTGTAGAGGTAAACGAACCCGTATAATCGATTGCGTTTCAAAAAACCACAAGCACTAGAGACGTGGCTAGAGAAGTGCAAGTATCAAAAACTAAAGTGTGGCAAACGCTGCGTGAAGAGGGGCTGTATCCGTTTCACGTCCAACGTGTACAAGCCCTTCAACCTGACGATTTTCCAGCAAGAGTGCGGTTTTGTGAGCGGTTGTTGGATCAACATGACAATAATCCGGACTTTTTGAAGTGCATATTGGTGACAGACGAATCTACGTTCACGCGTAATGGGGTGAATAACTTTCGCAACACTCATGTTTGGTCAGTAGAAAATGCGCACGCTGTCCGTCGGGCACATTTTCAACAAACATTTTCGGTGAATCTTTGGGCTGGCATGGTGAACGGTATGCTCATTGGACCATTTATTCTCCCAAATCGATTGGACGGGATGCAATACCTAGACTTTTTACGCAACATTTTGCCTTCCTTGTTAGAAGATGTGCCATTAAGTGTAAGACAATCAATGTGGTTTCAGCACGATGGTCATATTTGTTACCTCTGTTCGTGGTCTACTGGTCTGCACCACTGCCGGCGTCTGCTCGGTAGCGCATCAGCTGATTTCATTTTCTGTTGGAGCGGTATGATTTCGGGCAGAGACGTACTTAGCCCTTCTCGTCAACTGGAGAATGAGTACTTTTTTCTTTATTTTTTTTTCTTGGTCGCCGTCGTTTCACTACACATTACCTTTGTTATTTCAAGGGTAGTTGTTTCTGAAAAGGAAAACCCCAACTTTGCGGACACCCTGTATAATGGCTAAACTAACAACTTTTGCAGATAAAGATTGCTACCCTCTTTTGTAGAGAGAATAAAACTCTTTACTTTTCCTTCACGTAGTTTCAAAACCTTGATGGTTCTTCAAGTATAAGAAGCAAAAGTTAAGAATTCATATGAAAAACTCGAAATCTATGTACGTGTCAGCATACAAAATCTTTTCACGTGCGGATAACTCCATAAATCATTATCTATGATCAAAAATATCATTTTAAAGGGAATCTATTTTTTTACTGTCACGCCAAAGTATCAAAAATGTAATATTTTCGGCACGGATATCACGTATCTTGAAAAGTGACATTATGCCGAGTTTTTTTGGCATTATGCTGTTTTTTTTTTGACATTATATAGGTTTTTCGCCAAGATGTTGACTTAGCACTTAGTTGTACTTGTTGCCTAAACGTCATGAGGCTTGTTATCAATCTTTGGCTCTGATGTGATGTAAAATCTGCTTCTGAGATGGCGTTACTGGAGGTCTAAGCAGTAAGTTGTATGTGCTGATGATAATTACATTGGGTTCTTGTCTCAAATACACTTAATTGAGAGTCAAAGCTAGAAATGAGTTGCACATCCACTTTTTCTTATCCATTCTGGAAATTACATATACTGAATTTCAAAAATGAGAGAGATAAGAAATAATTATATTTACTGTACGCTGTCGAATTACAAGCCATATACATGCTAACAGTAATTAGACACAACGCGGGTGCGGTGATGATTTCCCGTAATTCTCCTCAGTATTTCGTAATTTATAACTTTGAACATAACCTCTCTTCAGAAAGCACCACATATAAATAACCCGTCATATTCAGCATATTCAGTAATGATTTTCTCACACAGCAAATATCACTGATTTTATACACATGCAGACCAATACACATAATCATCCAGATGCGATCTTGTTATTCAACCAACTTTCTTCTCAGAGATAAAAACTACAGACACCGATCACTCAGCCTTATAAAACTATGCAACCAATAATGCGTGTAGTTAGTTGAGTGATTCCTTCATAGATGGACGTGCACAACGATCCTAGTGACCAAACGTGGAATGACTGTTTGTGCCGTAAAAACTACCTAGTCTGTAAGTTGACTCCTTATAGGTTTTTTTTTGACGTTTTGCAGGTTTTTTACATGATACCCGTGCGGATAATTTATGTCATCATAAAATTGCAAGTAACTGTCTATTGGCAATTTTGTCTCCCCGTAGCCTGGGCAACCAACGATTTTAATGGAAAGGGACTGATGCCAGAAACCAGCATTATTACATCTCCTCAATTGAAATCGCTGCAACGGTTACTGAAATTACTCAATGGCAAAATCTCGCCAATAAACAGACTGATAGGAGTGAGTGACATCTTCACAATGCAAACAAACATCACAAATTATTGAATTACATTAAATTTTACATAGTGAAAAAAATTGGATTCACTTTAAAATGGTATTATGATGATTATGAAGTGTAATGTGCATAGCGTGAACAACGTAACAATTGTTCGTCCTTAATGCCCAAGAACCATCAAGGTGTCGAAAAAACGTACCAGACCATTTTTAGCAAATTTTATTCGCTACAAAAATTAGTAGTGTTCTTTACTCCTAGATTCTTAGTTTAGACATTATACGAGTTATGTCTTTTAAGTTTTGCATATGGAAATAAAACAACACGGTAGGTAGTTTTCAATGACTTTATTGTTTTTCGAAGTATTCTCCGCGAAGATGAATACACATCTGCATGCGCTCGAACCAATTTTCGAAGCACTTATTCCACTCGTTTGCTGGCAGATCCAAAACGTCAACTGCTTTTTTGACACCAATTAAGCCAGGCTGCTTTCTGCTCTTCAGTCAACAGGTGGGGTATCCAACGAGAAACTAATTTTCTTACTCCTAATTCTTCATGTAAAATTTTTTGATTTGAGGTCTTTGAGATCTTCAACGACGCCTCAATCTCGCGATATGTCTATCTTCAATGATGAGTTTGCGCACAGTATCGACGTTTTCCTGGGTGACTGCCGTTTTTGGTGCACCCACCCTGGGATCGTCGCTAAGACTCACCCGTCCACGTTTGAATTCTCCATACCAGCGGGAAATTGTCGACTGATGTGGCGCTTCGTTGCCGAAAACAGACAGTTATGGCGCGAAAATGTTCAAGGTTCAGTTCCATTTTTCTAATGACTTGGTGACACTTAAAAATTCACTGTAGTGAGAACACTGCACGTATTGTTGAAAAAATTTGAATTTAAGTTTACTAAAGAGTGAGGTTAAGATTCAGTACTGACGTTCGATCCGCGCGGCCTACTATGTTTCTATATGCAAAACTTAAAAGACATCCCTCGTAACCGGAAATATCGCATGTGCATTTACCCTTCAACTTGTAGTAATCTGTTGACTATATCACAATTTTTTTTACAAGCAAAGTGATAAAGAATTGAAATCCCTACAAAACTGTTCCTATATTTTGTTTTTCATATGATCGATGGCTTTCGAGATATTCGATCAAACGCGTTTATCAATATGGCAAATGCTTAAGCCCTTCCATAACATCAATTCAATAATCTAACGATACAACAAAAAAAAATAATATCGCCAAAACTATTTACTCCTTGTATAAGATATTGGCCTAATCATACCGAACTGTAAGGCGCGATGGTCGCGGATCTCCTGACGCGCGGTTATTCCCTCTAGCTATAAAGCAACGCGCAAGCTGGTCAGCTGTGTTGCTGACGAGGCGGTTAGCGTCTCGGGCGTCGTCAGCGACGCCACGCACTGCGACCAGACAGACGCCGGCGTCGTGGTCCCCACTTTGCGCGTTCGTCGGCCAGGTCAGAGGCGTCCGTCAGGGGTGTCGTCATGGAGATGGCGATGGTGACAACATTGGTGCAGTTGTTTTTGCCGTATATGCGATTTTTATGCGGCGATGGGATAATTGCACGATAGCGGTTGAATTATTTGCTACAGACGCAAAGGGTAGATATTTGTTAAAAGGTTAAAGGTGCTCAAAGCAAATGCTGAACAACAAAAAAAATCCATATCTCTTTATTTTTTTTTTCATTTATTAATTTGCGAGACCATCAGGTAATGGTATTAACGCTATGGTATTCTATAAATTCGCATTTATAGAATACCTGGCGAATAAAGAACAAAAGACATACGCTACAAATTAAAAGCATAGGAGTTGTAAAATACTCAATTCACAAAAAACAACAAAATAAAAGCACAGGAGTTATAAAGGATATCAAATACATGCATGACTAATTAAAATTGAAAATGCATACAAATTAATTAAAAGTGAAACCGTAGAGTATAACAGTTAAACAAGCATAAAATGTATATTCTAGTGCCCTATCAAACGAGGTTTGTGATACAGCAATGTTTATAAGAGTGAACATTGATTTTCGTTCACTTCCGTTCAGTACAAACTTCCTATTCGGCTTGTTTCGATAAAGATTATCTGTTTTGGAGTATGTTTGAAAAAGTATATGGACTCATTCTAGGAACTGAATTTAAAGAAAGTCCCTAAAAATAATTTATATTTGTTTTAAAGAAAGCCTAGCCTAGCATTCAAGGCTTTGCCAGCAATAATAAGTCGTTGTATTTATAGTCTGGTACCGAAGGGAGGGGAGCAAAATACACTGCACCCTACTCCAGGTGCAGCAGCGTGCCTTTGAATTGATGCGCGTGTCCGTGACCGGGTATAGACATCCTCTATATGTATAAAATGTATAATACGTAGGCATATTAATAGAAGGTTTTCACTTGAGAAATTTACCTATTAAACTCATCAATCAGAAATAAATAGAAATTCCACAAAATGATTTACTGATTCTAAGTTTCTGAAATATTGTTCAGGTTTAGCAAATTCGATGGATAAAATTAGAAAATTAACTTTTTCGTTAATGAATGCGTGAATGCGGTCTTGATCAAATTGAAATATTGAGATTAGTCAACATTTTCCCAGCACTGTTATTGTTTTAACAGGACTGAAAATATTTCTGAAATCAACCTTATCAACATTTCATGTACAGACTTTATTATTAAAGTTTGTATGGTATATCGGTGGAAGTAAAAGAAATGGCATTTTTTTTCTTTGGCAGAATGTAAGACACTGCAAATACTAATGTTGTAAAAAATAGAGAGCGAGAGAGAGAGAGAGATGTAGCGCGTACAGCGAAAGTTGCCCCGAATCTGGTTTAACATTGGAACAGTTAAAGATTAATAGGTATTCTTATCGCAGTAATTCATGTTGAAGGCGAGATACGATACGTTCGCCAAAATTTCACCTCGCCGATATCGCTAAAACCCGTCGAAAAAATCTCGCATGGCGCCTGCTGCACACCATCGATAACATCAGCAATGTGCTTGCAGCGGGTGTCTACCTTGGTTCCGTTGTCAGAATTCAGTACCACGCACCAGGCAGTGTTGTCAACTTGGCAAATTTTCCGCCAAATTTGGCGAACAGTGGTCTCATTTGGCGGAAGAAAATCAGGAATTGCTGAAAATAACATTTACTTATATTGGTATTTATTAAAATGTTGACCATGTCTTTTATATAATTATTATTTCTGTCATAATTTCATTTTCGGGTTTAAAATATATTCATTTTCAAGAATGAGATGCTACTTGTTTGGTTTTGGTGGTTTTTGATCTCCTATCACCTTTAATTTTTGATAGGTATTGCTGTTCAGTCATACCCATTTCAGTAAGTACAGTACTAATTCATTTTATAAAGTATCTGTATGAGAAGTAATGGATAAGTGAACTATATTCAAACAGGAAAAAATAAAATATATTAAAATTTGCAGAACACAAGTTTCATTATAGAAATCAGGAGAAGTCATAATAGGCGTATTTTTTAATTCACCGGTGCAACTAAAATTCCCGTCTGAACGACCGCTTATACACCGAACTTATCTATAAACTATATAGACAAGTTTGGTGTACAACCGGTCGCTCAGACGGAAATTAAAAGAAGAAAAATTGGTTAATTGCTTGCACCGGTGGCTCAACCGGTGAATTAAAGAATACGCCAAATGCGTTTCATTTTTGGAAAGCGTCATACATCTAAAGGTGTTGCTACTTCTTCAGTTGTTTGCTGAGAAATTTTTACAGCAAATTTTCCTATATTCGAATAGCTACAAGATACATGAGTTTCACCAAGTGAGAACATCTAAAGCATCACCTACATTACTAATTTAACACAAATAATCTAATTATTTCATTTACTAAGTGCAGACCCTACGAGAGAATCATTTTTCGATAATCCAGCATATTTTTCTGGTCAATCGAAACCTTATGTGTTGAAAAAATCTTCTTCATTGTAAACGATTCTGTCACAACGGCGACCTGCCGTACACTGACTTTGACAATATATTTTATTTATCTGTTTTCCAGGTGACGTTTCGTTTGTTTTTTCTTTTCATTTTCGTATTCCTTAAGTTGGCACCACGCAATCTCAGCATGTTTAGAAACAAACATCATCTGGAAGACATAAATAGAACATGCTGTCAGTCATTGTAGCGAAGAGTGGCTTAGATTTTTTGTCAGACAAATAGGGTAAGTTTCAAATGTTACAAGAATGATTTGTTTGCATTGGCAATCTCACGGTACTTCTGTAAAAATTTGAAGAAACTTTTGTCACTGGCGTATCCAGAAAAAAAATCTGGAGGGGGCTCATTCCACGAAAAGTGTAATGCCACAAAGAAAAACGTGTCAAAAAAATTCGTAAAAAGGTCGCTTTCAACAATGCCACTCTACATTTGATATCGAGAAATTCAAAAAGCGTCTACATGGAAACATATCGTAGAGCTAACACCAACAAATTGATAAAAGCTGACTTTCAGATATTTATTTTAAATAATTCTGTTCCAGATTATTTTTTTTTGGATGTGATTCAAATACTTCAAGTTACAGGACGGTGTCGATTTATTAAGAAAAATTGCTGTTTTATATGTGTTTGGGGGATTTTTGATATTAACCTGATTCTCATTTTGAGAGTTGGCAACCCCGCTTGGTTCCGTTGTGAGAACCCACCGAGCACCAAGCCGTGTCGCTATTGGCGCCTCCCTAAACCCTGCCACGACCATGTCTTCCAGCCGCGTACCACGCTGCGTCACCTCGGCTATAAAACTCGCGTCCGCTTTCGCCGCTCGATCATAGTAGCCGCGCCAGCGAGCTGTCAAGAGGTTGTTTGGCTTCTGCTCCCAGAGCTAGGCCCTCTATGCTCCGCCGTTACGCCGCCTTGACTCCGTATTTCTAGTCAAACACGCCTCGTGCTCCCGCGCGGACTCCAAGACATACCAAAGGATTACTCTAAAGTGCTGTGATACCGCTGGAAGACATTTCGTGGACAGTGACTTAACCAACCGGCAAAATTGTTATTAATTCAAGTTCTCACAACGGAGCCCAGACAAGACAAAAATGGTGGGCAGTAACGGTACCATGATTGCAATCCGTCTTGTTCGCAGCAAACTGAGGAAGAGGGAGGAACACAGCAACAGTGTTCACCCTGTGACGGACGTCGTCCTCCAGACCACCACACCTGTGAACAACCAGATCAACAGTAACGGCCAAGGGCATACCGCACCCCAGGTTCTTCAAACGGAGATCACGTACCAAGGGAGGTTTCTGTGGACGCAACCACCCCCGCCTACGTACCTGTACAATCATAACCAGGTATGTACAGGTGATCAACGTTACCTTTCCCTTGGTACCATTACATCCATTCTGGTCTCCTAGAACCCTAGAATTCCCTTGCGGTTATGTCATGAGCTCTTCAGATCGCTAGGTTCACCTCATGGTCTTCCATCCAGTTGCATGCAGGTGCTCAATATCCATGGTGAGAACTCATTTTCGTCTCGTAATTATAACCTCTTTGTATTTTCAGCGATTTCACTCATAAGCTCTCTCCATTTATCAGCATCATTTCATACTTTCCCATGGTTGCATGTAAAACTCTCACCATTCCATTGAAGATCATTCTTTGTTACGGATTATAAGGGAATTGTCCACGTTTTAAATTACATTTAAATTATTGCATGAACTGGAAAGGCGGTTCATCACTCAAAGATAATCTCATTTTCCTATTGTCATTTGGACACTAGACTCTACATCATCACATTTCCCTTCATTCTCTACAATATTCGTTTGATTAAAGCTTCTAACCTAGATTTTGATGATGATCACTGACAGTAATGTCCTTCCATTAACGCTTACAAAATTGCTGTATATTAATAGTCTTTTTCCAATTTCTCCTTAGTTAAATACTTGGAAACACTAATGTTGGATTTCACCATCATACTCAGTTTGGCAAATTTATTCACCACATTTCAATGCTTATGCAATATCCTTCAAGCCATATGGTTGGGTGCGAATAGAAAGTCTACCACGTGGTCGAACACCTGCTGAAAAAAATTCAGTATGTCTATCTATATGCATATTATGCGAAATATCCATGACATTGCGATACCCTTTCTCTGCGTCCATATTACTCCCTCTTCAATAGTCACTTGTATGATGGCCTACGATCATTCATATTATCATGTAAGTACCTATCTCGTCTTGATCACAGCTAGTTTCTTCATGGTCAACAATTAAACATAAGGTGACGAGTGATAAGCTTAACAAGCACTTGTGATTCAATTTACAAAGTAATTACAAACATTTATACAACGTTAAAATAATCCATTGTACATTTTGTTGTTTACGGCATTATCAGAAGATTCTCCTAGACCAAAGTTCAGCACATCTGGAATTTCACTTGAAAGTTATGAACAGCAGTCTTTTTGTGATAAAAGAAATGAAAACTATTCCGTCAAGGAACATCTGTTATTGCTGATTAGAATTATGTTTTGAGTGACACATCTTAAGATGTCACATACCCGCTTACTTATAATTTTTTACAAATTATGCGAACGTTGACTCCATTTCCAATGCGTATTAGTTCAGATATATTTTGATAATGATATGGTTACGAACAAGCCTTTTTTCATGGACATGTGACATTTTCATAAAACCAGACTTGCTGGCAATGATATGTTTTGCATGCATTTTTTTCAATTTAAGGTTCCCGTTAGTCAATTTCTCATTCATTTTATTTGGGTATGAAATTTAAATTAGCCTACATTTCAATTTTGATAGTGAATTGGATACGGTAAACATTTATTCATCCACAGAACGGGAATGTATATCTACTTATTAAAATTTGCTTAGTAACGTTGAACATTTTTCATTCATGTATGTAACCTTAAGATTAGAAATGTAGACACCGACACGTTTCAAAACATGCAAAGTGTATTCGATACCAATTCAAGGTTTAGAGCTTAACACAGCGCTATAGATATCCGGCAATCAAAATCATTAGTAATTATAATTTTTGAATGCAAGTGACTATATTAAAAAACGTTATATGGTGGTTGTAAAAAATCATATAAAAAGCAGTGGGCGATTACTAGTTTCCGTTTAGTATATTATACAATATGGTTGTGTATCCATGGAAGGTCGAATCTTCGATTGAATCATTTTTTATTAACGTGTCAACCTTATACGATATACTCAACCAAAAACAGAATTGAAGTCAACATGATACAAACAATATTATTGTTTATTCTATCAAACATAGGTAGTAGGATAATGTTCTGCAGGTTAACCACATCCTATTCATTACATTGTTTTCTAAAAATCAGTCCTACGTAAGCGCTTAAGTTTGACTGCAGTTGAATGTTGCGTGGGAAATACCATGCATTTTTTACCTTATAGAGGCCAAAAGAAGACGGGGTTTAAAGAAGTAACCTGAGTAATTAAAGAAAAAGTGTCTTGTTACGCTTTCATAGCTTTCAAAAATTAATCTGAATTCCTCGGATCTGTTTTTTTCCGGACTATGAAACAGTAGAGAAAGTAGAGTAACATCGGGGACGGTGTTTAACACTGCATTGGTAACACTCATGTTGCAATTTCAAATAAGTTCGTCTCGTATCTATGGGTGTCGCAGTACAGCGTTATTATTCAATTACAGTGGTATAGTCGTAATAGTAGGATACCGAAGTATAGCGAGTTTTGACGAGCACCAAACAATGCTATATTGTGAATATCTAGATCTCCAGGTTAGTAGCGTACGATGGTTTGACGACATTGCAAATATAGGCAAATGAACTCTCCCAGCACAGTTTGTCTGGTCAAAGATCTACTTCAATATCCCTTTGTCTGTTATATTATATGTATTGTTTCGTTTTACATATGTCCATAAAATACGAGCACAGGTAGGTACTCAATTTGCACTTATTCATTATTTTACTGTTTTTGTAAATGGACTCTCTAAAGTCATATTACGAAGTAATGAACAGACAAATAGGCTGGTTAGCAAATTTATATTCACTTTTTCATCATACCAACAAAGAGAAATGATGATTCCACAATAGTCATATTTAAATCAGGTATTAAGACATCATAAGTTATATAAGGGTAGGTGTCAAGTATTTACTTTGTGTTATTAGTGCTAATAATAGTATTGGCATTTAACGACTCATGCAAAAATATCGCCATATTATCGAATCTTCAGCGAACCTATTGTGTTTTATCGCAAAATTACTCTGTAAAGCAGATGAATATCCAACAGGCTAAGTACGCCTGCCGTGTCAGTCATAATCTCGCAGTTATAAAATTTCAATGCATTCCAAACATTATTTCGAGATATTCGCACAATTTCAAAATGTTATTACACTATTGAATTACTTCAACTGTTGTGAAATATATTTGAAAAGAAAACGAATTAAATCACGGAACCGTAAATGTAGGCGTTATTTTCACAAAACTGCGAGCGTCAAATCAGTCAGTACTTTCATAAGAAACTGGTAGATTTCTTATAACACCAGTACAGACTTCCCAAAAAAACAGGTGTCCAATTCATCAACTTTCCAATTTTACGACATCAGCGGTCTATACCTGTGTTAGGCTAGCTCACTGGGAAAAGAACTAGCTGCAGATTCAAGCCGTCAATCGAAAGAGCACCTGCCTTTCTGCCCAAGCCGTAAAAACTCATTCTCATGCCTTCTCTCCCTTAGGTCATTGACACTTATATTGATTTGCTGCACCCTCAAGGTTTAAAACTGTACCATAGAAAATTCAACAGGATGTACGATGAATGAGAATGGGTCCTTTGTAGTTTCACAGCCTTTATTGTACCCTGATAGCGTTGTGACGGTTACAGAATTTCTACTTGATATCCGGAAATCATAAATGTATGTTTTATAAATTAATTTAAGTACATAATTTGAGAATGTGTAAATTTTAGTAGAGCCAATAATTAAGTATCAGATTTCATCCAAATATTTACTGTCGATATATTTTGTGAATCAGCAAGCTTATATAACATTGTCCGAAAGTAGGTGTAACATTATAAGATAAGAATGTTTGACAAAATGAATGGGAACAAGGAAATCATGAAAAACAGATCAGTATAAAGTAAGATAATATAAACCATGAAAAAACATAAAACAGAAAGAAGAAAGAATAGAAAAAATGTTGCGCATACTTGCAAAAGAAAGTAGAAAACAGAAAAAATAAAAATGGTATAATAAAAGCACAAGAAGAAACAAATGTAACTATGTTAGTTTCTGCTTTAGCATTAATTTGAAATAATGAAAACTGGCCAGTTGGTCATCTACCATTGCCATTAACAGAACAAGCATATAGAGTGCTTCCTGAACATGGATCAAAGATTTAAGGAATGATTCTTTGACGGAACAATCCCTTTTTCGACGTCTTCAAAAAAACCGCTTTTTATGAATATTATGCAAAAGGCGAATAAAACTTTCACGGGAAATTATTCTTTAAGTAAAAATGACATTTGCAGCTTATCAATCCTCCCATAAAGCAGGTATTTTCTGCTAAAAGGTAACACTATGTCTTTGTCAAAGGCTTCCGAATTCTTTCAAATATACACCAGATATGTATATTATTTTTATTGAGCAACTTCACTGGTGGTTGCTCGCGAGTTTTGGATAGATGGAGAAGGGCTCTCGGCCTGTTTATTTTTCGAACCTAAAAAGATGAACGGTTCTTCCAAAATCAACAAATGAAAGAAAGTCTGTGTTTTATAAAGAATAGCTCTTCGAATTTTTGCGCTAGGTTTTGGATGCACCCTAGACCCACTGTATTTTAAATTTATAAAATGCAATAGACGTATGAAATGGTAACAGAGTAATTTACTTAGTTCCATAGTGCATGAATGATTAATCGGTCCGATTATGTCGGATATTGTTCATTGGTCAATGTTCTGTGTTCCTATCACTCATCACCTTCATGATTGCTCCCAGTTCAACTTATTGCTACTTTTTACATATACAGGGTTTACATGGAGGCAGATTCAGTACGTAAAAATATGGAAAAAAGGTGATCATACAATAATGGGTCCGAATATTCCCATGATACGGTGTCTTGGAACCTTCCGAATATGTTTAGAAAAATCGCACGCCACCGACTTTTGGAAAATGTGTCGTTTTTTAAAGCAAACGTTCTCCTGGATTTTTCGTGATGCTCGTTGAGAAAAGCGGTCATACATCGCCGTGTTAAAACTTTTTTACATTTCAGTTTGCTGAATCTGTCCTTCAGTTTTTTTAACAACATTCTGTAACATCCTGCATATGGTATATATATATAGGGTAGTTGAAGGAATAAAGAGGTATTTTCGCATTTCTCATCTGATAAAGTCGTTGTTGTTTATTATTAAGAATAGGTATGATTAACCCTATTTTTTCTTTGTTGCAGGATACGCTTGTACAAAACTTGCCCGCAGAACGTCAAAGTTTCGTACGTGGCTTTCGGAAGAACCTTGGAGGTAGATGGAGACGTCTTGTGAAGAGGAAGCCTCCTCAGGAAGTGTACACCATTCCAGCTGAGCTGAAACCTCAGCTAAAGCAGATCTACGTGTACTAGCCGTACAACTCGGGGCACGTCAGGTCCGAAAAATCCCTTCCAAGAAGAATTGGAGGCTTTCCTTTAATGAGACTGATGAGATAAACAACTATTTTTACTCCTAGACGAAGTAATTTTAGTTCGGTTGTAAATAATTATTGACTAGGTTAATTTTTTTTGGCCATATATGTTTTTGTCCTTATGTAATGATAAAACATATATCATGTGATTTAGCTTCTAAAAATTTGAACGATGCTTCCTGTTCGTATGGATAGGTCGTTCTATGATATTTTTAAATATACCCTTTCTCACGATTACTATACTAGCAGTAGCTATTTTTCAGTATTTACTTCAACACAATGCAGGTTATTAAAAAAAATCTGCTGAAAATGAAAATGTATACAGTCAAATGCGTTTTAGAAAACTGCCAGACATTCATTATAAAAAATATCGTGAAAAGGACTATAGACGATGCGCTTTTTTGTAGAACATTACAATTATTTGTAGCTTAGTGTAACTCTCTGAGATTGGCTTGAGGCTTTAAGATTGCGCTGAATAAATCCTGAACATAAAGGAATATTATGTTGGTGTAAGTTTCTATGTCGAGCCAATCCAAATTTCTGGCTCATATTGAGCTATAGCCCAAAATTATTCATGAGATTAGTGTACACATCAAAATGTGGATGCTCGAATCTCCATTTTGCTATCAGAAAAACTGAGTAGACCGAAAGTTTCGCCTTGATCTCGACAGACTATTCGAGACAAGTCAAACCTTGACTGTCTATGCTAGTCAATTATGTCAGCTCATCAGAAGTAGAATAAATTAATGATTGCAGTATTACAAAAATTAACTTATTTTATTACGATTGATAAGAATTTTTTGACACAGCTCTGCATAAACATATCAGGGTACGAGATAGCAAATTGTTAGTTACCTCTTCATATCAGAAACCCTCAAACTGTTGTTTGTAAAGCAATAACCTGTATAGACAGAAGTATAAAATGAATAAAAATTGTTACTTTTTGAATCTTCGTATTATTTACCTCCTTTGAACACATATTATTGATATAAATGAAGTTCAATTGAGACATGCACGTACATACGTCATTTTGCTGACTGATGAAGCCACATGTGTGGTAAGAACACTACTCATTTTCTGTTCGTATATCATCAAAAACCTTGATTAGTGCATTTTTTCAAATTAACTGCAATAAAGCCTATGTTCGCTATCGTGGAAAAAAATTATGGAAATGCCATAAATGACATCATTCTCCGTTAAGAATACATTTTAAAAAAGTACCCTGCTCCTACTCTTGATATCAATGATACACACACCTCTTGTTGCTTCTGCTATTCTAATATAGTTTTGAAATTTCAAAATTGCACATCCAGCCATCATACTTTCTCTATCGAATTTGAATGATGAACGATTAGCTATTAGGGTCACAGAAACGCAAGGAGGTGTGGAAAAAGTACCCCGCTACGGATATCAGTGGAACTGGCATTTTTGCCACATCTCGTCGTTTCTGAAATCCGAATTGAGGATCTTGAAAATTTGAAATCCGCACATCCAGTCATCATACCTTGCATCGTAGAAGCATAAAATTGTCAGGATCGCAGAAACACCTGGACATATGGAAACAGTACTCTGCTCCTACTATCATTGCCACTGGAGGAAGTAGCTCTCGCCGTTTCTGCGATCTTGATACAAGATCTTGAAATCGACACGTTCAGACATCAGACCTCGCAGCATATAAGCAATTTGCTATCAGGATCGCAGAAACGCGAGGAGGAAGGACACGGTCGTCGGCTCCTGATATCAGTGACACTGGCATTTTAGTCATTTCTTGTCGTCTTGAAAATTCAAAATCTAGACGCCTAGTCATCAGACCTCGCGCCACATAAGTAGTTTGCTATCAGGATTGCAGAAACGCGGGGAGGTACGAAAAAGCAGCCTAGACCAGATATCAGTGATACTGGCATTATTGTCACCTCTCGTGGTTTCGTAATCAGGACACATGATGTTGAAAATTTTAAATCTAGACATCCAGTAATCAATTTTCCATCAGGATCGCAGAAACTGCGAGGAGGTATAAAAAAGTAGCCTGCTCCTGATATGAATGACACTACCAGAAACACCTCTCGTCGGTTCTGCGATCCTGACACGATCAGGAAAACTTTAAATCCGCACGTTCAGTCATCAGGCACTGCATCGTAGAAGCATCCAGTTAAATGAAATCCACACTTCCAATCACCAACCCTTACATCGTATCAGCAATTTGGTATCAGGACCGCAGACACCGCGAGGAGGTATAATAAAGTAGCCTGCTCCTGATATGAATGACACTACGAAAAGCACCTCTCGTCGGTTCTGCGATCCTGACACACGATCAGGGAAACTTTAAATCCTCACGTTCAGTCATCAGGCACTGCATCGTAGAAGCATCCAGTTAAATGAAATCCACACTTCCAGTCACCAATCCTTACATCGTATCAGCAATTTGGTATCAGGACCGCAGACACCGCGAGGAGGTATAATAAAGTAGCCTGCTCCTGATATGAATGACACTACCAAAAACACCTCTCGTCGGTTCTGCGATCCTGACACGATCAGGAAAACTTTAAATCCGCACGTTCAGTCATCAGGCACTGCATCGTAGAAGCATCCAGTCAAATGAAATCCACACTTCCAATCACCAACCCTTACATCGTATCAGCAATTTGGTATCAGGACCGCAGACACCGCGAGGAGGTATAATAAAGTAGCCTGCTCCTGATATGAATGACACTACCAAAAACACCTCTCGTCGGTTCTGCGATCCTGACACACGATCAGGGAAACTTTAAATCCGCACGTTCAGTCATCAGGCACTGCATCGTAGAAGCATCCAGTTAAATGAAATCCACACTTCCAATCACCAACCCTTACATCGTATCAGCAATTTGGTATCAGGACCGCAGACACCGCGAGGAGGTATAATAAAGTAGCCTGCTCCTGATATGAATGACACTACCAAAAACACCTCTCGTCGGTTCTGCGATCCTGACACACGATCAGGGAAACTTTAAATCCGCACGTTCAGTCATCAGGCACTGCATCGTAGAAGCATCCAGTTAAATGAAATCCACACTTCCAATCACCAACCCTTACATCGTATCAGCAATTTGGTATCAGGACCGCAGACACCGCGAGGAGGTATAATAAAGTAGCCTGCTCCTGATATGAATGACACTACGAAAAACACCTCTCGTCGGTTCTGCGATCCTGACACACGATCAGTCAAATGAAATCCACACTTCCAATCACCAACCCTTACATCGTATCAGCAATTTGGTATCAGGACCGCAGACACTGCGAGGAGGTATAATAAAGTAGCCTGCTCCTGATATGAATGACACTACCAAAAACACCTCTCGTCGGTTCTGCGATCCTGACACGATCAGGAAAACTTTAAATCCGCACGTTCAGTCATCAGGCACTGCATCGTAGAAGCATCCAGTTAAATGAAATCCACACTTCCAATCACCAACCCTTACATCGTATCAGCAATTTGGTATCAGGACCGCAGACACCGCGAGGAGGTATAATAAAGTAGCCTGCTCCTGATATGAATGACACTACGAAAAACACCTCTCGTCGGTTCTGCGATCCTGACACACGATCAGGGAAACTTTAAATCCGCACGTTCAGTCATCAGGCACTGCATCGTAGAAGCATCCAGTTAAATGAAATCCTCACTTCCAGTCACCAATCCTTACATCGTATCAGCAATTTGGTATCAGGACCGCAGACACCGCGAGGAGGTATAATAAAGTAGCCTGCTCCTGATATGAATGACACTACGAAAAACACCTCTCGTCAGTTCTGCGATCCTGACACACGATCAGGGTAACTTTAAATCCGCACGTTCAGTCATCAGGCACTGCATCGTAGAAGCATCCAGTTAAATGAAATCCTCACTTCCAGTCACCAATCCTTACATCGTATCAGCAATTTGGTATCAGGACCGCAGAAACCGCGAGGAGGTATAAAAAAGTAGCCTGCTCCTGATATGAATGACACTACCAACAACACCTCTCGTCGGTTCTGCGATCCTGACACGATCAGGAAAACTTTAAATCCGCACGTTCAGTCATCAGGCACTGCATCGTAGAAGCATCCAGTTAAATGAAATCCACACTTCCAGTCACCAATCCTTACATCGTATCAGCAATTTGGTATCAGGACCGCAGAAACCGCGAGGAGGTATAAAAAAGTAGCCTGCTCCTGATATGAATGACACTACCAACAACACCTCTCGTCGGTTCTGCGATCCTGACACACGATCTTGAAAACTTTAAATCCGCAGGTTCAGTCATCAGGCACTGCATCGTAGAAGCATCCTGTTGTCAGAATTGTAAAAACACTAGGAGATACGGAAATGGTAGGTACTCTGCATCAATTATTAAAGCCACTAGCGAAAATACCTCTTTTCGCTTCTGCGGTCTTGATAAAGGATCTTGAAAATTTGAAATCCACACATCCGATCATCAGACCTTGCATCGTTGGTATAGGCAATTTGTTATTAGGATCGCAGAAACGCAAGGAGGTATCGAGAAAATACTCCTTGCCGTCTCTGCGATCCTAATACAAAATCTAGAAAAGTCTATATCGGCACATCGAGCCGTCAAACTTTCCTCGCATGAGTATAAGAAGCAATTTGATATCAGGATCACAGAAACGCGATAGTGTATGGAAATGGTACTCTCCTCTCGATAGTAGCGGAATGTATCTCGTCGTTGCTGCGATCCTGATACAAAAGCTCTAAATTCCACAGATCCAGCCGTCACTTTCATAACTTCAAAACTATGAGAAGCTATTTGCTATCAGGGGCAAAGAGGAGCGAGTGGTATGGAAACAGTACTCTGTTCTTGATGGCAACAACAATTCCCATCATTTCTGCGTCCCTGATACAAAATCTTGAAATCCCTGCATCCATTTTCAGACTTTAATTAATTATTAATACACGCGCCGCTATCGCCTACTGTCTATCTTGCAGTGAAGATCATGAATAGCAACTCGTTATCAGGAGTGATAGGTAGGATCCAAAAAATGTGGGTTATCGGAGGTTGGGTAAAAAAACAAAAATGCATTTTTACAAATTTATTCCAGCATAATACAACCGTCTTCAAAATCAAGAATAACCTATTAAAAACGAGGATATCCTGTAAGCTTTATGTATGCAACTAACGTTACACCGTGTTGATCCAGTCGCCGCTAGATGGTAGTGCTGAATGAAGCTCAGCGACATCTGCTATTTTTTTACCTAAGTTCACACGTCTTTATAAGTGTTATGAAGGACCCTGTTGAGGGAAATGCGTTCTACTGAATGCCCAACAGATTTCGCTTTGGCAAAACATATCCAGTAAACTGCAATATAAGCAGGCAACAAGGCACTGTACTGACAGATTTCTTTCGACATGGCAGCACTGGATGAAAATCACCGACATCTACTAGCGTTTTGTTTAAGATAAAAGGACATGGCGTACAGGTTCCTGTTGAGCAAAAAATTGGATATGTGGCTTTCTGCAGATAATGGTAATAAAGACGGTTACTGTTACTAGATAGTAAAATTGACCATTCCATGAAATTATCGAACACTGCAAGGTATCGCATTTCATGGAATGTATCATTGTTAAGAAATCGTTTAACTATATGATCAACGTCAACGCAGTCATTTCACGATGTGTGGAGCTTGTTTGAGGAACCCTGGAAGCGCTGTTTACATGTCAAAATGACGGCCGTCAATAGCGAAGTTGGTTTTCGAATTGAAAATTCAATAATCCGTTACTAAATGAGGAAGAAAGTGTGATTCAAAGCCTTTGCCACTAGAGTACCATGCGGGTATGCGGTCATATACCAATCAAGATATCAAAAAACCGTGGAGATTAATACCTTGACGATTTCGACATCTTATGAAACGTTCAATTTTATGATATGGCCACGGTAGATCCACTTCCAGAAATGTTTCGTTTATTGCAGGCAGAGGATGGGTAAAGGATAGTCTCTTCGCCTTTACTAGTAATAATATATACTAATAGTTCAAATAAAGTTAAATATAACTTACGAATTATGATTCAATTTCTATGTGAGGTTGCGGGAAAACATCATCCACCTGCATTATTAAATGCTATTGGTCCCCAAATAATAAGGTTACAGTAGTGAAAATAATCGATTTTATTTGAAAACATGTATTTCCACAGTAGAAAAATAGCAATAAGTACAACCTAATATTAGTTCTATACATTAATGTAATGTATCATAAATTCTCAAAAACAAAAAAAACAACAATTCATCCAACAATTATAATTAAGCAAAAGTAACTCATCAACAATCATTTATGTACATTGACAATTTACAGAACCGCCCACTAAATAAAATTTGCATTGATAAAATAACACCTCGAGGGCACAAAATCAAAAAATAAGTGAGAAAATTTAAAGTTAATTCCAACAAAATTAATGGTAAAATAACAATACAGTTCAGACATGGTCACATCAAAGTATCCAATTTGGAGAGTTTTGTCACCATCAATACAGGGTGTTTCAGCACAGCAAACAGACATATTTGTCTGGAAGTATTGTCTGTCAAATGCTGCTGGCAGACCTTGAATGAAATGCACCATAGACCAAATTTTGTATCCAATATGGACAAGATAGCAATGTTGACGCCAAAATATGGCCGATGACCTTTTACTTTGACAACTCAATCCATGTTTATGTATAACAAACAGGACATTTCAATATGACAAGAGCAACGCACAGGGCTAGATAAAGTAAATCTTTGGTAACTAGAGGATTTGTAAACCATGTCTTGACCATTAAATAAAATTTATCACAATTTTACAAAATGTATCAGACTGATATTGTAATAGTCATCACAAATCCCTACAATAGTTTTGAACCTTAGCTTCAGTACATACAAATGAAAAGAATATAACAACCATGAAATAATTATGATAGAGCTGGAAGCTGTTATAGTTGTATAAAAATATGAACTGCTGTCTGAGAAGATTCTTTCTATCGCTTTTTCCTTCAGAAATTTATCTAATCACATATTAGAAAACAAACTGTTTTTTATGTGTTTTTTCTATGAGATCTGCATGTAATACGATACAGGGTGATTAACAAGTGAAACATCATCAAAAATGAAAAACAATTCTTCAAAACCGTTAACTGAAACGAACTAAAATTTGGTATATGGATTTACCTAAGTATTGTCCACATTCAAAAGTCTTTACTGAAAATTAACGTGCACCAGTGGCGGAGATACAGGGGATTAGTGGCTTTATTTTTCCAAATAAAAATGGTACGCCAGTTTTTTTCGAAATGCGCAATGTTTGGGATTTTACCTATAATTTGCTACAAATAATTACTGTTGTGTTTTTTCCTAGATTGCACTGTTTTCGTAAAAATTACAAATGTGTTTTTTATTTTTAAACTTCAACATCCCATATCTTTTTAATGAAGTCCTTGAGGAAAAATAGCAGACCCCCTTAAAATGCGGACCTGTGTATTTTGTTTCATTTTTGGTCACGACTTGTGAATCACCCTGTATATATTTATGAAATAATTTAAATAAATCAACCAGGAGTGCAGGAACAAAGTACACGAAGCATTACAAAAAACTGACATCTGTGTCAGGCATAACAGCAATTGTAGAGATTCAATTCAGTCATCCATAATTTGAGATAGTAATGTTTATAAAACATTTCCCACCCACACATATAGAAATAAAATTCAACAGAACTCATTAGATATTCGAATTGGGCACACTTCAAATTTTACATAGTAGGTGGAATGCTCTCTTTCATTTGTAAGCAGAGAATATTTTTTAAATACTGTTTTATAAAATTGGATAGTCAAAGAATTATGCAAACAATTTTAAAAAAATTAAAGTAAAATTTTATGCAACCCAGCATGAGACTATTCCAGAGAAAATTATATACTGCAAAAGCGCAACTGTGCTACTTAACCTAAATGTTGAACATGAAAAAAACAGAACAACCAACCTGGTTTTCATCAATGACTAAAAATATACTCTACCTGAAGATAGTCAACCATGTATCCTGGCGCCCAAAAGAGGATTTGGATGATACTAGCGTCATCTGTGAGACAGTAGCAGAACCAAACTAGTATTTTCAAACTAAATTTCTAAATTCGTTTTTGTGTTCTGCTACTCTTTTTTGGTTGGCTATCTTCAGGTAGAATACTTTACTCAATATTTTCATCCATAGAAAATATTGAAAAAAAAAACCCACCCACCCCCACCTAAGTGAGATATCCACAAATTTTTCATAAAAATCGATGTAAGGTATTGGTAACCAGTTTGGATTTAAAAAATTGTTGAATCATCACACTGCAGATTCAGAAAAGGCACATTTCATATTATTATGAAGTGGCTTTTTCTCGAGTCATGCATACAAAAATGCAATGAGTACTGATGCATTTTATATAACCTTTCATTTGAATTGTATCAATATAACTATGTACATACAATTATTTAACCAATTGCTTCAACCGATTTGATCACAAATAATCCTACGCAACATGTAATGACGTATAATCTTCCAAATACCTCATAAGAGGAGGAAGTAAAATGTTCAGAGTTCGGTTTAAAAAAATTATCCCATAACATAAATGCAAGTGGCTATAGATGATATACTCAGATATAGAAACCTTTATTAAGCAAATATCACAAAGCATAATTAATTTAGTACTTGCTATAGAGTCACGTTCCTCTATTAAAGGTGGGTGCATACACCAGGTAGGTAATGAGATGAAAATATGTTTTGGAAAAATGAAGATTGGCTAGTCGACTCAAAAAATGGAAAAACGAGAACAAGAAAAATGGAGGCATGCATCTTGCTATTTTCAAGTCAGATTCTTACAAACTGTCTATGTACTTTGTCTGTGACCTATAACCATTGATTGCGTATTCTACTTGAAATGACTAAAGCGCCATCTTTTCAAAGTATATATAGTAAATAGAGAAAAAGTTGTGAAACATTTTGATAGACGACGCTACGGTATCTCATTTTATCTCGGATAATTTATAATATAGCTCACAAATTCACGCACCGTATACAACCTCTTAAGTGACTAAAGTGTCCTCTTAGGTGTGCCCGTTCAGCTTGTATATCTGTTCTAAGAACGTTTTGTGAATGCTCTTGCAACATATAATGCTGTGTTGCAACTTAAATAGGAATGATAATTGTTAGTGAGGCATGTCATTGGCCCGTCTATAATAAATAACGTATTCTACTTGAAGTTAGTCAACCTAACACTAAATTCGCGCGTATGAAAACTTATCCTAGATTAAATGATATACTCTACCGCCACCTATGAGAATTCGTCACAGTTTGCCACATGTTTCTCCTCTCCACAATATGTAGAAGTATACGTTGAAAAAGTTAGTGTTTCATAGATGGCAATCTAGCTATATCCTCGGCTACAGTGCCATCTATGAGCCACTACCTTTTTTAAAGTAGATTCCTAATTATTGCGAAGAGGAGGAACATGAGAAAAATTCTCATCGATAACGCTACAGGATCTCATTTTATCTCGGATAATTTTTTTTTATAGCATTAGGTTGGCTATCTTCAGGTACAATGCGTTAATCAGAGCTCTAAAATACCTCACAAATTCACGCCCCCACCAATTATAAGGCAACCATTTCTACACAAAGATGTCTAGAAACATTAACTATTAATCCTCAAAATAAATGTTATGTGTACCATGAAACGTTAATAATACGATAAGGGATACGAATTCGGGAGGCTATAGGAATGTCAATCCCTATGCTCCACCTTTAAGGTAGCAAGTCCCGTTTTTTAGAAGTTTTTTCAACTACCTGTGTGCGGCAGTATTCTAAATCCCTTTCATCTGATAATTTCATGGTGTGTATAGAGATGACTAAAAAACAATGTTTTCATTTTTTTTCAAACAATGCATTTTTTGTGCATTTTTCTTCAATCGGTTGTTAACAAACATAAGTACAGCTCTGAATTTGTGTGTGAATATTCCTCTTTTATGGGAAAATGAAACAAGTTTTGTTCTTATCACTTTTCCTTTCCGAAAAATCTTTGATTTTATTGAAGCCTCGTCTCGCAGCAAGTTGAGTTTTCAAGAAAAGTAAAGATGTTTCGAAGAGAAAAAGTGATAAGAATAAAAATAACCACTTGGATTTAGAATACTGTTGCAAACAGGCAAATATAGACTTAATTGATATGTGTTATATTTGTACTTCATTCCAACATAATTGATATTGTTTAACCAGTGATCCAGCATTTCAATAACCTCTTGATACAAAATTTGTACGACTATAGCAAAACACTCCTCCACCGTAGATATCACGTGTTGCTACATTACAAGTTTCTTTTCTCGTACATATTGCCTCAATTTTGAAGATATCATGAAATTGCTGAGGGCCTCGACTGACGCCCCTTGCTGAACTCCTTCCCACGTTTCTTTTTAGGGCGAATCCAGACGATCAGTATTCACTGATCGATCCGTCAGTGACAATTGATATCTATGTAACCTTATACAGGGTGTCCGGTAAATAGTACGACAAACAAATGGGGAAGATAGGCGAAAGGCAGATCTACAACATACAAAAAATGGCGCTAGTAAAAGTTCCACTGTTTTTTAGATATTGATTTTTTTTGTCTTTTTCGTTTGATCTACCTCTTGTTGCTGACTAAGCAGGTAATTTATCGCAGTACTTTGCAGTAGCAGTCTAGTACATTTTTATTTCATTGATAAATACCAAAGTTGAGTAAAATAGTTTTCTAAAATAAAATTACGAAGATGAAATTAGTTTGCCAAGTTTAACTACATGTATTTATGGAAGATAGTATTTTAAATGGCAGACCAACTATCTGAGAATATTTTGCAAGAAAAAACAAATATCCTGTTATTTTTAGGCACAGCAATAAAAGATAGATTAAAAAAAGAGAAAAAAAAAATAATATCCCAAAGACAGTAAAACTTGTACTAGGGTCATTTTTTGGTATGTTGTAGATCTCCCCTTCGCCTATCGTCCCTATTTTTTGTGGTACTATTTACCGGTCACCCTGTACATCAATAACTAACGACGTCCAAGCTGCACGGTGAATAAATATAACTTTCCATGATGGATCACAGTAAATAAAGATCATATGACATTCACATAAGGGAATCTCGCAATTTTGAGATTAAGTTTTCATAAAGCAAGCGTTCATCTTGAAACAGATATCAAGAACTTTTTTAATCTTTTGTCAGTCTATATCTTAACATGTTGCGCACCAACACGTTGGTTTTTACAGGATGTCCTTCCACAATGGAAAACTAGAGACAAGTCGCCGTAAGATTTTTATGAGTATCAACGGCGCCATACCATTTTTTTAAGCTATATTGTCACCGAATCCATTTCTCCTAAAATCCTTAACACGCGAAACAAAAAGCACATAACCTCAAATCAGCTTAGACATACAAACTTAATATCACGAAGACTAGAGATAGGAGGTTAAACTCATAGAGTGAGGATGAAGCCAACAATGTCGACCATGACAATGACAATTACCAATTAGTATTCATACACTTGACTGACTGACAAATACTGATCTTCAGTAGTAGCGTTTGTATCTCAGAAGAACTTAAGATCAACGTCGAGGTGTGCTTGCCAAATTTTACCTTTAACGTCATGATACGCTGCGTAGGAATAACTAAGTCAGTATCTAACATGTCTTTCATAATTTGAAAAAAAATATTTTTATAAAAATCCTTTTAAATAAACCTATGCTTTTTTGGTCAATTCAAGCAACTTCACACCGACAATGCAATAAAAACACCCTAAGCTAAAACGAGTTCTACGTTCGATTTATACCTCTGTATTTCGTCCAACGATATCACAATGCAAGCGGAACTGGACTGAGCATATTCGTCCTTGGCGACGATATTGAATTTATCCTTCAGAATGTTCCTAATCACGATATTGATGTCCTTGACACATCGCACTATCTTTATGACGGCAGGATACGGCGGATGTGCGTCAGGTACGCGGATTTTGATGGTGACATCTGTTGGTGGTAACCTATGATTAGCGGCCAGCTTTCGAATGTAGGCGAGCAGAATCAGGTATATTTCTTCGTCCAACAGGTTGTTGTACAGCTGTATTACAGTCTCAGTTCCCTACAATAAAATATAGTTGTTTAAGCTCGGCACGCATGGTTCATTTTCCCGAATGCCTGCCGCAATTGACAGATGACATGCCGCTTGAAAGCGACAAAGTAGGCGGCAGGTTCGTCAATTCTTATACCACGTCTCATTGGTTGACTATACAGAGTGTTAGGGAAATAATATTCGTAACTTTAAGAGGTGATTCCTTGCATTATTCTAAGCACAAAAGTTCATTATAACCTATGTCCGAAAATCAACCAATTCGGAGCAAAAAAATGCTGAACTTATTTCTTTTTAGTGATGAAATAAACTGTCTCTAACAAAATAACTTGCTTGCTTATTGAATACAATTTTCAGAAGAAAAACAGACAAACAAAATCACTCACACAACTGGCAACGTCGTACTCCGCCTGCACTGCATGTAACATCGCGTCTTGTTGAGATTACTAAGACATTTAACTGTAACTTTATGTGATTTCAAGTGTTGTTTTTTTTTCTTTGTTCGTGCACCGCATCGTTTTAAATAAGTGACTGATAATCGTGGGAATTGGTGGTGTGTATCGCCACGTACCGGTAAGTTCTGTCATTTTTTTTATCAAGTGAATGTACTGTACTGAAAGCGTTATAAAATAAAAAATATTAGCGGTTGCGTTGCAGCGTTGCCAAATCTTTGAGAAAATTTAATTAATAATAATAAAATGCCTTTTATTTTCCTGGCAAGGATTCAGCTAGTAGCTGTTTTAGAGAGAAAAACAACAAGAGTCTGTTTACAGTTATATAGATAGGGTCTTTAAATATGAGCTCCTGGATTTGTCCTTTAAATCTATTAAGTGGTAGCTGCTTGACTGAAAGCGGTATTTTTTAAAATTAGAAGTATTGTGAGCAGGAACATCTAGTGTATGATCGATAAATCTAAGATTGGCATTATGATATTGATTACGCATAGATAATTTATTTTTTAAGTAGGTTTATTACAAAGAACGGAATGCACCAAACAGCACATTTCTCATAGTTAACCATGGAATACGCTTCAAATATAGTGATATACTTTCTCGTCGCATAACGGACACATGCATTTTGAATCTTTTGCAACCTGTGGGATTCATTTTGTATCAGGCAAGGACCAAACATAAAATCAGCATATTCTACTTTGCTTAGAATCAACGAATTAGTTAACCTAACTTTGGCGGATTCAGAAAGTATGTGTCTGAAACTACTCGTATATCTGCTTTTCAAGGCACGATACGAGCTTTGTACTATTTTTGTGACATGGTCATGGAATGTTAACGATGAGTCAAAAAGCCCACCTAAATTTTTTATCTGCAGTTTATGATGGAGTGGCTCACCTCCGATAGATAAATTGACAACTTTACTGTCAAAATTGCTTAGCTTGCATTTAAAGGACGGTGGATTTCCTTGGGTTTATAAGTAATCCATGGCTAGAGAAATATTGATCTGCAGCCTGTAGATCTCTTGACAGTTTTGTATTGGCTTGTAAAAAATCATCCTTATAGATCTGGGTGTCACCTGCATAGGAGTGAACTTTACAATAAGAAATAAACTCGTTGAAATCTGATACAAAAAGATTAAATAAAATTAGCCCCAGGATCGAACCCTGCGGAACACCTTGCATAACATTGCATTTCGAAGATATTTTTGCTCCAACTTTCACCATTTGTGATGTACCAGAATTATTTAGACTCATTTTCCTCGAAAACGATTGATTTTCGGACATAAGTTATAATCAACTTTTTTGCTTAGAATAATGCAAGAAATCACCTTTTAAAGTTACGAATATTATTTCCCTTCACATTAGGTAGCGTATGTAAACGGTTTTAAGGCACCCAACAGAAAGATCTCAGTACAAACAGAGTATCCTTAAAGTCGGGACTTTTCTTTACACATCCTATAGTTCTTGTAAAAATAACCTAGTAACAGTTAAAACAAAGTCTTAAGTCTGAAAGAGCTGTTTATTTATAATTCCGATTTAGAAAAACAGAAGATGACACATTCACATTAGGGGTGTCAATCCCGAATGGTTTTTGTAATTCCGGGTTTTTCGAGGCTCGGTATTGTATTTCGGGACCCCGGGACCATTTATTTCTCAACAAAAAACAGAAACTAAATAAAAAATTCAAATAACTTAACAAAGCATAAATACTACAAACGATGACTAAGTCATAATAAAGAGTTAAGTGAGTGACACTTTTGTTAAATAAATATAATATATAAAAATAAACATTATTTGATCTTTTTTTAGTAATAAAGATTCATAAGAACTGGGAATGAAATTTAATTATAAGTTGTTAAAATACGAACGCAAAAAATATGAGTGCGTTTAAAGTTCCGTCTTTTAGACTTGAACGGATTTTATTACATATACAGGGTGGCCCATCCCTGTGTGGACGGAATATTACTCATAAACAAACACATTTTGGGAAAATCTATTTATGGGATGTTATACTTGACATTTGAGGGCACATTTCTAAAATATTGGCCATTACACAGCGTGTCCCAATTTCGACCTACATATCAAAGTTGTGATTTTTTAAATAGAATGCCTCAAATTTTATTGCACATTTGGATAAACCAATTCAAAAGAAGAAAATTGATACAGCATACTGTGGGGTTTTGGTAATTAGCTACTGAGATATAAGGTGTTTTGTCTAGAAAAACCCCCCACTTCGGCAACCCCTCAGTCCGCCGACTTGAAATTTGGAGTGCTGAATTTTGTATCAAAACAAAAATACATGCCTCAGCTTTTATCTTGTTTGTTACTTTTTCGGATTTTAATTTTTGCTCATACAGGGTGGTCAAAAACGAGAATTGTAGTTTTTCAAAATTTCAAATGCATATATACAGGGTGACTTTGAAGTTGAGTCATTAATTTTCAGATAATGATTGTAGAAGGAAGATAAACCAGAATATGTGTGTAAAAATAAAAAAAAATTAAAAAAAAAATTTTACCTTGTTTTATAAAGTATCCTCCCGACAAGTATTTCAGTGCGGACCTGTATTTGATCGTGAGGTCCCCTGTGAGGTCTTAAGTCACCTGATTCACGAGCCCGTTGTACTACATTAACAAAGGCACGAGGGGTTGGTTGCACTCGATTGGGAAACCGATCCGCATAAACATGTGCCATTTTTTATTTCGTTTGAGCCACGCAACAGAAACTACTCACACGCTAACCGACAGATACTGACTGTATGTATAACTGAACTGAATAAAACACTTAATTGCAAAAACGTCGTTCCAAATTCTTTCGCTTTTTTGTTTCCGATGCGATGAACCGGTAAGGCGGATTATATCCGTTGTTGCCAAACACGAGTACATGATATTATTATTGAGACAGGGCGGTACTCAAACTTCCAAAGGGCTATAACTTTGTTACTTTAATTTTACCAGAAAAATGGTAAAGGAAAAAAACATTTCTTTTGATCAGATCTACTCACTGTTAAAATAAATGACTCAACTTCGAAGTCACCCTGTATATATTAGTGCAAGTTTGAATTCAATTTTTTATAAGCTTGTTTTTCATACTAGACACATTATGGGTTTTACGGCTATTTTTTCGGTTATTAGCACGTCTTTTATGGAACGGCTTAATTCCCTAAAATATCGCATCATCCTTGGAAACAAATAAATTGTTGAGCATTATTATTAAATCGTGTTTGAAAATGAATTTTTCTAAAGAAGAAATGGTGAATATGGTGTGATATGACACCGATAGACTTCTTTCTATGAGGGTACGTTAAGCAAGAGGTTTATAGATATCCACCATCTACCCCGGAAAATATGAAGGAAATGATTAAGGATGCTTTTCTGAACATAAGGAACACATGCTGAGGGATGAGCAACGGTCATTTGCCCAAAGACTACGGCTGTGTATTCAACATGGAGGAGATATTTTCGAACAGTTTTTGTAGATTAGGTCTTGAGTAGTGATAGTTGTTTGTTTATGTTGTTGTTATAGTTGTTTTTCTCTATTACGCTTAAAGCTGAATGCTGTTCTGATTGTTATTAGTTTTTAGGTCAAATCTGTACTCTTAGTTGCAATATGGAACTAGCCCACTGTTTGTCTTTTGTTTCCATGGATGATGTGATTTTTTTCCTTAATTTTGGTGTGTGCTTAATAACTCAAAATCTAGTGATTTTATCGGAATCAAACCTCATGCCAAAAAAAAGCCTATAAAAAATTGAATCCAAGCTTGCAGAAATATACAGGGTGATGCATTTGAAATTTTTGAGAGAAAGTATAATTCGCGTTTTTGACCACCCTGTATGAGGAAAAATTAAAATTCGAAAAAGTAACAAATAAGATAAAAGCTGAGGTATGTAAGTTTTTTTTATACAAAATTCAGCACACCAAATTTCAAAATGGCGGTTTGAGGGGTTGCCGAACTGGACGGTTTTTCAGGACAAAACACCTTACATCTCAGTAGCTAATTAAGAAAACCCCATAGTATGGTGTATCAATATTCTTCTTTTGAATTGGTTTATCCAAATATGCAATAAAATTTGAGGCAATCCATTTCAAAAATCAGAACTTTGACATGTAGGTCTAAATTGGGACGACCTGTATAATTGCCAATATTTTAGAAATGTGCCCTCAAATGTCATGTATAACATGTCATAAATAGTTTTTTTCCAAAATGATGATTATGAGTAATATTCCGTCCACACATGGATGGGCCACCATGTATATCCTGCAGAACAAAAGCATCTCTCGAACTCTACACTAGTGGGCTGAATTGACAGATAATCGTATGTTTTTTGAAGAAAGCTGCCACCATTTCCGCCTTTTAAAAAAAGATCAATTTCTTGGCAAAATGATCCTTTGGTCTTCTTCTTTAATTCTAAATGTGCAACTATTGCTTTTTGAAGTTTGATATCCAATGGTTCATAAATATCAATAAAACATTTATAAAATTATATACTAAATATCACCTAATACAAAATTTCGGGACTAATACCAAAATTATTAGTCAATCCCGGGATTTTCAAGACAGGTCTTCTTCCGGGATTTGGGAAATTAGCACATGCCCGATAGCGTTTTGACTTTTCCCACTGTCCGACGAAACAGTGAATCGGCATATGTATATGCAGTCATACGTATACGGTTCAAAAGTTTTAAACTTTTTGACTATCAGTTCAACAAACAATGTTGAATGTTTATTGAAAAATCTACTCACCTGAAAAATGGGATAAATCTTCCTATCACAACAAATCTCATACAGTCTAATGATCACTGTCAACGATAAAACTCTTGTCATCACAGCTGTATAAGCTCGTAGTATATGGTTATCCATTTGATTGGCAAATGTTTGAATATCCTCTACCAATTGACTCAGATCGTTTAGTTTGGCTCTGTTTATCAAATCTATCATCATCATAATGAAGGTCTGGCGTGTATCTAGAAGTATGGGTTTAGAAATAATAATTTCACTTTGAATGAATAACTTAGAATATCTTGAAGGATAGTGTTACGTATTATAAATAGTCTATAAATACTATATTTCAGGTTATACGTAAAATATTCGTATGATAAACTACTACTTTTGTTGGTTCCTTGTAATGCTGACAATTATGAGACCATATTCATATCGGGTTTTCCAATAGGGACTTTACAACTTTGAACTTTCACTGTGAACGCACCTTTAAATCAATTACCGAACTGTGAATGTCAAAACATTCAGTAAAGAAAAACATTTGCATCATGGTGAAGTACACAAACGAACAACGCTTACAAATAATTAAAATTTACTACCGAAATTCCGAGTTGGGGACTGCAACTTTAAGAGCGTTAACGCCAATTTTTTGTCGTAATTCTCGTCCTAATTATAGTCTAGTAAAAAAATTTGAGTCGCTGCCGTTCAAGCTTCCGCCGCAAACGAACAGAACAGGTAGATTCCACGGCGTTCTCAAGAATTGGGCATCGCTTAGACCACACAATGGCGAATTTTGCGAAGAGATCTTGGCTTGCAGCCTTATGAGATCAAGTTAACTCATGAACTAAAGCCGTTCGATCATATGAACCGACGTACGTTCTCGAATTGGGCTCTAGAAATATTACAAGAAAACTACCAAATTCATCGCAAAATCATCTTCAGTGATGAGACGCAACAAACAGAATATGCGTTATTGGTGAGGTGAAAACCCTCATGTGATTCAAGAAACACCACTTCATCCACAAAAAATAACTGAATGGTGTGGTTTTCTGCCGGTGATATTGGGCCGTTTTTTTTTCTTTCGTTGATGTAAATGACCGTCACGTTACAGTCAACGGAGATCGCTACAGAGACATGTTGCAACGTTATTTTTTTGGTCAGTTGGATGGGCTAGACATAAAGTATATGTGGTTTTAACAAGACGGTGCCAGAAGCCACACAGCGGGTGAACCAATCGACATATTGAAATGAAAATTCGGTGAACGTGTTATATCGAGAAATGGCACTGTCGAATGGCTGAATAGATCGTGTGATTTAACATGTCACTTTTTTGTGGGACTTCATTAAATCAATGGTCTATGCCGACAAGCCGGCGCCGTTAGAGGAGCTCAAAGCCAATAGTGAACGAGAAATAGCGGCCGTTCCTGTCGAAACATGTGGCCGAGATATTGAAAATTGGGTTCAACGAATCGATCGCTGCGAACGCGCCCGTGGTAGAGATATGAACGAGGACGAATTCCATACATAAATGTTTTGATTATACTTCAGGCCAATAATAAAATTTTCGAGAAATCTCATATGGTTTGCGTTTCATTTAAAAAGAAAGTCCTTAATGGAAAATCCTTTAGTAACAAATGGAGGATCCGGACATTGGAACAAAAACAGTAATTTTCAAAAATATTACAATGCGCACTTGTATCAGTTAAGAGAAATAGAACATTCATTAAACAATCTTGGATAAATATGAAAACTACTTACTAAAGCAATAAATATCGCTGTACGTGAAAATTCTGCGATACAAATCCAAGACAACCATAAAATTATGCTGATAACCTTTTTCAAAAAAGTCTGTTAAAACTTCGTTTCTGAATTGAAGATCACGCACAGCGTGATTAGGATATGGCCATTCTTCAGTTTTATCCAGTAGATGGAGAGCTAAAATAAAATAAAAATATACTGACTATACTATAACCAAGTATCCAATTCATAACACCTCTGTTCACGTGTGTGCAGATTTTATCGTGTATAGTTTATGTGAAAGTAAATAACTTTTCACCGTTACACAGACATTAAAACTCCTAAGAAAACCGAGTTATTAAGTTCTGAAAAATAAACTGATTTGAAAATACTGAAATTAGCAGATTCCTATAGCAATAGGGGTATTTCATGTACACAACTGAAAAGGTGATGTTTTAAAATACACTCGTGAAGGAGAAAACGATTTTTATGGGCCGCTAAAGAATAGCTGTGATCGAAATTGGGATATCTCCGAAGCTGACGATAGCCAATCTAATACTATATTCCCGAGTCCAAAACATTATACGAGAAGAAATAGGGAACTGTAACGTAATAATAGTATTAGATTGGCTATCTTCAGGTAGAATACGTTAATCAATGGCTTCAGTTTATATTTTATATCAAAGTTATAGTTAAATCTTGACTATTTGTATTATGGATATGATATCAATAGATAACATTATCCGTATCTTTCGTTTATTGTACTTCTTTATACAAAAAAATAATAACATAGCAACACTAAACTGTAGGTTTCCATACAAATAAAAATATGTTTAAAATCATTAAAATAATAAGGCTTGAAAATAACCATTATAGAGTATACGAACAAATTATTGAATTCATTGAAGAAAACAAAGTTTAAAAAAAATGGATTTAGAACAAAATATTCTACAGAAACAGCAATCCAAATGGTGGTGGAAGACTGGAGAAGAGTATAGATGAAGAAGTATAGATGAGAAAGAATGTAACAGTATCTTTGGACTTCAAAAGGGCATTTGAGACTATAGATAGGGAAAAAGATTGTTAATGAAATTGCATTACTATGGTTTTAAGGGATCAGTATTAAACATTTTACAAAATTATTTAGTAAATAGAAGTCAAAAAACCAAAGATGGAAATATGTCAAGCGTTAAAAATATAGTAGGGGTGCCACAGGGGAGTAAATTAGGGCCGTTACTATTAATTAATAATATAAATATATCTCTGACTTTTTAGCACACCTCAAAATTCAAATATTTGCGGACGATACATTATATATATATATATATATATATATATATATATATATATATATATGTATATATATGTATATATATATGTATATATATATACAGGGTGACAGGAAATTAGTGGCGGAGCCGGTAAGGGGTGATAGTATAGGGTAATTAGAGCCGATATTACTATGAGACCTACTATCCCACAGTAACCCATTCCAAGATATTCGTACTTGAAGAATTTTACCAAAAAGTTCAACTTAAAATTTTAAAATAGGTATACATCTTAAAAAATGGCTTTTCGGCCAATTTTTTTTTTGGTTTTACAACAAAGATATTCTGAATAAGGAATACTAAAAGTTTAATCCTGGTAATTGTCGTAATTTTCTGCGATAATTGCTAAATAAAAACTAAAATGAAAAAAAAAAACACGGTGACGGCTTCTAAAACGTGGATTTACTCAAAAAAGTAACCTATAATTGTTACATACAAAATAATTAAAAAACATCTACGTTTCGTTGCCTGTCGAATACGGTATTAAAATCTAAAATCGGTTCAGGGACCATCAAGATAGACGAATAATAAAAATGAAAGAAAAAAGCTGAATGCTGAAAAATCAATTTATTACAAAAAACGCTGTAGTAGTCTCAATTTAATAATAGCTGAAAAGTTTATGCAAAAATATGCTCCCCTCAGTGACAAGACGCCTATATGTGGTGGGCGACATTTTTCCGTTTCATCGAAGCGAACTGTCATTTGTACATCCTTAGAAAGTTAGTTTCTCTCTGCTAATGTAGATGCAGCACACAGTATAAGAGAGGCTGCTGGTCGCGGCGGAGATCGCTGACGTGCTTACGCAGAATATACATTGAACGCAGTGTTATCAGGTCTACCGATTTTTCTGTAAATTGTAAGGGGGGTGTAAGGGGTGATAGTATAGGGTAATTAGAGCCTATATTACTATGAGACCTACTATCCCACAGTAACCCATTCCAAGATATTCGTACTTGAAGAATTTTACCAAAAAGTTCTACTTAAAATTTTAAAATAGGTATACATCTTAAAAAATGGCTTTTCGGCCAATTTTTTTTTTGGTTTTACAACAAAGATATTCTGGATAAGGAATACTAATAGTTTAATCCTGGTAATTGTCGTAATTTTCTGCGATAATTGCTAAATAAAAACTAAAATGAAAAAAAAAACACGGTGACGGCTTCTAAAACGTGGATTTACTCAAAAAAGTAACCTATAATTGTTACGTACAAAATAATTAAAAAACATCTACGTTTCGTTGCCTGTCGAATACGGTATTAAAATCTAAAATCGGTTCAGGGACCATCAAGATATATGAATAATAAAAATGAAAGAAAAAAGCTGAATGCTGAAAAATCAATTTATTACAAAAAACATTCTTATTCATAATGCGTTTTCAAAATGCCCACCCCTATTTCTAATACAAATTAGTGCTCTTCTCAGGACACCCGTTTTCACAACCCTTGAATCTCGAAGCTCCGTTTGTATTTCCTGCGCTGCGTGAATGATTCTGTTGCGCAGGTCTTCAATATTAGGTACAGGGACATCAGTACCATACACGATACTTTTCATTCGACCCCACACGAAGAAGTCCATGGGTGTGATGTCGGGACTACGTGCCGGCCATGGTATTGGACCACCTCTACCTATCCAGCGGTTGGGGAAGTGTTCGTCAAGCCAATTTCTCACAGCTAGCCTGAAATGCGCTGGACAGCCATCATGCATGAAGGTCATGTGTTGTCTTGTTTGTAGCGGCACGTCTTCCAACAATTCATGCAAAACATTCCTGAGAAAATCTTCATATGTTTCCCCATTAAGGTTTTGAGGCAGGAAATGAGGTCCAATCAAACGGTTATTGATTATTCCCATCCACACATTAAGGTTAAATCTTCTTGTGAACCTTTTGGTCTTTTTAGGTGTGGATTACCCATGACACGTTCTCTCCAGTAGTGAACATTATGGTAATTGGTAATACCGTCCTTATCAAACTTGGACTCATCAGTCCATAAGATCGTTCTCAGATAATTCCTATCTTCAACATCCGCATTGATTAAAAATCTGCAAAACTGGATTCGTCTCAAAGGATCCCCTTCTTCTATTACCTGAACAGGTGTGTAATGGTAAGGGTGGAACCCACTTTCATGAAGAAGGTACCACACCTTCCATTGGGAGAGTCCCATAAGCCGAGCTACCATTCGTGTAGATAGAGTAGAGTCCCTTGCGAAGTAATTTAAAATTTCCTCTTCGTCTCCCGCGGCATACAGTCGAGGTCTACCTGCGTCACCTGAAAACAAAAAAGATTTGTTTTTATAAGTTTTAGTACAATGACTTTTGTTGATTTTTATGGTGCTAATTACGTAGCCGTTAATATTAGTCAAACTAAAAGCAATTATAGCATCAAAGACTTGCTGTCCGCGTGGTAATAAAATGTGGAAACAGGACGCCCTCTGATGGGTTGTCTGTCGCACTTACGGGCCTTACGGCAGGTAGTGAGGCACCACTAAAGCTAGCCTATCGAGCCCTGGCATACCGATAATTTATGGGTTTGACTTTAGTAAGTTGTATGGACAGCGACATTTGTTTTGCAATCCCACAATTAAAAGGGTACGTGCAAGGATAACAAAAAACTGATAGGAAAGGTTTAGTTTTATTTAGTTTGAAACGGATTTGATAAAGAATTTTGTGTAAACAAAATAATAATAATAATGGCTGTTCCTTACCTTGGTATCTTTGGACGGTTCCTCGCTCTCGCACTCGACGGAATGTTCGGGAGGATACGCGTGCATCAGGCAATCGACGATAAGGGAATATTTCGGCATATTCTCGACGAGCTTGTTCTGCGTTTCCTCTGGCAGCTCCGTAATAAAAAATAATATCGGCGTATTCGTCGATACTGAACGATCGTCTTCTTTCTCTAACAGCCATTATTACTCAGCTAGTCCACACTCAGTCACTCAGCAGCCAAATCGTAAGGAAAAATCAAAGTCGTGAAAATATCAAATCTGAGAGCAAGCGAGCACATCCGAACACAGTAAACCGTAAGAGCGGACTGAAAGGATGTTTTTTCATTATTTTGTACGTAAAAATTATAGGTGACTTTTTTGAGTAAATCCACGTTTTAGCAGCCGTCACCGTGTTTTTTTTTCATTTTAGTTTTTATTTAGCAATTATCGCAGAAAATTACGACAATTACCAGGATTAAACTATCAGTATTCCTTATTCAGAATATCTTTGTTGTAAAACAAAAAAAAAATTGTCCGAAAAGCCATTTTTTAAGATGTACACCTATTTTAAAATTTTAAGTAGAATTTTTTGGTAAAATTCTTCAAGTAGGAATATCTTGGAATGGGTTACTGTGGGATAGTAGGTCTCATAGTAATATCGGCTCTAATTACCCTATACTATCACCCCTTACCGGCTCCGCCACTAATTTCCTGTCACCCTGTATAGGTGAAAAATTAAAGCTTCCGCCTTTTGTTGGGTACTTCGACAAAATTTAAGCAAAGAGGACTCTTTATACTTTTTTTAATTCTCTCTAGCTTTCAATGGACTTTGCCACCATCATCAGGAGCTGCAATTACAATGATAACAGTAGCAACAAAAGTGTAAAATGAATTTAAATTGAATCAACTTACAGTAGTATGTGAGGATGTTGCTAATTGTTGTTTTCGTATAGGATGAGGGAAACGTCCAGTAACATGGTGAGAGCTGGATACATGGTACAATGGTTAAATTTTGTCGAAATACCCAACAAAAGGCGGAAGCTTTAATTTTTCACCTAACTGGTTTAGACGACAATGACCACCTCTCAAGTTATATATATATATATATATATATATATATATAAGCATCTGGACACTGCTTTAGAACTGTTAAATAGTGATATTAAAAAAATTATGAATTGGTTGTGTTAATAAACTTAAATTAAACACCAATCAAACAAAATGTATGTCAATAGGAAACAATTTAGATGACAATACAATTAAGCTCATGATTAATGATGAAAAAATTGAAGTAGTCGAATCATTTAAATATCTGGGTATATATGTGGATAGTAAACTACTGTTTCATTATGAATACATTATTTCAAAAATACCAAAAAAGATAAATTACTTGTATAGAGTTTCGCATGTATTCCAAAGAAATTGTGTAAACACTATATTTTTTTCCCATTTTTTGTATTCGTCAACGATCTTGTTTACAGCAAATGAAAGCATATTTTCAAAATTACAAATTCTACAAAATAAAGCTATGAGAATCATTTTAAATAAAAACAAATAGGCTAGGATTAGAAGAACTACAGTGGTTGAATGTGGAAAATTTCATGTTATTAAGGCCCGTATCGTCAGTCGTCCCTACAATTATTGTAGGGCACGTTTATGGCCTCCTTGATTGTCATACTCGTTTTTCTCCTTCAAAAATTTCTAGATTACACTTGTCCCGTGTCAGCGTCAGCACTCTCCTATTGTGAAGATATGTTTTCTTTTTAAATTGTAGGAAAATTCAGGCTGATAAAACATGATATAACTCAAAAGCAAGCACAATTTGATGCAAATAGATGTTTGTGACATAACCTCAAAATAGAGTTCTGACACGGAGAAGTAGAAAACTATGACAATCAAGGAGGCCATAAAGGCGCCCTACAATTGTAGGGACGACTGGCGATACGGGCCTTAGTTCTCATTTTCATACTCAAATTGAAATATCATTTATTACCACCACGTTTAGAAGACTTCACAAAATTAAACAGTCATTATCATAACTACAAAACTAGAGGCAGTATAGATTTTCATCTGCAAAATTATAATAGCAGAATAACTAGCAAATCCGTATTTCAAAAGGGAGTATTTGAATTTAATAAATTGAATAATGATATCAAACAGTGTTCGAATTTAAACATGTTTAATGTGAAATTAAAAAATCACTTTATGAACACTCAAAATGCATAGCGATATAATTTTAACAGACAGCAATGTAAAATTACAGAAAATGGATTGAAGAAAAATGTGTAAGCGAATAATTACACAAAATTGACTTTGTAGCGTTAAATAAATCTCCCACAAACAAGAAAACCAGACGACCTACACAAGCGCCTAACGTCATACGCAGTACGACATGTATTTCAATAAAAGTATTTACCTCCTTAACTAATGCACAAGCCATTTTAAAACTTTTAGCGTATTTTAAGCACATTTTAGGATGTTCTGTAATAAAAAAAAATTAAATCGTTCAAAATCACCCAAAGTATGGTTTGAAATGTTTACTTCCGGTTTCGCACCTTAATTGTTTTTAAATTCAAGTTTTAATTTTAAAATCAAAAATGGCGTCAAGTAGGTTGACTCTGCACTTCCTACGCAATGCTGCCATTAGTTTATAAACGGAGTTTGACCAATTTTTATTTTCACCTTTTTTGCCCCTAGCTCCGCCGCCAAAGGATCGATCTTCAAAAACTACAATGATTTTTCATCCTTGACATAGTAGTAATCTTGTGTGAAAAATTCATCAAAAAACATATCTCATTTTCGAATTTATAATACATCCTCGCAACTAGGCGTGGGAGGTAAAAACACAGAACATTTCCTATATAAAACGCTAAGTTTAATGTCTCAATGTAATACTCTTAAATTTGAAAAACCACTTCCAGAAATGACGATTTTATCGCGTTTTCTCTTTTGCACCTAATACTTCTATTCCCACCTCACTTTTTTTCAGTTTCTTCAAGATGCTGCTGATACTTCGCGTATGTATATTTCGCACAAAGGTCGTTTATATGAGTGTCGAGGTAGACACAGTAGAAGTCCTAAACAGCCCCGAATCTTGCAAATTAAGAGTCAACAACAATCTTGTGTTATTGAAACGAACGGTGACAACTCAGAACCGCACTTACGAACAACATCAACTTTAATCATGTTCAACCTTTCAAATCACCCTGTATAATTCCGAAGCTATAGGGATTTGCAACTTATGCTTTTTGATCAAGTGGTCTTACATATAGTTTTTGATATATCGATAATGTATTTCATCTTAATATAATATGGATATGACAGCGACTAGCACTTACTTGGACATTGCAGAATTTCATAGGCAAACCGGAAATTCTCACCAGTAACGAGAATTTTCGCCAGGTAGATATATCGCCCCATGTGAGTCATTGTAAATGGAAAAACCTGCAAGAACTACAGTAATAAATTGTTAGAATCCAAGCTTTGAGCTCATTTCTTTTCTAAATCATTTTCTTTTTATCCTAATTATTATCTTGTCAGCAAAACATCCAGCAAACTACAAATGTAAAGTGCGAGAATTCACTTTGGGTCATGCGAATGCAAAGCTTATTAAATTTTCGAGAATATGTTCAGATTATATTCATGCACTGGATTTAGTAAGACTGATTTGCTTGGCAGATTTTCTAGTTTTAAAGGAAATATAACAGTTGCAATCTTATATTTATAGTACGAGTTTACTGCCTACCATCCTAAGAATGGAATATCATGATCACAAAACGTACAGAAAAAATGGTATAAAATGTCAATCTCAACAGTTCGAGGGCTTGATTTTTTTAGTTTCTCAATATCAACTTGAAAAAATTAAAAATTATACGGTATAAATAATAATGGAGTCTGGTTCACATGTATAAACTATACATTTGAGCAATGTGCAATAGCCTAAAAATCCCTAATAGTTCGATACAATTGGTTTGAATGTAGCCTAAAAAATCGCATTGTTTCGATACTGTCATAGCAACAAGTTCACATAATGTGACTGCGCTATGAAGACCTGAGCCCCTCCAGCCCATCCCGAGTCCCGCAAGCAGGTGAATCAGCGCGATGCAACACAGCGGTACTCGGCACGATACACATACACTGAAGATAGGATATTGCGCATGTGGGCAGAGCTTCGTGACGTCACCTGGAGAGTTGTCGGCTCGTGGTTACCAGCGTCAGGATTGTCGTAACGTTACTGCAGTGCACGTGTATCGTGGTTAATACTATATAGGGCGATTTGTTGGTGATTTTTGGTGCGTTTGTAACTTGTTGTATTAGTTATACATACTTTATATACCCTGTGATGTTAGTGAATTGATTCAAATGCGGTGTGCTGTTGTGGGATGTAATTCCGACAACCAATCTAAACGGAATCCTTGCAAGGACATGAAGTTCCACAGTTTTTCTCAAGACCCAAACCTTGGCAAAAAATGGCTATATCAAACAAAAAGAAAAATCAAAGTCAATGTAAAATGCGCTAGGATTTGCTCGAAGCACTTTTGTGAAAGTCAATTTGAAAGATACCCTCTTGGGTTATACCCCTAAAAGATATCGTGCTCTAAAAGATGATGCCATTCCTATGGAAAATTTACCCAAGTTTCTATCATCACCTGGACCATCTTCATCTGTTGGAGAAAAGCGGAAAAGTGCTTACGAAAAAAGGCAAAGGGCTCAACTTATCGCCTAGAGTTTGAGTATAGAATAAGGTCATATATTTTGAGGCGAAACGAAGGCGCATACTCAGAGTATTGCAGCGTAGAGGAAGAGGATACTCCGGACATTCCACTATCCGCATCATTAACGAATAAACTGAATGCACCTGAAGTATCAGCTGACTATAACGAGGAAGTTTTAGTGGAAGAAATGGATGAGCTCGAGTATGATGGGCGGAAAAATTGAATGAAAGTTTGAAAGACTAGAAAAATCGTAAAAGGAAATGGAGAAAAATTTTGACATTTATTGTTATACCGCCAGCTTACTGCAAAAAGATGAATAACTCCATTTTTCTACTTTTCGAGTTGCGTTTTCACACTTGCATGTAGTTAGTACTTAGGATGTTCTGTGAAATAAGGATGAATAAATGTAGTTCAGTATTAACGTCATGAGCATGTTAATCCTGCTCCACAGAACATACTAAAATATAGGTAATGAAGAAAAATCTTGTTTTTACAGTTAAGTGACGATACACGCTCTATTGTGGAGCTAGAAAGCCGTACAGGCTATAGCCTGTGAGATAGGAACTACAAGGTTGAAATATTTTTATTTAAATCCGCCATTTTGTTTTGTATAGAATTTTAATGTAGATTGTGTCACTGGCCAACGACACCTCTTCTGTGAACATCTATCAAGCCGTTTGAGCTGTAGCCTATGAAATGTGAATTACAAGGTTGAAATGTTTTATTAATAGTAGTGTCCTTAAGAAAACAGCCAAACTGACTAACCTGCCATATCCTACAATTTGTAAGAATTGACATTAAGTGCAGCAACAACTGCCAAAATAAGGAACATAGTGTATGATCATTATAAAGGTGATGAAATCCCCTCAGCAGAGATGGTTCATCGAGAATTCATGGAAAGAGGCGAGAGTTGTTCCCTGCGGACATTTCACAGATTTGAAACATATAACAATCAACGTTATTCAACAACTCGATTCAGTCATCTCTCATCTCATCCAGACTTGCAAGAGAAAATGTTTGAAAATTTTCAGATTCATCGTCTCTGTCCTCATGCCTCCGGTTCTCGGTTTTATAGCCGTTTTATGACTATCGGCAAAAAAATGTAAACGAATCTAACAGCTTTGTCGTCTACTATACCTTTATACATCACCACTAAGTTAAATGCACCTTTGCGTCTATACACAGAGCAGAGCCAGTAAAGCTAACGAAAACAGATAATACTAGCTTTGTCCATAATATAGTAAAATATAATGGTTATACTTGTTAAAAAGGCAAACATATGCTTGATGGATAACGCCATTATGTCACCACCCATGCACACAGAAGAAGTTGTCATAGCAGTATCTTTGGATTTGAAGAGGGCAGTTGAAACGATTGATAGAGATATTTTGTTAGGTAAATTGAAGGCAGGAAGTGTTTTAGATTGGTTTAGAAATTATTTGTCTAAAAGGAAGCAAGTTACAAAAGTTAATGGCACTATTCCATCAAAAATTGAAAATACGTTGGGTGTTCCACAGGGCAGTATCCTGGGACCACTTCTTTTTATTTTATACATAAATGATTTACCTGCCATAGTCAAAAAATACAAAATTAAGGTTTTCGCCGATGACACTATGATTTATATAAGTACCAAAAGTATTCAGTCAGATATCTCTTATATAAATGAAGACTTGAAGCTTGTCTCAAAATGGCTAGCATCTAACAGACTAAAATTAAATGCAAGTAAAACAAAAGCCTTGTTAATAGGAAAAAACAATGTACAAATGTTCAACTGAATATTGATGGTGAAGATATTGAATTCGTAGAAAATTTTAAATACCTGGGGGTTTTTGTAACTCTCGATTAATTTTTGATATTCATTATGAAAAGGTTATAAATAAGATTAGTAGTAAAGTGGGATATTTATCGAGAGTTTCTGGATGTCTGAGTTCATATAGCAGAAAAATTATCTATAATACCATCATTCTTCCAAATTTCTTGTACTGTTCGACTATTCTATATTTAGCAAATAATTCCATTTTTGAAAGACTGCAAATTTTACAAAATAGGTGCATGAGAATAATACTAAATACAGATAAATATACTCCAATTAGGCAAATGCTTAGCAAATTAAAATGGCTCAATGTAAAAAATTTTATCAACTATCTTGTAATGATATTCATCTATAAAGTAAAAAATAATATATTTCCATCACGTCTAACTAATTTAACATCATCAAATGTCGACCATCATTTGCATAATACCAGAAATAAAGATGACTTCCACTTAATGACCAAAAAGTATAACATACTTTGAAAAAATTTAAAGTAAAATTGAGAAATCACTTGTTAAATCTACAATTATAGGTTGTCCAGCATTTACATCATACACCATTTGGCTTGAATTTACTAGTTCTAAGTTGTTTACAATTATTCTGTTTATGTAGCCAAATGTGCTAATTAAATCTTTCTACTACTACTACAAGCAGCGGCTACAACATTCAAAAAAGAAATGAAAACCAAAACCAAAGCAGAATGAGGCACTTAAAATTAGCTTTCTTCACAATACCCTACGCTGGGACCTAATGCTTCTGTATAAATTTGTCCAGCTTGTGATGAGAATTATATGGATATAAATTGACATATAAAAAGCAACACCCAGAATTATTAAATTTAATTTCGTGTTTAAATTTTAATCACTTTCTAATTAGACCTAAAGCTTGTAAACATATGCTCAAAATTACACCACTTCTAGTCGGAGTTGTATTTTCTATGTCATTTAGGATAATAACATGCAGGTCAACAAAAAATTTCACAAACCTTTGCCGTTGGTCTAGTGGGTTACTGTGAAGAAAGGACTGATTTACTTCTATTAAATATAACACACCTGTGAGGAAACGAGGCTGTCCCAGTCACAAAATTTTGCTACCATGTTTGCAGCTTCTTTCCAATATCCCTTCTTTCCCAGCGTGTGCAGTAAATTAAACACTATCACCTCTATTATTCCTTTAATATAAGGGGTTGTCACAAATCCTGGATTGATTTCACCTGAAAAAAGATCATTTGAAGATCTAACGTCCGATAGCACTGCCTTGCTAATTTCAAAATTTTTGTTGATCAAGATACACTTGAAACTTGAATAGATCATAAACGGACGGTCAATGTAACATCTGAAACTTATCCTGTGATTTTGAATGAAACCACAAATATGTTTAAAATTCTTCTTTACTGTAGGACGTTTTGAACCAAACAGTGACCATTTTTGAAGTACAATTGACAATATTGTAGCGTTTTTTCTGAGTTGTTTTGGGTCTGGATTAAAACACTGGATTCCACAAAACGAAATGCACTAATTTATTTAACTTGATAAAACATTTATATGCACCACTATTTATGTCTGACTAATTCGTATGACACCATTTACTGTACTATACTTCACTCCGCTCTGCTACTCTACCGTATTCAGTACTTTCTGCTCCATCTCCCGGCCGCCGAGTTATATATACTTCAATTACCGCTGCGAGAATAGACTACAAAGCGGTATCGAGAACCTTGGTGATCACTTCGCGGTGATCTAGAAGGCGATCCACTGTCACAGTCCTTACACGCCGCTAGATGGCTGGTGCGGTCGTGATTCGCGTAACAGTAGAGATCGGCCATGAAGCTCTAACGAGTAAAAGACTCGCCCAACAGATGGCGCCGACAGTATGATTTGTTAAAATATATTCTATCTGTGTTCCAGGTGACACTCCGTTTGTTTTTTCCTTCATTTACACATTGCAATTCAGTGTCTTACTACAATAGTCTGAACGGTTATGTAACATTCTGAGATTTCGCAAGGACACAAATGCAAAACCCGCAAAGCTCAGCAAAACGACGTCAACTCTCCAAAGCGACAAGCGAGCATCTGTCGTTTTTTCATGTACCAGATACGTCAACCCCGTCCATCAACCCGAAAACGCCAAAAATGACCCAGAAGCGCGGATACCCACCCCGAGCTTTCGTCGTAACACACTACAGTTAATTGTTATGCAATCTTCGACTACAAATGCTGCATGAAGTCTTGTGAGGAAATTATATTAAGACACAGCAATTCAGATCCTTAAACGATGCACATGCAGTAATTAATCGGTGTGTCTCGACAATAGTTCTGGGTGGGTTTTCGCGTTTTCGGAGGATTTAGAGCATTTTCGGTATTGCAGATTACCTGATGCTCATTTGTTGCAGTGCCGGGCTTCGCGCAATCTCAGTATGTTACAGGACCGTTCAGATTATTGTAGCTACAAACTGTATAGGAATATGTGAACGAAAGAAAAATAAATTGTCAAAAGTGTCAATTCACTAAAAGCTATACAATGCAGAGGAATTTTAAACATATAAGTGGTTATATTCGGCCTGACAAAGATGGGGATTAAATGAAGAGTTCAGCTCTGTCGAAGATTTCCTTTGCTCAAGGTAAAGTTTCTAACCTAAAATGTACCTTGGTTTTGACGACTTGATGATCGAGTATCTCAAATTAATTTGCAACAGATACACTGTTGTCAGGTGTAATCTTATCTAAGATTTTACCAAATTGGACTGGTGCAACAAAAACCTAATTTGGGGTTGGACACACATATTTGCGAAAAGTGATGGAACCGAGCTTAGGCTTAGGCTTAGGCTAAGTTTTTCTAGGTCACAAAACCATAGAAATACCACAGAATAATCGGTATGTACTATTAGATCACAATATCAACTATGTAAATTACAAAAATGTCCTACCTATAGCATTTACAAGATCCATAAAAGCTTTGTGAGCCATACTACTATTCCTCAAGTGTGCTACCGCCATGGTGATGAATCTTTTGACAGTAGGCTTCCCTTTGTACTTCTCCAGCAGTTCAAGGAACGTTTCCGCGTCCGTGAACATAATAGCATCATTCAATTTCGTGACGTCAGATTCGTTCAAATCAATGTGATCAAGACTCTCTGGGATCAGATTATGCAGGGACTTGTCCATTTGGTAGTCAGGCCGATAGTTAGCCTTGCCCACTATAGGATGCGCTGGGGTCAAAGAGACTTCGACTTCTTGTACTGGTATTATCCTACAACAGGTTAAATCCCCAAATTAGCATTTGTCGCCAAAACGGACACAGTTGCAAACTCTCGACATTGTTTATAATTTCGAAGAGTTATTCACATCATAAATGGCTCGAAAGAATTCTGATAAATAGCTATACGGGCATTATTATACCACAACAATGATGTGGTAAGGTTTTTTATCATTTTTTTTTTCGGTGGTATCTGAATACAGACTTACCGGTAAAAGCAGCACTAGCGGAAAAAAAATGATCATCGGATTTCTTATGAATGCCGACATTCATCCTAGAAATTGGATCTTTTTTAGGAGCTTTGCCTCACAGAACGAGTCCCGATTTTTTTTCATTGGTTTATACAAAGTAGTCCTGGTACGTGGCGCACGGAAATTAGGCAAACAACAAACTTCGCGTTTAAACTTGAATTACGATTCTCGAGTAAAGGGCCAAATAATTTTGTAAATTTTTGATATTAAGTATCTATTGGTGTGGAAAGTAAGACTAAATATCAAATTCGTCATATCTCCTTTCAGTTCCCCTCGACTAGAGACACCCTATAAAACAACATACGAGGTCTGTAAATCAAGTGATGAGGCTGGCAACGCAGCGTTCGATCGAGACATTGTGTTCTAAAAATGAGTAACACCAATTTCGAGCAATGGTGTGCTATGAGGTTTTGCTTCAGACTTGGGCGCAGTGTAATGAAAACTTTTACTAAAGTTCACCAAGCCTACGGAGATAGTCTTTTGTCAAGAGCCCAGGTTTTTTGGTGGTTTAAAGCATTTTCAGAAGGGAGAGAGTCGATCAAAGATGAACCACGAAGCAGAAGATCTTCATCTTCAAGAACAAATTTGAATAAAGACAGAATCTAAGATGTTTGTTCAGATCGTCGGTTAACGGTTAGAATCATCGGGGAAGAGTTTAATCGATTGATACAGCCGTTTATCTGATCAATAACAACTGGGTGTTGTATCACGATAATGCTCCTTGTTACACAGCAATGTCAATAAACGATTATTTGGTCAGTAAAAACATTCATGTGGCTCCTCAGCCTCCTTATTCGCCTGACTTGAGACCTTACAACTTTTTTCTCTTCCTTAAGTTGAAAAATCGGCTCAAGGGAACTCAGTTTGGGATAGTCGAAAACATTTAAACGGCTGTAATCGCAGGCTATTCCAGTATCAGAGTTCCAGCACTGCTATGAGGACTGCAAGAACCGTCTTCAGCGCTGTGTGGCTTCAGAAGTTATTTTGAGGGTGACCATATAAACTTGTAATTAAATTTGAATGAAAAAAATAAAAAAAAATCAGTCCCATCACTTAATCTACAGACCTCGTATTTAAAATTCCAATTACTCGTTGGAATAACATGACTTGCTTAATATCATTAGCAGGGCATCTCCACTGTACTTACCACACTAGGCAACAATTTGCTATACTGAATCGCCCTGTACACGAGATCTATTTCGGATTTTGCTTCCGACTGTGTCGGATGTCGGCGATCTTCTACCTGCTTATAACCTTTCTTTATACGTTCGTTTACATTTTTAAGGCAGGCAAATAATGGATGAAAGCACACAAATGCCAAACAGCATTTCAAAAATCAACGGCGATCATTCCCAACTTTTTTTATGCTTGCGAATGATTTTGCTTATTCACAAGGTAGTACTGACTATATATCAGTATACGCATTTTGACAAAAAATGCAACAATCGTAGTTTTTTTTAGGCACTGCAAATTTTGTTATGTGTTTCATATGTAAAAGTTTGTTTTACATTAGAAAGACTGAAAGTTAGTATACAGGGTGTTTCAGTTTATTGTTATATAACTTTAAGATTCGATAGAACTTTTAAAATTAATGCATAAAGTCTATATAAACATGGGTCGAAAAATGCCTGGCTTCCGAAATACAGGGTGTTTAAATTTACTTTCTAAAATAGTTTTTTTTTAAATATTTCGAACAATATTTGATGTATAACAGTGAAAATTGGTATACAAGGGTTTTTTGGTACGACAAAACGAACCATGGGCATAGTTTTACTGCAGCCGCTAGAGGGCGCTCTTTACTGTACCTGTAGTGTATTAAAATGACCGAATTCTTTTTCTTAGTGCAATTTTTTGCTTTTTGAATAAAAAAACTGATTCTTCGCACTTTTCAACATATTATTTATGGGAAAATAATATTTTTTTTATATTTTCGATTTGGGCATTACAAGTAATTAAGATGATCGTTTAGATTGTGTTTTTAAACACAGCAATAATTCCTAACTCCAAATAAACACAAAAAAACAGAATATTAATTAGTTTAATTTTCCTATATTATTTTTAACAAATTAAATTAATTATTTACAACTAAAATGCTATTGGATAGTTAGAACAAGCATACAAAATCTAAAGTAGTTGCTCGAAATGTAAACCCAATTGTTCAATACACAATTCATATCTACGAATGATCGAACGTGGTATACCATTATTCAAATAAGGTCTTATTTCATCACATGCATTCCTGATTCTGTCTATTAGCATATCTCTTGTGGTTACGGGAGTCTGGTACACTTTTTCTTTTAGAAATCCCCACTCAAAGAAATCTAATGGATTTAGGTCAGGGGATCGTGGAGGCCAGGCGACTGGTACTCCACGACCGATCCGTCTTTCTGGATAATTTTCGTCCAGTCAGTTTCTAACTATTCTCGAATAATGAGCTGGACAACCATCAAGCTGGAACCAGGCCAATCTTCTTAAATCTAACATAACATCGTCCCACATATTTGCATGTTCAGCCTTTAAAAATTCCAAGATACCAATCCACACGTTCACACTAAATTCATGCTGAAAATTTCTTTCCCGAACTGCATGCGGATTTTCATGCGACCAAATATGTTGATTATGAAAATTTACTACTCCACGTCTAGTGAAGCATGACTCATCGGTCCATAAAACGTTACTTAAAAACTCCCTATTATTATCAGTTCTATCAAGAATCCACTGACAAAATGTGATTCTTCGTTCTCCGTCCCCTGGCTGTAGTCCTAGCACAGGTTGCAAATGGTAAGGACGTCTATGGTCATTTCTAAGAACACGGTGAACATGGCTTGCTGAAATTCCCAAGGCACCAGAAACTCTCCTAACACTTGTCGTCGGATCTCTAACAAACTCACGCAGAATCATACGGGTAAATCTGCGCTGACGAACTTTTATGTTTTGATCCCTTTGGAGATTTCCAAAACCATTTTCACTTATTTGGCGATGCACTCTTACAAATACTGAGCGAGTTGGATGTCGTCTGTTTGGAAATCTTCGTGCGTATTATCTGGCTGCTTCTGCTGCGTTTCAATTTACAAAGCCATACACAAAATTAATATCCGCTAACTCTTGATTGGAGAATAAAAATGGCATTTTTATAAAACTTATAAAAAAACAGGTAAAAGAAACTAAATTTCGTGCATTCACAATTGCAAAAAAACGTTTCAGGTTTCAACAGACAACAAAACTAACTGTAAACTAATTGACGTTTAACCTTATTCTGCTTTCAATTTCAAAAATATTTGCAGGCACACCCTACTTCTAAAAATTATCGAGATACTGACTTTTTAACGTTATTTTATCATAAATAATTAAAAATGCATCGAACCTTAAAAATCGAAATATCTCAAAAACGGTTAACTATAACGAAAACTCACAGGAGAGCTTTTTATGTTAAAAAGTCCGAAGAATCAGTTTTTTTATTCAAAAAGCAAAAAATTGCACTAAGAAAAATTTTTCGGTCATTTTAATACACTACAGGTACAGTAGAGAGCGCCCTATAGCGGCTACAGTAAAACTATGCCTATGGTTCGTTTTGTCGTACCAGAAAACCCTCGTATAGAAATTTTCACTGTTATACATCAAATATTGTTCCAAATATTTAAAAAAACTATTTTAGAAAGTAAATTTACACACCCTGTATTTCGGAAGCCACGCATTTTTCGACCCATGTTTATATAGACTTCATGCATTAATTTTAAAAGTTCTATCGAATCTTAAAGTTATGCCACAATAAACTGAAACACCCTGTATACCTATATTGCTCCAAATCAGTTAAAATGACTGCATGGTGAAAAATAACTAATGCGTAAAGAAATTTGCTTAAACTTAATTTTTAATATTTTTCATATGATTCACAGTCATACAAGTTATTAGTAAGTATTAACATTAGAAAAAAATACTTCACTTGGAAAAGAAATAATTTATGCTCACGGTTCTCCCTCTCTGTCAAAGCGTATCGATTACAGTATGTGATCCTACAGTGAGTGATCCTCCGACCCTCCTTCCCCCTCAACTACGATATAGCCCGTTCAAGGGGAACGAGTCGCATGGCATATGACTGCTTTTGGGCAATACAGGTATAACACACACACACACACCTACATATATATATATATATACACAGGGTGACTTTGAAGTTGAGTCATTAATTTTCAGATAATGATTGTAGAAGAAAGATAAACCAAAATATGTGTGTAAAAATAAAAAAAAAATTACCTTGTTTTATAAAGTATCCTCCCGACAAGTACTTCAGTGCGGACCTGTATTTCATCGTGCGGTCTTGGAGCACCAACATGCCCTCCCCTGTGAGGTCTTAAGTCACCTGATTCACGAGCCCTTTGTACTACATTTAGCATTTTCGTAAACATGTGCCATTTTTTATTTCGTTTGAGCCACGCAACAAACACCACTCTTCACTCACGCGTTACCGACTGACACATCGATTGAATACGACCGAATAAAATTGAGTAAAAACATCGTGATAAATGTTTCAAATTCTTTCGCTTTTTTGTTTCCGATGCGATGAACCGATAAGACGGATTATATCCGTTGTTGCCAAACACGAGCACATAATATTATTATTGAGACAGGGCGGTACTCAAACTTTTAAAGTAACTTTGTTACTTTAATTTTACCAGAAAAATGTTAAAGGAAAAAAACATTTCTTTTGATCAGATCTACTCACTGTTAAAATAAATGACTCAACTTCGAAGTCACCCTGTATACACCTTAGGAAAAACCATTGTTATACATGGGAAATCATTTCTTGGCAACAGCGCATCGGCTCGTCTACTTTCATCGCTATTGGTACATATTTCCTACCGTTAACCGCAGACCTGTATCACGAATGAGAATAATAGGCAGATACGCTGTGTTGCCAATTTGAGTAGAGCTTCCCGAATTGTGGGGAATTTAGAGTTAAGTGTTGATTCATTCAAGCTTTCAATCAGCATGGCCTAGACGTTAGAACTTCATAAAGATAACATTGAAGCTGAATGCTGCTGGAGTATAGTGTTTCGAATATTCAAAGCGGAGCGGGACACTATACTCGTTCAATGGGTCATCAAGCCACAGTCTTTTCAACAAAGAAATTATTTTACGAAAATGCGTTATATTTTTACGATTTTGTCGTCACCAAATCTCTGTTTCTCAAAATGTACGTCTATTGTAGAATTTTCAGCAAACTAAGCAAGAAACGTGATCTAGTATTTACTCAACATTACGGATTTCTCGAAATACATTAAAAAATGTGACCTAGATACCTAACTGCCCCAAGCTCTTTAAATATAACACCTTAAACCAAGGTCACGTTGATTGTCATGTTGTACTGCGCAAGTCAGCAAACAATCTGGCGTAATAAACGTTAGGAATCATCAGGTATTGCCACATTCCCGAATACCGGGCACCATAGTAACCGTTATAGTTGTCCTTCAAAGTTGTCAAATCGCCCCTATGGCGCAAATTCGCCACACCAGGCAACTGTGCTATATACAAACCCTGTTTATCACTACTATTTGATAGTCATATGGTAGTTGTAGACCTATCTAGCGGTCCATGATTTCTCTCAATACTGTTGTATCTCTACTGGCAACAAGAATAGGGATTACAAAATCATTTATACAACAATATACAAACATGAAAAATATGATTTGAATCATGAAACATTAATACAATTTTAATAGTTTGAACTTTTTTCATTTTCGGAATACTCGTATGTGGAATCCGTAGCTATTTTTCCCGAAATTTGGGTAGACTTAGATTTCTTAGAAATATGACATATTGGTATCGGCAACTCTGCGAATGGGAGAAACAAATCGCATTTGTTGAGCGCATCCGTCTAAGCGGTAGGCGCCAGCGCCCGTTCTGCCATCTCTCTCTTTTATCACTCTTCTACTTTACCCCGTTGTCCGTCACACTGCGACGCTGCCGATAGGATCCTACAATCGAGTGTCTTTCACGCACCTACATACTTTTGTATATTTCCATCTCTCTTCCTCATCATAATGTATAATAATGGGTTTTCCCAAGGTGTATATACATATATGCAGTGTCATTACCATGATATAGTTCACATAAAGTACACGTTGCCAATATAAAAATAATTCAGCATTTTGGGAAGTATGTCAAATTTTTCGAACGCCCCCCCGTAAGCACGATCCTGAGAATTTTGAGTTGCCAATAATTTTTAAACTTCCACATTCTTTCATAAAGTACAACTGTCATCTGTCTACCACGTCATATTTCCGTCGACACGTGCAACAAGTATACGGTGATAAAAGAAATTTTCAGTCCCCAAAATGTAGTGTCAGTTTTCGATAAATTGATTATTTTTGCATTTTTTAATCGGTTCGGGTTTATTGACAAATGGTAGTAGCGCATAGCTATGTGTTCCGTCTCTAACAGCAAATCCAATGTGTCCGGCCTTTTGTTTTTATAATTATTGAACAGGTGTTTTCATTCTAAATTCGTTCTAAAACACCATTTAAATGCAACCTCACCGACGAGTACGTAATTTGAAAATTGAAATATGTCCTAAATTGGTTGCTATTTTCATATTTGTGTTTTAGCTCTTGAAGATGACAACATAGTTTGTCAACAGCTCGAGATTTCAGTCAGAAGAGTTCATTAAGCTTTAAGTTTTGCCAATTCCCAATAAACAATTTAATTGTATTTTTTGTTTGTACTGGTCGTTGGCAATGGCGACGCATTTATATGATGTACAAGAAGTCATGAAATTATAAGAAGCTGTGACGTTACATATAGTACATAATTGTCTAAATGAAATTGACGGTTAAAATGACTTCCTTAGGCAATCTAGTGTTAACACCTAGCAAAACATAAAAAGAAACGAAACTGTGACGTGTTGAACGATCGCGAATTGTCTGACATGACAATTTTGAGCAGGAGTAAATGGAAGAGGAAACTGAGGGTTACGAGGGATGTCTTTTAGTTTTGCATATAGAAACATAGTAGGCCGTGCGGATCGAACGTCAGTACTGAATCTTAACCTCACTCTTTAGTTAACTTAAATTCAAAGTTCCGCAACAATACGTGCAGTGTTCTCACTACAGTGAATTTTTAAGTGTCACCAAATCATTAGAAAAATGCAACTCAAGCGAGAACATTTTCGCGCCATAATTTATTACACCTTTCAGAGACAATTATCGCAACAAGAATGCCTTGAGTTACTGTCTGTTTTCGGCAACGAAGCGCCACATCAGTCGACAATTTCCCGTTGGTATGGAGAAGTCAAACGTGGACGGGTAAGTCTTAGCGACGATCCCAGGATGGGTGCACCAAAAACGGCAGTCACCCAGGAAAACGTCGATGCTGTGCGCAAACTCATCATTGAAGATAGACATGTGACATATCGCGAGATTGAGGCGTCCTTGAAGATCTCAAAGACCTCAATTCAAAAGATTTTACATGAAGAATTAGGAGTGAGAAAATTAGTTTCTCGTTGGATACCCCACCTGTTGGCTGAAGAGCAGAAAGCAGCCAGGGTTAATTGGTGTCAAAAAACGCTTGACCGTTTCAATTCCGGAAACTCAAAAAATCTGTACAGCATTGTTAGTGGTGATGAATCGTGGATTTACTGTTATGAACCAGAAAATAAACGACAGTCGGCTATTTGGGTGTTCCAAGGTGAAGAAAAGCCAACAAAAGTCATCCGTTCTCGAAGTGTTTCGAAAAAGATGGTCGCGACATTTGTGTCAAAAGCGGGTCATATTGCAACAATTCCTCTTAATAAGCAAAGAACTGTTTCTGCGGATTGGTATACTACCATTTGTTTGCCAAAAGTCATCACCGAGCTTCGCAAAGTCAACCCCGAAAGAATAATCATCCTCCACCAAGACAATTCAAGCTCGCACACAGCCCAAAAAACAAGGCAGTATTTAACGGAAGAAAACATGGAATTATTGGACCATCCTCCATATAGTCCCGATCTCTAACAATTTCTTTACTTTCCCGAAAATTAAAAACAGACTGCGTGGTCAAAGGTTCCAGTCACCAGAAGAAGCAGTTGACGCATTCAAAAATGCCGTTTTGGATCTGCCAGCAAACGAGTGGAATAAGAATAAGAATAAGGAAGCTGAGGAGCCACAGGAATGTTTTTACTGACCAAGAACTTGTTTATGTGACAAGGAGCATTATCGAGATGCAACACATCCAGTTGTTCTTGATCTGATGAACGGTGGTGTGAGTCAAATTTAATTCTTCATCATTCTGACTGCCAACCGACGCACAAGAACCCGGATTCTGTCGATATTGTCATCGGTTCTTGAAGATGAAGATCTTCCGCTTCGTGGTTCATCTTCAATCGACTCTCTCCCTTCTGAAAATGCCTTGAACCACCGAAAAACCTGGGCTCTTGGCAAAACACAATCTCGGTAGGCCTGCTGAAGTTTAGCACGAGTTTCTGTGGCACTGTACCTAAGTCTGAAGCAAAACCTGATAGCACACCGTTGCTCGAAATGGATGCCATTCATTTTTGAAACACAATAGGAAAAACTGTTTCACAAAAAAATCGCTACGGACAACCTGCTCTTACTTGGCGTTCCTGAACCACTTCCTGCACCAGTAGAGCCTGGGGTGAAAGGTCTATCTTTCCATTAGGTAATCCAGAGAAACACGGCCTCGCTTTGAGTGCCGATAGTTAAGTATCGAATGGTCAAACTTCCAAGAAAATACGCATCAAATTCTACAAGCTCTCTGAAAATTATGCCCACCCTCAAATCGAAAATGCCGACATTACCAGGATGATTTAAAGTTAAAATGTGGTACCCCACAATCATCAAGAGACAGAGGCGTACATCGTACATGCTTAGTACTTTCTATTATCGCCGATGTTTTTTTTTGTGACTTGAGAATGTTTCTAATGTGCTACTGAATATGAAGAGATTCATTATTGGCAAAAGTACAAAATTAACACAATAAGACGTCAAAACATGTTGAAGCATGGTGGTGAATATTGTATGTACTATTGCACCGGAGGATCAGTAATAATTGGTGTCTCTTGTTCTTTGTACAAAATGAATATGATAGCAAAAATACTGACCTTTGTACAGCTTCCGGAACATAATAGCTGGAGTTGCTGGGCTCAATTGTACTGCCATGTGCGCTATTGCTACTACTGCTGCTACTCGACCGTGATGAAAAGGAACGCCTTTTCACTTTGGTTGGAACTGCTGGAGGGGGAGAGGTGAACAATAGCTGAGCTGTTCGAGGGGGACTGATGAATCTCGGTAATGCTGGAGGTGGGGCGTTAAATAAATGCATTAGCCCAGGCGGAGACCTGTACATTTTATCTGAAAAGATTAGGCATTGTATTTTTACACAACCATATCTAAATCCAAAATAGACACGGTTCACGTGATCGCCTTGTAACTGGTGGATCGATTGGTCTCCTGCGATCAGCACCAACATAGAGTTGCAATCAGACATTCGTGTGTCATACAATGGTGCAAAAAATGGTGTTAAATATGTTGACTATGCACTTCCCACGAAAGGGTGACATCGACTCAAAAAGGATTATGTATAACAAAAAAATAAATGGATCTCAACTGCCCAACCGACAGTATCTATCAACTGGCCACGGTTGTCACCTATCCCTCAGACCGCGACGCAGGTATATCCACAGACGCGTGGGTTGAACATATTTCTCTATCATTCTTCAAGTTTTGAGAGCAAATGTGCCGGGAAATATGCGATATTTACACTATGTCTAAGAGCTTCGTAGATTTACGGGGGCTGGGGCGTTAAAGATAATAATGCAAAAAAAAGAAAGAAATATACCTCCACCCACCTCCTAGTAGTGAATTTGTGCGGAAATGTCATCAAAATCTGAGCGGTACTACCCAAGTTATAGACGGGCCAATGATTAGCGGACAGACAAAATGACAGAAGTGAGTAACATATTTTTTCGTGATTTGATTGCATAAAAAATGTCGTCAAGTAGGTTGACTCTGCACTTCGTACGCAACGCCGTCATGTTCTTAAAGGAACAAGTTCAGCACAAGTGAAATTCTCTAAGAAAAAAAATTAGTTACAAACATACAGAAATTAAACGGATCAAGTCAGTCAAACAAGTCCATACAGTCAGTCCGTAGACATTCTTTCGCTGGAAGCAGACCGTTACGTCGGGCGCAGATAGCAGAGGAGACGCGTATAGAAAATATTGTTCTATCATTCTGGTTTGAAGACAAGGAAACCTATGATGTGTCAAATATAATACGTGAGTCGAATTACCGGAGTTGGGAGCGTATAAATAACTAACATCAAAAAATTGATGTATGGACCACCCTCCCTCCTACAATCCCCACCCTCTAATTTTTTACCCTAAGCAATCCTTCAAAAATGATCGGGTCCACTGAAACCTTAAAAAACGACATTCGAACGATTTTTTTTATTTATTTTTTTGACAAAGTCGGTACAAGCGTATCGTGCCGAATTTAAAAAGATGCCGCCCTGGCAGTGGTGTGCGATATGTCTTGCTGCTCTCTTCCTTTTCGGTACCCGAATATATTTGCAAATTTCGAGTAAAAACAATCAAACGGATACATTTCAAACGTACTACGAAAATGTTATACAATAGACAAGATTGGTTGGTAGCATTCGGTCATCGAAAGACAATTGAAGCCATTGGTGCAAAGAGGTGTTGACTCAGATTTTATAGTTTGGAGGTAATTGGCCTCAAAGTTTAAATCCTGACATTTTTTATTGAATAGTGTTAAGTGCTGCTTTTATGATTGGAGGTTATTTTATACATACAAAAGTATATCGAATGGGCAGTTTTGTTAAAAAACTTGTTTGTATTATAAGAAATTTGAGGATGTGTGCTTTGCAAAAAACTCATTTTTACATTTTTTAACGAAAACCGAGTTCATTTTGTTATATAACCTTACAAGCTAATAAGTACTAAAACTTCGCATGCCTTATCCAGTCCAAATGTTGTAAAAATCAGAAAAACAAAACTTCTCACGAAACGTGTTCAAACGTAAACAAGTTGAAACTTGAGTCCAAACAGGTGTCAACAACAAGGAGATTTTACCTATAATGCACGAGTTAACACCTTTTAAAGTTTACAGATTGAAGTTTTTGATATAGTTAACACTTTTATGAATCTCTGTATCTAAGAACTGAGAGCTAACTCTGGCCGGATAGATGTACTACCAAAAAGCACCCTTTTAACACCTTTTTGCGATACAAATCTTAAAATCCGAAAAAATGTGTTAACATCTTTTTCCACCAAAGTCTTCGATTATGAATGCGACCCTGTCCAATTCTCCAGCTTTCGAGTTTCACGGTGTGCCCAGCGCATGACTTGTATTTATCTACATTCTAGCTTGGATTTGGATGAGGTTTAATCGCAAAAAAAATTACCTATACCAGCATCCTCCGGGGAGTGGCTTTTCTCGAATATCTCTCGCTGCCTATGGAGGTTAACGTTGATATGTTGATTCAGAACTTCAGGGGGACTTGGCACTAACTCCTGACCCTCACTTGGAATTATAGTTGACTCTTTAGACACTGATGCGTTCACTAGCGTTCTGTAGAAAATCACGAGTTACAATAATAATTATAACTAATAGACCGATTATAGATAGAGACTTATTAGAGGTAGAATTAATAAACTTAGCATCTTCAGTAGAAAAAAACTTACCGAATAGGAATCAAGTATTTCAACTCCAACTGTGACAGATCTGTCGTTTTTTGTTCGACAATGACTGTATACACATCTTTGCAAATATTTTTATCCGGTGGATAGATATTAGTAGCTTTCAGTAATATACATGAAGCCAACTGTGGTGAAATATAACCACGAGCCTTTATCAGTCTTTTCATCACCTCCCAATTACTTTTCAGTTGCGATTGCCGCGACATCAACTGAAGCAAATAGTCGGCTAAAACAGAAATATAACATCAATAAACCTGGTAAGACCCAATTGGATTCAACCATTGAATAACATTTGCCACCAGAAAATACCAAATCCTCTTGGAAGTCGGCATCCGCGTTTCTCACGGCAAGGATCTCTAAAGATAGTAATACAGCTTTCGTTGGTCCGCACGTCCAAAAAAAAACAAAATGTCATCTTGCCGACAAGCTAGTGTTTAGGGTGCAAACAGTCATTCCAAGTTTGCTCACTAGGATCGTTGTGAGCGTCAATCTATGGAGGAATGACTCATTATTGGTTGCATTATGTTTTGTGACGCCGAGTAGTCTGTAGCTTTCATCTCTGCATGTGTATAAAATCAGTGATATTTCTTGTGTGAGAAAATCATTAATGAATATGCTGCCATTGTAGTACATCTATTAGCTGTGCCGGACGGGTTATTTATATGTTGTCCTTTCTGAAGACAGGTTATGTTAAAAGTTATAAATTACGATTTTTTACGTTACGTTTTTTGTGTTTTCAAAAACTTTGAGGAGAATTGCGGGTAATTACCACCGCGCTCGTGTTGTGTGTAATTACTGTTAGCATATATATGACACAATTCAATAGTGTACAGTAAATGTAATTATTTCTTAACTCTCTCATATTTGAGGTTCAGCAAATTTGCATATGTAATTTCCAGAATGGATAAGAAAAAGTGGATGCGCAACTAATTTCTAGCTTTGAATCTCAAGTAAGTGTATTTGAGACAAGAATCCAATGGAATTATTATCGATACATATTATTAGCACACACATCCTCCAGTAATGCCATCTCTGAAGCAGCTTTTACATCACATCAGAGCCAAACATTGATAACTGAAGCCTCATGACGTTTAGGCAACACGTACAACTACAAAACGAGTACACAAGATCTTGTGAAAAAATCTACATGTCACAAAAAATCGGCATAATGTCACTTTTCAATATACGGAATACCCGTCCCGACCACGGCCAGTATACCGTATCTAATACAACACCAGAATCGGCGGCATTTAGCAGCCACCAGTGGTGTCCCGGCTGACAATGCGAACTGTCAAACAGTTCCAACATAGAGCCTGCCATTGTCACTTTTACAGTGGTCGATTCTGCTAATAGATGGCACTTTGTGCAGTCTTATTTCGATAGACGTTATACTCTGCGGATTTGCTCAGCTTTCGTTTTTTGTCCAACGAGACCAAGCCTAGACCATGCTGGAGAGTTGACAAATAGCACGAAACAGCTGTCCATCGTTGACTTTCAGTGTGAGAATTCAAACAAGACCTACCGACCCTGCTGGAACGATTTTCCTAGTTCGGTGCATTCATAACGTAAAAAACGCTAATTTTGACACACGTTTCGTGTTGCGAGCTTCACTTGGTTCTCCTAATCATGTAAGTTTACGAGTTTCTTAATGGTTTGGTTTAATAAAATGGAAAGACAGCAGTATAACACAAATGTACAAAACATGCAATTATTTTCACTTTAGGATTCAAAATTTTTGGCTTCAAATATAACTACACAACAAATCAAACAAGCATAAACGCACATAAGACAACAAGACTCCCAAAATGTGACCTCCAACCGTTAATCCGACACTTGACTATCAACTGCGCGTGCCCAAACTTGTCTGTACCATAAATGTTTCTATTTTGATTCCAACATATTAAACAAGTAACGTATGATTTCCGAACAAACATCAAAGGTGCTGGGACGGCGAACATCAATAAAATAAATCGGAACATGGACTGCTAGAACGAATATTTTGAAATGCGAATGAGTGTTTAGTAATCATTTTGTTTCATGCCTCCGCTGAAACAAAGCTACAGCATGGGGACGGGTAGCCTCTTGAAAAATACGTTAATCAATGCCACTATAATCGTTTAATCATAATAGCTAATTTCCCAGAAATAATTGTAAAGTCTGGTTTTATAATAATATAAACATGTTTTTTGGGATTCAATCGAAAGTGAAAATACTTTTCATATAAGATTTTTAGGTATTTATGAGACCTACAAAATGAGACCACACGTAACAAGATCCTAATAGCAGAAATGTTATGGCCGGAAAACGAGGCAAAAAGCAAGTTTTTTCACTTGTTGGTAATGCGACTTCAAAATAACGAAAAAAAACTTGGAGTAAATTGGCCAAGTAAATTTTTGAGAATATCTAATTGTTTATACCAAAATACCTGTTTTCCTGCCATCACTACATATTAGTTTATTGAGCAATATCCAAGGTTCGTTCAAAGAGCATTCAATAGGAAAATACACGTGTTTACCTTGCTGATATGAGTGACAAACCATTTCGAAAGATGTTATTTTTAAGTGAAAAACAAAGGTTACGTTTTTGTCTTCTAAATAAATTCAAACATTTCTTATTTATGACTAATTTGACAAATGCATTACGATACATACGTTACTATACACATTTTAAAACAAAGAGGATGTGTCTACCATCTTTTGTGGCGAATTACTCACAAATACGAGATGTTTGAATTTGTCAAGATGAAAAATCGTAACCCATCCTTTTTGCATAAAAATAACATTTATCTTTGAAGATGTGTATAGACGCGAAGTGCGTGAGTCCTTAAATGAATCATTTCCGAATAGGTGAATCGGACGTAATGGACCCATCGTAGCATGGAATCCGCGATCTCCAGACTCAACACCGTGTGACTTTTTTCGTTGGAGCGAAATGAAATGCTAGGTGTACAAAACTGAGGTGCACACGGTTGACGAATTACGTCTGATAATTGAGCAAGCTGCTGCATTCATTCGGGGAAGGGACTCCACTCTAAACCGATGCTTGGCTACGTGGAGCACGCACATGTGTTTTTGAATCCAATGGCGACACCTTCGAACAGTACTTATAAAATACGTTCACCAAAAAAAAGTGACACCGACGTCATATTTTCGATATCTATTTTGTTATTTTTGTTTCCTCGGATTTTACGACAGAGCCGTACTTGGAATATTAATTCAACTGAACAGTGAGTACTTTTTCATTGATTTTTTTTTTACTTGTTCGCTCACGTTTCACCACACATTGGCTTTGTTATATCAAGCGTAGTTGTGTCTGAAAAGGAACACCCCAACTTTGCGGGCACCCTGTATTTATATGATTCTTTTTATCGATTATCGATATTTATCGTTTTGCGAATTACACTTGGTACAATCGCAAGGATGTTAGATTTTTTAGTACGTTTCAAAATAATAACTCAAAATCAGGACATTGACGGACTAAATCGGCATCAGGATTCTGCTTTCTGCCTGGTACAGCAAAGGTTTGGATATTTTCTTGGAGGATAGGTTAATCAATTTTTAGAGTTAATGGATTTAAGTTGAGTAGCGTTCATATATACAGGGTGTCCGCAAAGTTGGGGTTTTCCTTTTCAGAAACAACTACCCTCGTAATAACAAAGGTAATGTGTAGTGAAACGAGGGCGACCAAGTGAAAAAAAATAAAGGAAAAAGTACTCACTCTCCAGTTGACGAGAAGGGCTAAGTACGTCTCTGCCCGAAATCATACCGATCCAACAGAAAATGAAATCAGCTGATGCGCTACCGAGCAGACGCCGGCGGTGGTGCAGACCACGAACAGAGGTAACAAATATGACAAATTTGGGAGAATAAATGGTCCAATGAACATACCGTTCACCATGCCACATGCCAGCCCAAACATTCACCGAAAATGTTTGTTGAAAATGTGCCCGAGCGGGTTTTCTACTGACCAAACATGAGTGTTGCGAAAGTTATTCACCCCATTACGCGTGAACGTAGATTTGTCTGTCACCAATATGCACTTCAAAAAGTCCGGATTATTGTCATGTTGATGCAACAACCACTCACAAAACCGCACTCTTGCTGGAAAATCGTCAGGTTGAAGGGCTTGTACACGTTGGACGTGAAACGGATACAGCCCCTCTTCACGCAGCGTTTGCCACACTTTAGTTTTTGATACTTGCACTTCTCTAGCCACGTCTCTAGTGCTTGTTGAGGGATTCTCGTCTACGCGATTACCTCTACACGCGTGACCGTAACCGTCGGTTGAAGGTTGCATACTGACCTGACACACTGACCCCGACCCAGTTCTGTCGTCTGGTTGAGCCAGTGACCTTGTACCAGTCGGTGATGTCGCGGGTCGCGGCTACAGGACGGTATTCAGATATTTTTGATGTCGCAGAGCCCTTTATCTTGGTTCCCTTAAGACATTGGTGTATATGGTACTAAGAAAAATTGCTTATGTTTTCAAGATCTACACGTCGTGTAAAGGAACACCCCAACTTTGCGGACACCCTGTATATATATATACTTACCTAAACGAGGATATTGCATAAAACCGACGTTATACGATATTTTTTCTACAGCCTCTAGAAAAGCCAAACCACAACGTTGCATCCCTTTCAGTACATATTCTATCCCGTCTTCAACGTCTAGACAATGCTGCAGCATGAACAAGTCCTGTATACAAGATATTAGTTCGTTTTGCAGCTTATGGTGACCGAATGCCAGTAAAAAACTACGATAGGTACCCTTATAAAATAGATAGTTTTCACACTGGGCTGAAAGGAAGGACATTAAAAAGTTATTGATATTTCAAGAAAAGTAAAAAGTATAAATTGAAAGTTAGAAATACCTCTAAGCCGTTTACTTCCTACACCACTGGGCGTGTAATACCGAAACATTTCGAAAATTAAATTTCTCAACTTTTTCATCCGTTTAATTTGTCGTCAAGTAGATTGATACAAAAAGAAGTACGAATCTGACTAAAAGCCCCAAATGGAATCGAAACTAAACTTCTACCCTTCAAACTATGAAAAATAAATTTATCATATTTATGCTTGACTGACGTATGGAAAATATGTGACTACTATGTCTAACAGGTGCACAGAATTACCCGGATTAGATGCTTCTTAATAGTAACCTGAGTAAAACCAAAGTTGTAACATTTACAACCCACACCATCACCCCCAATTTTCAACCGTACCAAATATTTTTACAAAATAAGAAAAAATTAAAAATCCACCAAAATTTTTTGTCCTACCTGTATGCATAGTAGTAACATTAGGTCAAAGCAGTACTTTCAGAGTTATGGAGGTGTCAAGGATGAGCTGACAGGCAAACTGTTAGACCGGTTGAAGTGAGTGGCATGGTGATGTCACGTAGCTATGTAGCCTTAAAAAAACAGCCAAAATTCGAAATATTTCGCGATTACAATAATTTCTCGCCAATTAGTGATAATAAAAAATAAATCAAATTTGCTTTCGAGCCGTCTTACTGGTCTAGTAGAGTATACAATCACCAAAACACAATAGTTGAAAAGCATACCTAGTGATTTTACAAATCTGTAAGCCTCCACCACAACACTAGGCGAGGCTTTCTCGAATTTCTTCACGTAAACTTCTTGGCTGGCTTCATGGGGTCTCTTGCAAGCTGAGCGCGTGCAAGCTCCATTTATAAACTTGAAATAACATACGCCAAATAATATCTGAGGTACATCTTTGAACTGAACCTTGCCTCTATCTACAACAGAACAAAAAGTATGTACAAACCCTTTGGAGAAAAATATATAAAATGTTTCAGACTACCAGAGTAGATTTTTGAACATTTTATAAATAACCTTTTGCGGCCAAGGGTTTATCTTTTTATCAGGAAATCATACATTTTATATTATCTACTGAATTAGTTCAAGTGAATATAAAATGACCCTGTTAATGTCATACAGTATGTTACCACCAGTATTACACAGCTGGGGTGCTTTTTTTAACTAACTTGATAATGTAATACCGAACACCGTACTGGAATGCAGATAGACAGATGAAATTTCACTCTGGAAACTGTGCAACTCTATTTTTTAGAACGTCTTAATTATTACTGAGGCATGTAATGACACTTGATGACAACCCACTATTTTTTGTAACCACGTTTTTTCTGCGACCATTTGTTTATTATAAGAGACGCTATGGATTCTGCCAATTTTGAGCACTTGTTGATAATCAAATAAACAAAAAATGAATCATAAGAATGACAACATTCTGGTTTTCATGGTATTGAGCACGGGAAGAAAAGTGCACTTCTGACATTCCAAAAGGTTTATTCCCGGTTCTATTTCCGAATACATCAGGTACATCAAACAATTACGAACGCTGAAATTGTTACAGAATAGCACAAAGTATACAATTCCCGAACGCAACCCTGGTCATCATAGGTGATATAAATGGCAACACTAGATTGATGGTGCTGACCTAATAACGAGATCCTACTTGAAGCTTGACGATTTGCCAAATCACACAAATTGACAACATTCAGCCCGGTACGAGGGATGTCTTTTAAGTTTTGCATATGGAAATAAAATAACACGATAGGTAGTTTTAAATGACTTTATTGTTTTTCGAAGTGTTCTCCACGAAGATTAATACACATCTACAGCGCTCGAACCAATTTTCGAAGCACTTATTCCACTCGTTTGCTGGCAGATCCAAAACGGCATTTTTGAATGCGTCAACTGCTTCTTCTGGTGACTGGAACCTTTGACCACGCAGTCTGTTTTTAATTTTCAGGAAAGTAAAGAAATCGTTAGGACTTAGATCGGGACTATATGGAGGATGGTCCAATAATTCCACGTTTTCTTTCGTTAAATACTGTCTTGTTTTTTGGGCTGTGTGCGAGCTTGCATTGTCATGGTGGAGGATGATTCTTCTTTCGGGGTTGACTTTTCGAAGCTCGGTGATGACTTTTGGCAAACAAATGGTGGTATACCAATCCGCAGTAACAGTTATTTGCTCATTAAGAGGAACTGTTGCAATATGACCCGCTTTTGAGACAAATGTCGCGACCATCTTTTTCGAAACACTTCGAGAGCGGATGTCTTTTGTTGGCTTTTCTTCACCTTGGAACACCCAAACAGCCAACTGTCGTTTATTTTCTGGTTCATAACAGTAAATCCACGATTCATCACGACTAACAATGCTGTACACATTTTTTGAGTTTCCAGAATTGGAACGCTCAAGCGTTTTTTGACACCAATTAACCCTGTCTGCTTTCTGCTCTTCAGTCAACAGGTGGGGTATCCAACGAGAAACTAATTTTCTTACTCCTAAATCTTTATGTAAAATTTTGAATTTTGTCTTTGAGATCTTCAAGGACGCCTCAATCTCGCGATATGTCACATGTCTATCTTCAATGATGAGTTTGCGCACAGCATCGACGTTTTCCTGGGTGACTACCGTTTTTGGTGCACCCACCCTGGGCTCGTCGCTAAGACTCACCCGTCCACGTTTGAATTCTCCATACCAACGGGAAATTGTCGACTGATGTGGCGCTTCGTTACCGCAAATAGTAACTCAGCAAGGCATTCTTGTTGCGATAATTGTCTCTGAAAGTTGCAATAAATTATGGCGCGAAAATGTTTTTTTCTAATGACTTGGTGACACTTAAAAATTCACTATAGTGAAAACACTGCACGTATTGTTGTGAAACTTTGAATTTAAGTTTACTAAAGAGTGAGGCTAAAATTCAGTACTGACGTTCGATCCGCGCGGCCTACTATGTTTCTATATGCAAAACTTAAAGGCATCCCTCGTAACACCAATGATAAAGGTGTCCTAACCAGGTGAGCAGCTAGTGCCATTTAAACTCTATATGATGCCCCAGCTGTGTAATACCGGATGTAATATACTATATGTGCATCGTTGTTATCCGAGATGATATGTTCTTTCCATGTGAATAGCGAGCACTCATGATCTGCCAATATACGGCAAAAATTGAGGATCTCATTATTTTTTAATTATACAGATATAACTTATATTTGATTCGGACGCATATTAAAATTTTCTTGCTAAAACAAGGATGCCAGACCTAATAGTTAATTAAGTTTCTGAAAACACCCACCACTCTGTCACCCAAGTATTATACAGGGTGGCGCATCGAAAACAAAACAGACGCATTTACTGGCAGCTGTTTTTTTTTTGAAAAACGCTCAGACTCGTCGATTTTGTTTTCCACACCAACCCTAAAATCTTAAATAGAAAGGGGGTCGAGTGATGCCTTATTTTAAAGGTCTTTCAATTACCTTTATCATGATATAAAATTAATGTACTTCGGTTCAGTAGTTTTGAAGATTTGTTGATTTAAAGCTTAAATAAAACTAATACATCATCATTAGTGGAGATCAATACATTTGGCAGCAAAGAAATTTAAAAATGAAGAATTAACTCACCCGTTAGGCAAGTAAATGTTCAAAATGGCCACCATGACTCTCCATGCAATAATAAAGATTTTGCTCAAAACGTTGCCGCACATTTTGCAATATTTGAAGAGTAATTTGAAGGCACTCATTCACAATTCTTTGTCGCAGGTCTTCTAATGATGTTGGCTGAGTAGCATAGATTTTGCTTTTTAAATGACCCGACATAAAGAAATCCAAAGGTGATAAATCTGGCGATCTTGGGGGCCATTCAATGGTACCTCTTCTACCAATCCATCGATCTGGAAACGTCTGATCTAAATATTGTCGAACACGTAATGCGTAATGTGGTGGGGCACCATCCTGTTGGAACATCAACCTATTCGCAATGTACCGCCGATCATTCTGATTTTCAATTATGGCTGTTAATGCAGGATCTATGGCGTCTTCCAGTAATTCCAAATACATTTCACCAGTCAAATTTCCAGGTAAGAAAAAAGGACCAACTAAATGATCGCCAAAAATACCAGCCCAAACATTTAATTTTTGTGGCTGCTATGTATGAACCTCATGATAAGAAATAACTTTTTGCCACAAAAAAACGCTCCAATAGCTATTTTCAACAACAAAATGATAAAAAAATCATGGGCGTAGTGAAGAAAAGCATTTACTTAAAATAAGGTATCACTCGACCCCCTTCCTATTTAAGATTTTAGGGTTGGTGTCACCCCCGCCCAGGGGGCTGCAGGTGTTAACGTGATTTTTTGCCAAACTTGTGTGCCCCTCGAAAACAAAATCGACGGGTCTGAGCGTTTTTCCGAAAAAAAAACTGAGCTGCCAGTAAATGCGTCTGTACCGTTTTCGATGCGCCACCCTGTATAATCAGCTTTGTATACATTTATGGTGGAAACGGAATACTATGAGAAAATATTGGGCTTCTCCCATGTAATCTCCTAGGAATTATCTCAGGAACTAAACGAACTCCATTCAGACATGTGATAATACAATCCGTTAACATATCAAATTTTTAAGCATCTCTACAAATTATCAAGTGCAAGTAGCACAAGATTCGTCAAGTTTAAATTCAAAACTCACTTTTCAGCACAGGGTGATTAGGTACTACTGAATTATTCTTATTCTGTATATCTGTCTGCTTCGGTTCAGGCGGAATAAAATTCAAAGTCTGGGGACAACTCCAGTGTGCAGGCGGTGCGCCATTCCACTCCGTTGGTACAGTGCTGTTCACGTCTTCCACCCAGTTCTCAATAAATGGTCGTTTCTCTCCTAACAAGCTTTCCTCTTTATTATGCTCATCTGCTTCTGACTTTATTTCACAATCGTTCATACTTCGTAGATCGTTCAGATTCCCCACATCATGGTCGCCACCCAATGAAGATCTGAAAAGTTAACAGGAATTTTCCAATAAGAATTAGTCGATGATAAAATGGGATAAGCGAGCTGCGTATAAACATTGATTAACACATTCTACCTGAGGATCTCACTCTTTTGATAGTGTATACTTGCTATGCTTTCGTTCTTTGTCCGAGATATCCAAGCCTAGATTATTCCGAGGAGTAGCCAAAAAGGACGAAACAGCTGTCCATGCAGATGGAACTGTAGCCAACTATATTAGCGTAAAAATTTGGATTTCTGAATAATCGAGAGGAGAAACATATATGTGACAAATTCTCACAGATAACGCAAACATATTTCGGTTCATCTCGGATTAATTTTTTGGATGATGAAATGTGGTTGGCTATCTTGGCATGCTGTATTAGGTTCACAGTACGATGTAACTTCCTTTGAAGTAATAAAGACAGACTACATTTTCCTTTTAAAGATAATTGTTAATCATTGCTTCAACCTTCCAAGCAAAAATCAATGCCTCCTCAACCTTCATCGAAATTGTTCCTAAGATGGTATTCTCATAATTTTTCAGTGACAGAAAACCAAAACAACTCATGATCTGCCGTTACAAGCCGAGAGGTAGCAACGTTAATGCCTCAATACGATAATCGGCAGTTATGATAATTAAAAAACCTCTAAAATTTGCTGGTATTAAAGGAAATTGTTCCTGAATACTATCAAACTTTTTGGCCCCAATAGGTCGGCTTATATCGACATTCAACGATAGGGTTCATTTTCTACTCGAGATTTCACTGTTTTATTATATCAAAAATTTTCAGTTTCATTAAAAGAGTATCTGTACTTGGACGCGCCAAATTCTTCAATCTGGATCCATCTTACATCTCTGAATAAAAATTTCTCATTAGTTTTTTCTTCTATCGAACAGTTCAAGTTCTCTTGGAAGTTCTTTAATATCAACAAATTTGTCTGCCATTCTTGTAATATTAAAAGGTGTTTTTTTGCTGGCTTCTGCCATGATTAGAATATATTGATCCACCCTATAAATTAGTTCAGTAGTCCCATAGACAGACAATATAAAAAAATTTATTTTGCCAACCGGCCGAATCACTCCATGCAATTAGATGATCGGAAGCCATGCCTTGGTCCTAGATGTTTTTGAAAAAGGCCATAAGTGAGCTGCCAATCTCTTCAGAACCACGATTTCCTTGCTCTTAGGTCCAGGCGTAGAAAAAACGTTTACCATTTGGTTGCTGTGCTGATATCAAACGTATTGCTAGATTGTAGAGCCATACTTGTCGTAAAAAGAAGAGTTTACTTGTAGAAATTTTCGGCAAGGAAAGCGTTTTTTTTTTGTAAATTAAATGTGAGGTATATGATTTTTTCGTTTGTTTTTTGCTATTCCTCGATCAGATTTTTGTACGTCAAAAGCTTTTTTATACTTTGCAACATGTTAATCATTCGATCCTACATCGCAAACATTTTTACGTTTTAAACGAAAACTGAATTGGCTCTTGAGTGAACACCTTTTTACCTATAATGCCAGAGTTAACACCTTTTAAAGTTGACAGATTAAAGTTTTCGATACAGAACACTATTATGAATCTCCGTATCTAAGAACTATTTGCACTACACATCTTTGAATCCGAAAAAATTGAGTATGCACCTTTTTGCACCAAAGTCTTCAATTGTAATCATAAGTGGTTTGGCAGCGAAACGGTAAATATGCCTGTGTATCAACAACAGTACACAACTAACATTAGAGCAGTTACTTACGCTACTATCGATAAACCATCATCATCCGCAATAACAATAGTGGGCTGCGAAGGAACGCTAATTGTCAACTTCTTTCCCCTCGAGTCACTGACTTTTCTCTGTCGACCCACCCCCCATCCACTGCTAGGATTCAGTCTTGTAGTACTGCTTGAGCCACAATCATGCTCAGATCCTCCACGTTTAGCACTATTTTGGTCAACTATCCTAGTAGTACTGCTGCAATAGCTAGACCCGGACGAACTTGAGTTGGTTTTTACAGTCGAGGTTGCATCACATCTTTTGGGTCGAGTCGGTGGCCTTTTCACAGGAGGAAGCTTAGGTACTTTAAATGAATTTTCTTCTGATGTGATGGGAATACTGAAATAGAAGTTAACAAGGAATAAGTGACTTCGAAGATTGGCGTCCACAGATCCCCACGGGTATTACGTTTCTTGAAAAGTGACATTTTGTCGTTTTTTTACATTTCGTAGGTTTTTTGTCACATAACGTATGTTTTTCTACAAGATGTTAACTAAGCACAAGCTGCTGTAAACTCGTTTTGTAACTACACGTGGAATGAACTATTTGCGCACTAAAAACTACTTATCTGCAAGATGACCTTTTTTCGGTTTTTTTTGCCTTTAGAATATTGTTATGTTTTTGTATCAAAATTTTTTCTCAGGATTTGTTTTTCTATTAATTTGTGTTGTACGTAAACCGATAGCACAGTTTTACTTTAGTTATCTTGTCTCATCTGATAAACTAATCGTGCTTTAATACCTTATACGAGACCCTTCCCACTTCAGTCGGCCCACTTCAAGAATTGTACCAAAATATGCCTTTATAAACTAAACATGGCGAAACTACTTACTTCTAAAACAATTTATTTTCTCAAAAACATTTTAGATACACTCTAGTCGTAAAAAATATATATTTGAAATCACTTAGAGCGATAACCAATAGAACATCTGAACAAATAAACAATGTGCGAATAAATGCGCAGCAACAATTGAAAGATTACCATTGGGTAACATCACCTTTATTTTTTATTACGGCTGAAATTCTTTGGGGCATAGTGTTAACCAAGTTTTGGCAAACATTTGGTGTAAAACAATCCCATATTTCTTGAAGTTTTTGTCTCAGTTCGGTGATTGTACGAGCAGGATGTTGTTGTAGAACCTTTTTCATCTCGTGCCACAAAGTTTCAATAGGTGACAGATCTGGACTGATAGAAACCCATGTCAAAAGTGGTACATTATTTTCTTCCATCCATTTTATAGCCTTTTTTGAGGTATGGCACGCTGCACCATCTTGTCATGTCATGTCAAACATTCTTCCATCACTGGTAAAAGCGATTCTTCTAAAATTTCCAAATATTTGTTTGTATCCACATTTCCATCAATAAAATGAAGTTTTCCTACTCCTTTTGATGACATATTACCCCAGACCATAATGGATGCTGGAAATTTCACTTTTCTCTTCATACAGTCAACATGGAATGCTTCATTTTTTTGCGAATAACTCTACTGCGACTGTCACCAACACAAACTTCGAATCGGGCCTCATCACTCTATTTTATTGCACACCATTGTTGAGGTGTCCATTGTCTATGTTCTTTAACCCATCTAAGCCGATTTTTCTTTTGCAGTGGAGTTAATAGTGGCTTTTCTTTGGCCTATAAACAAGTTGTACAACTTTAGGGTTTTTACTTCACTTTTTTTATAAGAAAACTTACCTTGCAAGTGCTAAATTCCCAGTTTGTGGGCCTCTCTATGAATTGTGGACCTCGAAATTCTCCTTCCAACAGCGTCACTCCACAGAGCACTTAATTGTAAATAATTGGCACGCCTGTTTTCACGATTATTCTTCTTAATGCTCTTCGGTCGGAATTTGTGATATTACTTTTTTTCACATATTGTGGCTTAATATTGACTGACCGGTTACGTAATATCTTCTAACAATATTTCTCACACTGTACCGCGATAAGTCTAACAAAGATGCAATTTCTCAGTTTGATTTCCCAAAATTAAAAAATTTCGAAAACCTTAACTACCCAAATCTATTTTAAACGTATTCTGACAGCTGTGATTAATAAAAACAATTGTCATGGCTTTTATTTTTCACAGCCACCTATGCGTTATAGACTTATTTTTCATTGAAATGAAAATAGGTTGATATGCTGTAATTGCAACATGTGTTATTTTTATGCTGCAAATTTGATTAGGGAGTGATAAAGTTGGTGTTTTCTACTATATATTATCAAAATATTCATTGTTAATATGTTAAACCTATAACACCCTGCTACATTTTTATTATTTGTTTGATAAGAAAAAAACTAAGATTTCAATAGTTGGGCCAACTGAAGTGGGAAGGGGCTCGTAGTTCAAGATTGTTCAACAAGAACGATTTGATTAATTTTTGCAGTACAAAATGGGTAAAACTATAGAATATTCCGAGCAGATACAAAGAGTTATTATTGGTATTCATAAATCCGGCATAAGTATTCGAGAAATTTCTAAACTTCAGAAGGTACCACTGTCATCTGTACACTACATTATTAAAAAATTTAAGGCACAAGACACAACATCTAATTGTCGTCGTTCGGGGAGACCCAGAGTTACAACTTTCAGTGAAGACTTAAGGATAATAGGGAAAAGTAAACGCAGTAGACGCATGACTGCACCCGAAATAGCAGCGGACTTGAATGTAGGCAGTACTAAACCTGTAAGTGTCACTTCAGTTACTAGAGGGTGGCCTAGGGATGCATAGCAGTATCGAAACCACTCCCCAGGGCTACTAACACAAAAAAGGCTAAATTGGGCCAAACAACATCACAATTGGAGCGATGCATCGAAATTTGAAGTTTTTGGTTCCAAGAGAAGAGTATTTGTCGGCCGTCGGCCTAACGAGAGCAAAAGAAGAACCAAATAGTTTGAAAGTCATGCAATGGCCTCGCCAATCCCCGAATTTGAATCCGATAGAGTTGGTGTGGGATGAACTGGACAGACAAGTACAGACATGTTGTCCTACATCTCAAGAGCACTTATGGAGAATATTAAAAAACGAATGGCGTAAAATAACCCCATCCACTTTAGAAAAATTAGTTGTGCGTTTACACATCATTTATCAGGCTGTAATTAAAAGCAAAGGAGCACATATTGATGAGTCAAAAATATGATTTTTTTTTATTATAAATAGTTGTGTGTTGTTAAGAATTAAGAAAATAAATGTTTCATACAGATATTCTAATGTTTTTTTTAATAACTCCCATCTAGTGTACGTAGGTATATGAAGAGAAGGCCACTAAAATCACAATAAAAACTGAGGTCTTGATAAAACTCATCTAGCCTCCTTGGTATAAAAGCAGCAAGTTGATTTTAGATGTCGAATAAATTGACTCATGCCGTTTTAACTATTTACCAGAGTTACGACACAATTGCTTTAGAAGGAGGAATTACCTTCCAAAGTCATGCAAGAAGTATAGCTTTTACACACAAAAAACGGAAGAAAATAGATAATCAGTTATGTAAGATATGGATCTACATACAGGGCGGACGTTCCTGCACAATCTACATAGAACATGCAGCAACGGCCCAGCTATATCTTGATAATATTGCCTGCAATGTGTAAACACATACGCTTATCAAAATTTCCCATCAGAAGGGCTACAAAATCTTAAGGACCGTAGGTGGTAGACGATCTCATACTGACGAACGTGGAATTACCTACGGGCGGATCTCTTAGGCGGAGCCAGAATGTTACCTTGCTGGATCCACGTGACGACCCATCCTTTTGCCAAAAACCTGCAATAGCTCCACGATACCCACGGGGATTTAGGCCTTATAGGACTTCGTGGTGGTTCAAGTATTTAAAAAACGCGGGAATCTATGTGTGAAATAGGTACGTATAATTACCTAGTTAGAAAAGATATTAACGCCAAACATAGACACACCCTCCCTCAACCTCTTGCAAACACCCCTCCGCAACCACAATTTGTGACCCTCAAAAAACTTAAAAAAAAAATAAGCAGGTGTCGCTAAAAATTCAAAAACGAAGTGTGAGCGATTTTTCTGTATTACGTTTTTTGACCCTAGCTTTCGGGTACTGGATCAATTTTCAAAAATTATGACTATTACCCTTGACCTAACGGTAGCATTGCGTAAAAATTTGATCAAAATCCGATCAGTACTTTCCAAACTATAGAGGGGTCAAGTAGTAGCGGACAGACCGACAGACGGAAATGGTTTTTCGTCATGTAAATGTCATATCTATCTTTCACAAAACACAATTTTTCATTTTCGAAATTTCTAGCGATAATAGTAAAGAGTGTTTTGTTTAAGTTGGTATTATTTTGACAGTTGGTGACACCTCTGTGCTCAACATATTGACAGATATATTGTGTCAAATTTCCGCTGTGAGCAATGGATTGTTTTAATCTTGAACATAGGTGGAAAATATTGAAAAACTATTTTCAAAGTGAGTGCTGTGTTGCAGAAACTTTACGAAAATTGAGAAGACTATTTGGTCGGAATGAAGCTCCGTCCGCGACTGGTATACGAAAATTCGTGAAACTGGCCTGCTTGTGGATATCAGAAGATCTCATACCATGCATACAGTCGAAAACATTGCTGCTGTTGCCCAGAGTGTGCGTGAAAAGCAAGAATGTCAACTCGTCACAGAGGACAAGTGGGCATCAGTCGCACTTCTGTGTGGAGAATACTGCATACCAACCTGGGAGTTTTTCCTTACACGGTGCAAAAGTTGAAACAAAATGACCATCCACTTCGATATCGTTTCTGTGTGGGCTCTAGATCAATTGGAAACGGACGTCAATTTTTGTCGCCAAATCATCTTTTCGGACGAAGCCCATTTTCATCTGGGAGGTTACGTTAACAAGCAGAACTGTAGGATTTGGGGTTCAGAAAATCCACACGTCGTCATAGAAAAACCAATGCATCCAAAAAGAGTAGTTGTTTGGTGTTACTGTTGAAGTGGTGGGATTATTGGTCCCTACTTTTTTCAAGATGAAGATGGGAACAGCCTGACGGTAAACGGGGAACTGTATAGAGACATGTTGAGCAGTTTTTTGTGGCCACTATTAGACGACATGCACTTGCAGAATCTCTGGTTCCAGCAGGATGGTGCAACATGCCACACCAGCCGTGAAACAATCGATCTTTCACATACTAAGTTCGGTCATCGCGTTATCAGTCGTTTTGGAGACGTTCATTGGCCAGCCCGCAGCTGTGATTTGACGCACATGGATTACCTCCTATGGGGTAGTGTTAAGGACCGCTGTTACACTAAATGTTCATTCACACTCAGCCGTGACGTGACAGTGCCGTGCCAGTGATTCTCGCTGAAATGAGATCACAGTGTTTTCAATTCACACCGGTCAATATTTTTATCCGTGCTCTGACAGTGCAGTTGTGTTCACGTGAGGTCGAGATGGCAAAATTTTCAGAGGACGAACCTGCAATTATTGCATTAATTCTGTATTTTTTTATACTCCAACTACCACGAAGGCCTCAGGCCTAAACACTCATGGGGTACCGTGGTTCTATAGGGGGAAACACAGAAGAAAGGGGGGACGCCACACGGACGAGGGAACTCGTGTGCATGCAACATGCACACATTCTGGCCCCGCCTACGAGATCCGCCGGGTGATACCTCCGCGTACGACAGTCAGAGACCGTCTACCACCTACTAAAGATGAACAAGAAGAAACTAGAAGATAACGGAAGTCCTTGTATTTTGAATTTGACTGGTTCTACAGCACGGGATGTACGCGTACAAATTCATTAAGTTTTTCATCATTCATGTTTTTGACCAATTATATCAAAATAGTCACGAAATTACATAAAAACTCGGCCGTGAAAATCGAAAAATATCGTTCCAAAACAATGCGATGATCACGGTACGGCGTCGTCGAGGGCACTGAGAACACGGCCACTTCCACGTGCCGGTCTAGTGTGAATCAGTTCATCCAAATTCCTAGAAGAATGTTTTTAATTTCGCCAGACGGATCACGTGCCGGTCACAGCACTGTCACGTCACGGCTATGTATGAATAGGCCTTAACGATCCTCAAACAAATGATGTTCTTAAGGAAAATATCCGTCGAGTTATCGATGAAATAGACCCACAAAATATCGAAAGTGTGCTTCAAAATTGGGTTAAGAGGATGGATTACTTGCAGGCCAGCCGCGGCAGCCATTTAACTGAAATTGTTTTTCATAAATAATCGGAAGGCGTATTCTTTTGAATAAAGTATCGACTGTTACATATTATTGAAGACTGTAGTTTTATTACCAATTTAAAAAAGAAACCAACCGATGGCCCACCCTTTAGAATGAAATACCTCTCGAACGAAGTAAAAATCCAAGATGATGCAAATCTACAATATGGAACAATAATTCTTGTGTCCAATAAAATTGGAATCGACTCATTAAGATGCCGAATCTGCAATTTATGCTACAGTTACAAATATGTCCATCGATTAAAAACCATTATCTAGAAAATAGAACAGATGCTAATGTCTAGCCATTTTTACTTAAATCTGCAACCTACCTTTCGAAAACCCGATATTGGTCTGTACACGTTACTTTCAGATTTGTTATTGATTTAGAGTTATTCCAATCCGAGGATATTGCAGAACTGTTGGTTCCTGTTTTGGGGTTTGTATTTGTAGACCTCTTTGGTGAAGACAGCCTTTCATGACCAACATCTGTAACATCTGACTCATACCCGGTATCTTGAGAAAGCATCTTTATAGGAACATCTGGAAGATAGTCATATTTGATTTTTTTTTTAACTGGTTTTTGCTGAATTTTTGGCGGACTTTGTTTGCGAGAGTTTGGTTGTGGCACACTCTGCCGCCTGAAGTCGCGTGAAGAAAAGGCTGTTATGGTTATATTATTATCACTTCTCAAAATTATATCTTTGGATTTGAACACATCTTTAACATTAGGTTCTTCAAGTGCGTCCAAAATAGGCGACTGTCGGTCGAATTGTTGTTCGGGCGTTCCTACAGTGGTTTTTGCATTAGAGCAGCTTCGCTGTATTGCTGCTTCTTCTTTGTCTCCTTCGTCAGTCTCTTCCAATAATCGATCTTCCTCCTCAGTAGTTAAATCATATTCGTCTAAAAAAAATGAGCATGTATGCATGTATACTGAGAAGCAAGTTGGAAAGAATATTCCAAGAGATACTTTGGAGTGTGATTTTTAAAAATGATACTAGAAATTTGAAAGAATCAGTTTTCTGTTTGTACAGGGTGGCCGATATGTAACTGACTGGTTTGTATCTTGAATATTTGAGAAACTGAATGAAATACGTCCATTTTGTCTTAATCTTTTATTGAAACTTATTTATACTAAGTGACATATAAATCCGAACACCCAGTTTAAATGGTTTTATTTTAATAAAAGTTGGTGAATGTATTTATCTTACTGTAAATAACAAGTGAAAAAATTTTCAGCCTTATCAGTTGGACATTCCGGTTTTTATACTGCTTTTTTTTAATTCACTAACGCCCTAAAAATGAATATTTCAGCCGCAGTAAAGAATCAACGTTGGCGGATTTTGGTTCTTTACATCTTTTACGATCGGTTACGATGCCTAGAGTACGGAGACCTGTACGATTTCGTCAACTTAGTGAGTTTGATAGGGGCCGTATAGTGGGACTTCGGGAAGCTGGACTTTCTTTTCGGGCAATTGCAGTTAGAGTGCAAAGAAGTGTAGACACTGTGGTTAGGTGTTGTTAGGCATGGCTTCGAGAAGGCCGTACGCAAAGAACAAGGGGCACTGGACGCCGCCGTAGAACAACAGACCGTGAAGATCGCCGCCTAAGATTATTGGCCTTAAGGGACCGTTTCTCCACTACCAGGTCCATTGCTAATGAATGGTTTGCAGAACACGGAAGACCTATTGGCATGCGAAGTGTTTACCGACGAATGAGAAATCGAGAAATTAAACGTCCCGGAAATAGTGTTTTGCACCGTATCACGGTAGCGTTCGCCAGTGACAGTAAGAGAATTACCTGTAGCGTCTTCAAAGAAGTAAGGTTCAATGACATCTACGTACCAAACTGTGACTCGACGAGGATATAGTCGTCGTTGATGGATGACACGAGGGTTCTCTAAGGCCCAGATACAATTATGCTTATTAACAAATCCGTTCATATCGAAGTGGGCTTCATCGCTCATTATCAGTTGTCGTTATTTTGGGTATTAAGCTGCAATATTGCATGGGTGTATTGTCGGCTGTAGTTCTTGGGTTAACTCAATTTTGTAAGCTCGCAAATGCAAGTCTTTTTTTAAAATAGTGCATAATGATGTGCTACGAATACCCAGTTCTTGAGAACGATGTCTGGTGGACGTTTCAGGGCGCTCCACTACACTTTCACGAACTCTCTCTCATTATTTAAGTAAAACGTTTTAACAATACGGACTCGTTGTTGACCTACTGAAATGCGTATATCAAAAATGGCGCACACTTTAAATAAATCGGTTATATATATTGGCCACCCTGGGTTATCAAAATGTAAAAATTTGGGAGTTATGTTTTATAATAGTCTCCATCCTTAGCTGCGTCTACTGATAATCATTCTTTAATAGACATCCTTGGGGAATCTCCACAAATAATGTCCAGTGAGGTTAAATTTGGTGATCTCGCCAAGCAGAGGACGTTACCATTCCAAGTTTCCCCAGCCATTAGTATATCACCCCTGAAGAAATATTGAGGTGGATATTGTGCAATTAGGGCCACAAGATGTCCGTATTTGTGATAACGCTCGCCGTCTATACATTTACCGATCAATCATCTTAATTTTTATGAAAAAAAAATGCCGTCAAGCAGATTGACTATGCACTTCCCGCACAACGCTGTCATAAGTTCATGAAAGTTCAGGTTCGGCACACGTTAGTCCGTCCGAGAAAATTTAGCTACGAACACATATCAAAAAAATTAAACGGATCAAGACCGTTACACAGGAAACTAGTACATAGTCACCACCCACTTGATACCGTTGCGATCTATAAATTGCCTTCCTACCTTACCGACCATCTGGTAATGGTGCTATGACTAACCTCGCCACTTGCAAGGCACTCGTTGGTCGAACCGCGTCGAAGAGGTATATCCAGCGACGCGCGAATTGAAAATACGTTTTCCTCATTTCGAGTTTTAAGAGAAAATTTATGTACTATCACGTGCAGAGGACTACCAATAAAAAAAGAAAGACCTACGCAGAACACCGAAAAGCTGACAAAAATGCAATTTCTGTTGTATTCGTGCTATTTCCAACGAAACAGGGTTTTTTGGGTCGCTGATTTCAAATCTGAAGTTGCTTTGCTTCAAGGTCATATCAAGGATATTTTCAAAAGAAGCCGAGCAGTTGATCCCAACCGCATGTCATTAGGTTTTTCGGTTCACTAAGCCCGAATCAGAGGTCAATCAGTCACTACAAGAGCATCTGAAGGTCATTTCAAGGACAAATTCGAGTCCACACGCGAGACACACAGGTTTTAGTGGTCACTGAATCCAAATAAGAGATCAGTATCGGTCTCGATAGTTTGCAAAAGCTAGCAAAAATTGAAGCTACATTTTATGTGGCAGTTCTTCAAGGTTGAAAAAATCTATTATTCCAATTGGGGCAATGGACGGAACCCTATTACAAATCTCTCGGAATAATTCTAATATAAAGAAGTGAAGCTAAAAATAGTAATTCGTTCAATTCACGGTGTACATGAAGTCAAGAATAATGCTTGACTTCTGTTGCAGCAAATGAAACTGCCCACCCTCTTTATTATGATCCATATTCAAATGCTCAAATGTTTTCAACGCAACATGAAGGATAATATACTAATTTTGCTGTTAAGAAGTAGTGCTGAATGATGATACACAATAAACGTCTCTCCAGTTTGCGGGTTATACTTTAATTATGTGTAAAAGAACTTAACGGAAAAGGTTTGCTTCTCTATTCTTCAACTCAATGGGCACAGCAATTTCAACATTGTAAGACCAAGACATTATTTGTAACCTATATGTTTAACAGTACATCTCAAAAGAGATAAGAGCTCTTACCAAGCATTGAACTTATAGGTGAACTTGCTGTTGAGCATGAAGGTATTCCCAAAGGACTCTTAGCCAGTTCAACTCCAATTTGTGAACTTGTTGGACTTTTCTGTTCACCACTTGAAAGACTACCATCATTCTCATCATCTGAACTGTCTATTGCACCTTCACAGCCATTTTTCAACATCATCATATTTATTGGTATATAATTATCATACCTTTTGTCTGGCACGTCCACATATGTGAACGGTATCATGTCACTAAAAAGAAAGGCATTACCTAAACCAGAAAAACAATAACTTTTGCATTATGTAGCATGGTGAATGTTAAATGAATGAAAACATTCCATTTACATGCAGTGACATATTATTTCTCCATGTTTTCAACAATTATACACTTACCTCAAATAAGATCTATTAGAAACATTTGACTTAATGAAAGGTGCCATTCTAGGACTTCTTCCAACACTAGCGATTTTGGTAGCATCTTTGTCACCTAATTCAGTATTATCTTTAATGATCATACTCTTATTCGACCTGACTGGAGGTCTATTTGGAATTCTTCCTGAAGCTAAAAGTGAGCATGAAAAAATATTGTATCATTCAACTTGACATTTTTTCATTTCCATTCCTCATGATTCTAATATATAATCTTCATTAATGTTCACAGTACCTCTATAATCTTGAACTGAGTATAAAGAAAAATTTCTCATAGGTACCAACTTTACTTCTAGAAGCTTTATGAGACAACTTAGCATAATAACATTTATGAATCAACTTTTCTTATTCTATAATGATTTATATACCAATTTATTAGAACAGGAACTTGTAATGTAGATGTTTAACGAGATTCATAATCCCTTGTTTACAGTGACATAGCCTACCGTTTTTATTCATCATACAGCACTACAATTGTTGTATTCCTCCTCCTGAAACTGCTAGGAGTGATTTTGACACTAATGAACAATTCAGAACTGAATTGATCAACATGCGATAACTTTGATCAATACAATCAGAACAAAAGAACAGCAATTGTCATGAAGACATATGTGAGATTTTCCAGTGAGAGTAATTTGTTACTATGTTCGCTAATGGCAGGTTACTGCTCATAAATTATGGGATAAATCTACCTAATGTATTAACATGCTTACATCTTTAAAAATATTACAAAATGCCTAAATTCCATGCTGCTCATTCATTCATGATTACTTATGATGATTTTTTAAATGTTTGATTTTTAATTATGGGATATGTTATGCCATGAGTGCAATAAAACTGTACATAATATACATATACATACATACTCAATCTAACAAAAGAAATATAACAATGTGTTCAAACCGAGGATATCTGCTGCAAATTAATTTACATGCATTTACATTACTATCTGATTACTCAGCCAGCTCATAAAATTGACTAGGGGTTCACCAACTACTACTATTTTCAACAAGTTACTCTTGGTCAATTTCGAAAACTGGGTACTCAGCTACTATCATTCATATACAGTGAAATTCAGTTTAGAAAGGTCTCTTTAATCCTTAAACTGATTCATGTTATATTGAAAAATCAAAGCACCACTACATAATAGTCACCGCTACAATCTTTTGCGAATAGACTGCCCCAGTTCAGGAAATAACTGAAACTATATTCCCCAGTAAAATACCCTTAAAAGTATCAGTAAAGATTTTTCCTTTGCAAATATGGTAAATGCATTAGTTTACTTGAGAAAAGTCTACATATACTAAAAATCTGCCAATTAGACTACCTACTGATTCTGGGAATTATGTGCAGTAACTTTGTATATTTGTTGTTGATGCATCAACTCCTTGGAAAATATGAACTCAAGCTTTACATATTACCTATGGAATTCTTTTGTTTACTCCAGCTATGTGTCTGGCAGGCAGGCTGAGTAATTTCCTGGATGAGTAATTTATGTTGATAAAATACACCAAGCAGGGCCCGTACCATGTAAAAAGTGAATACTTGATGCATCCCTAGTTATTGCTTCTACTACTAATACTATTAACGATCTACCAGATATTAGACAAAATTTGACAGACATATTAAATACCATTGTTAAGTCAAGGTTGGATGAGAAGAGCTTAAGCTGAATGCATGCCTAGCAGGTACAATAAGGGCAAATGAACATTATGTGTGCATACAAGATTATATAGTATGGATGACTTAATGAATAGTGAAGAATTACATTTAAGGAAATTTTGGTCAGTACAATCTTTCACCTAGATTAAAATTTTGGAACAAGGGTTATCAATAAGGTGTTAAAAGTAGATTTTATATCTTAATCATGAGTAATTCCACCAAGAACATTGATGGATTTACGATAGTTCAGATAGCATTAACATTAAATATCTTCAAATGCTATAAGTTAAATTTAATTAAGCTGCCTACTCACTCAAAGATGTGGGGGATTAGGGACTGGTGAGAGCTGTTCTGAATGTCAAAACCAACATTTATGCCACCCAAATTGAATCACACTGATTTATGGAACTGTCTGTGTGCAATATAAGAATGAAGAAACTATGTGCGTGTTGATTTAAACATCAGGGTATGGAATGTTGGTTCCCCATCACTTTGTTATCAAAATGTGAGCAGGTAGCATTTCAGTAGATACCCTCTTAGCTATTCTTACAGTAATAAAGGTAGGCAATAGCCATTGATGTAGGTGCATTATGGATGAAATCATGATTCAGCAGTTAAAAAAAAATGCCAAGCAGAATGGTCCAAGCCCTGTCAACATTAGTTAAGAGGATATCTGCTACATTTTACATGTATATATATATAAACAAAAATGAAACAAAACACAATAGTTCACCTCTCGGCCTAAGATTGTACCCAACTGTGGGGATGGTTTCAGGTAAGGTGTGATCTTGTTGAGGATGATTCAGGTTATTACAGGATTTGTTAGACGATAGTGACTTTAAGATCTTGTTAACATGCTTATTTCTGGGAATCTGGACAAGAAGATGATCATCATCCCTACCTCTTGTAGGTGATATTTCCTGTTTTTCACTATTGACATCTTGAATGCTGGATTTATTATTTGCGACAGTTAAAACTCGGTCAGGAACTTTCCTTTTTCTTATGCGGTCGTGTCCTACCATTTCGGAAAGTGGTTGAAAATTAAAAATTGCACAAAAACCACTACCATCCAATTTTTTTGAGGTAACTGCATACCACAACAATGTGAGCAAGACTACAGTTTAAGATGGTGTATATATTGAGCACAACTCCATGATGCTTTTCCTCTGTTATCTGGAAAAAATATATATTTCCAAAGATAAGCGAAAACTACAAACTCATAACTCAATATGCAAAGAATCCCAAGCCCGAACCCCAAACAAAAAAATTTTCATTTTCATAGTTCACAGAATTTGAGAATGTCCAATGTTGCCGAACCGAAAAAGACGAAATCAGTAGTGTCGTAAAAATTACCCCTATTAAAGAAGCAGTTAACAAGCGTATGCTTTTGAATCGAACAGCAATTCCAAAAACCACAAAATTGCTAGGACGAAAAAATCGGTCATTGCAAGATCAGCGGTGGATCAAGGGCTTCGGCTTTTGCGTCACCCAGCGCCATCTGTTAAAAATGATATTTTTCCTACAGAAATCCTAACGTCTTCATTACAACCACATTACAACTTCGACAATAAACATATTGGTCGCTTCACAAACTCCTTTGCAACCATCACCTTGAACATTTTTCCCATTCTCGTTACTTAGATTGGGAGCGTTTTTCTGTTTTACCTTTGAACTTGAAACCCCATTACCTGACACAAGCATTGGTTTCCTTGTTGCTTCGCTTGTGATGCGGTTATGACGGTGATCTACCAGTCTGTACCTATTGTACGTACAATAAACCAATACACGGAAAGTGGAGTAAGGATTTGTGCACATAATTATTGGTAAGCCAAATCAACGTCCCTCTCGTGTGTCCAACAGCCACGGGCTCGGACTTGCAGGAAGAAAAATGAGGAAAGGGGAAATAAGGAGACGAAGCGGAAATTAAAAAGGGAGAGGATAGAAGGAATGAAAGGAGAGGGAAACGTAGGAGAGAGGGAAGAAGAAAATTAAGAATTGAGTGTGGAGTTTTGTCATCTCATTTGAGCGCAAACAGCTTAACAATACCCCCTGAAAGTATTCAACCCACACTACTTGCCCCCCCAAAAGACGTGACGTTGGATCCGCACCTGGTACGCATTGTATATGATTGTTATGGAGCAAAAACATAAATAGTTTCATTAAAAAAATCTGTAAATATCTGAATTATTTTGAAAAATCGTGGAAAACGATGACGTTTTTGGTATTCCTGTAAATAAGGCTCATTAAGGTAGAAATATTGAAAAACTGGTAGATTCGGCAGCGCTGTCACCGATATTAGTGTTAGTGACTGACATCTGACATGAGTGTATGTGACGTGCGAAATGTCATTATTGGTAAGATGTCGCCAACAGGTATCGCAAAGAAGGCGCGGTTTAGCAAGCAAGTGACTTCTGGGCACCAACCACGCGTTTGCTGATTGGTCAATTCCTAAAATTTTGAGAAACATTAAAAGCCCATACAAAAAACAAAAACATAACCCTAAAAAAGTGTAATTTATTGGTATTTTTGCCTAAAACTAAGATAAAACCTATCTATTTAATCTGTTTGGATTCATTCAAGTTGATCTGAAAAGCATAATGGTTATTATAATGTTTCGATTCTGTTGTATTGAGGCTAAAATATTGATTTTCAGTCTGTAACATTACATACTGATTTGGGGGACATCAAAATTGAGATCTTCTGCGAGTCTTGTCCGAAAGCCTGCGAGAATTTTTTAGCCCTATGTGCGAGTGATTACTACAATGGATCTTTGTTCCATCGAAATATAAAGGGTTTCATTGTTCAAACTGGAGACCCTACAGGCACTGGAAAAGGGGGAACTTCAATATGGAATAGAAAGTTTGAAGATGAGTTTAAGGAACAGCTGAAGGTAATTCATTCAATTGACAATGTACCTACCAAAAGCATATACAGCTAATACGAGCCCCTTCCCACTTCAGTTGGCCCACTTCAAGATTTGTACCAAAATATGCCTTTATAAACTAAACATGACGAAACTATTTACTTCTAAAACAATTTATTTTCTTAAAAACATTTTAGATACACTCTAGTCTTAAAAAATACATATTTGAAATCACTTAAGACCTACAACTAATAGAACATCTGAATAAATAAACAATGTGCGAATAAAAGCGCGAAGGTAACAAAGCAACAATTGAAAGATTAGCATTGGGTAACATCACCTTTATTTTTTATTACGGCTGAAATTCTTTGGGGCATAGTGTTAACCAAGTTTTGGCAAAAATTTGGTGTAAAACAATCCCATATTTCTTGAAGCTTTTGTCTCAGTTCGGTGATTGTACGAGCAAGATGTTGTCGTAGAACCTTTTACATCTCGTGCCACAAAGTTTCAATAGGTACAGATCTGGACTGCTAGAAACCCATGTCAAAAGTGGTACATTATTTTCTTTCATCCATTTTATAGCCTTTTTTGAGGTATGGCACGCTGCACCATCTTGCTGAAACACAAAATCTTGGCCAGATGTCAAACATTCTTCCATCACTGGTAAAAGCGATTCTTCTAATATTGCCAAATATTTATGTGTATCTACATTTCCATCAATAAAATGAAGTTTTCCTACTCATTTTGATGACATACTACCCCAGACCATAATGGATGCTGGAAATTTCACTTTTCTCTTCAGACAGTCATTTTTTTTGCGAATAACTCTACTGCGACTGTCACCAACACAAACTTCGAATCGGGCCCCATCACTCCATTGTATTGCACACCATTGTTGAGGTGTCCATTGTCTATGTTCTTTAGCTCATCTAAGCCGATTTCTCTTTTGCAGTGGAGTTAATAGTGGTTTTTCTTTGGCCTATAAACAAGTTGTGCAACTTTAGGGTTTTTACTTCACTTTCTTTTTTATGAGAAAACTTGCCATGCAAGTGCTAAATCCCAGTTTGTGGGCCTCTCTATAAGTTGTGGACCTCGACCTCCTTCCAACAGCGTCACTCCACAGAGCACTAAATTGTAAATAATTGGCGCGCCTGTTTTTCACGATTATTCTTAATGCTCTTCGGTGGGCATTTGTGATATTACTTTTTTTCACATATCGTGGCTTAATATTAACTGAACCAGTTACGTTATATCTTCTAACAATATTTCTCACACTGTACGGCGATAGGTCTAACAAAGTTGCAATTTCTGAGTTTGATTTCCCAGAATTAAAAAATTTAATTATCAGTAACCGAATTTTCTCACTAATAACCTTTCATCTACCCATTTTGAAAACCTTAACTACCCAAAACTATTTAAAACGTATTCTGACAGCTGTGATTAATAAAAACAATTGTCATGGCTTTTATTTTTCACAGCCACCTATGCGTTATAGACTTATTTTGCATTGAAATGAAAATAGGTTGATATACTTTAATTGCAACATGTGTTATTTTTATGCTGCAAATTTGATTAGGGAGTGACAATGTTGGTGTTTTCTACTATAAATTATCAAAATATTCATTGTTAATATTTCAAACCTATAATACCCTGCTACATTTTTGTTATTTTTGTTTGATAAGAAAAAAACTAAGATTTCAATATTTAGACCAACTGAAGTGGGAAGGGGCTCGTACACTAATGTTGGCTCACTCTTTGCCTCTTGGTATTATGGAAATAGTTAACCAATGTGATAGGTAATTCAATTTAACTTTGTTGTACAATTTTTCAATGCTTTACTAAAATATGATCAGTATAAAATGAGAATTAGGGGCACCTATTATGTAATAAGTTACTATACAGTTTTTTTCTAGCATAGTGCAAGAGGAACAGTTTCTATGGCTAACAATGGACCAGACAACAATGGTAGTCAATTTTTCATAACTTATGCAGCCCAACCACACTTAGATTTGAAATATACAATATTTGGCAGGTAAGCATTGGCTTCTTCTAAAATACACCACCAAGTTTCTGGGCTCAAAACCTAAGAGAGCATTATTTGTATTTTCCTGTGATACTAGAGACAACATGCTATAGCTAGGCATAACTTTAGAAGCCCAGAGAGTACTGAAACTTTGTGCAGTTCACAAAATGCTCTCTTTACCTTCAGTTATAGGTGCTGAATATCTTATTATGTCCCTCTAGTACTATATATTATAAAGGATTAAGGGTGGTTGAAAGATGGATGCATGAGCACAATTTAAGTCATTTTTATCAATGACAGAACACTAATTATATTCTTGAAAATTTGTGATCAGTGTGAAATGTTTCAATTAATATAGTGGTACATCTTTTGTTCCTATATTATTATCATATTGTTTCAGGGTTATTGATGGACTAGAAACACTTGATGAGTTGGAAAAAGTACCTGTAAATCCTAAGAATTTTAAACCAGTCAATGATATAAGGATAAACAGTGTAACTATACATGCTAACCCTATTGCAGGATAAGCATTGATTTTAAATATTATATTATGAAAGTATTATTACCATAAAACGGGGTTACATTGCTCCAATTTTACGTACTATTTTAGGATTACTATAAAAACAAATCATGAAATTTAACTAAAACCCATTATTCGTTCAGTACTCACAGATTATACCTAATAGAATGAATATTTGTTGGAATTTGCATTTTAGATTGTCAACAATACATATTTTTTTTTTAGTTGAAAAGTGGAGCAAAGTATATCATAGCTTGGGATTACTTTGCTCCATTTAAAAACATATGTTATAATGCATTCACCCATATAGGTGGAGCAAAGCTACGTGGCTGATTTGTCAACTTTTCTCCAAGAAACATAACTATGAAGCAATTTTCTTCATATTTTCTTCCAAATATATGTTATTAAAAAAATCGAACTTACGGAATAATATTCTTTATTTGTATGGACAACTCAAAATAAATCATACAAAACAAATAGAAACATAAGAAATAATTTTAACATAGATCAAAAAGTGGTGTTAACTCAGGAACAGAGAAGGTTCCTCTTTTGGAAATTTTCTTGGGTGTAGCAATGCCGCCTAGAACGTCAGACCAAGGGTACGTTAGTTCGTCGCGTCTTGAAGGCCATTTCCACATCTTAAGGGACTTTTCCATCGCGTTTATAGTAACTTTTTCGTCATCAAAAGCTACAATTTCCGCTGGGAATAATTGTCCCATATAGGAGAATACTACGAAACGACCCACTTCTCGGATCACGTTCGCAAAATGAAATTCATTTTTTTGACCTTCTATAAAACTCATAAATTCCTTTTCTATCTGTTGATCTTTGTCCAACTCTTCAAAGTTGACATCGTCCGAAGAGTTGTCATCAAATACTACATCTTCATCCTGTCTGGAAAAAGAAGCAGTAAGCTCGTCTAACGAGGTCTCTTCAGTAATTATGGATTCATCGGCGCTAACGCTTTTTCCAGCAGGAACGTTTATCTTTTTTTTACGCTTGGTTCTAGTGTTGGTTATCGCTGTCCGTTTCGCTTCAAGAGATTCTAGAAACGCTGATTGAACTACATCCGGATTGCAAGTACTCCTAGGGATACGGCTTAGGACTTCTTCGATATTCAAGGGAAATATACCGCACTTTCGGAAGCCAGCTTTTAAGTTAGCCTCAGCATATGGCGTAATAATTTCCATCAGCTTTAATAACAATGGAGGAAAGAATTGTTTCTGGATATTTGTATTTCGAACACCTTCTTCACTGTTTTTCCAATCTGATAAAACTTGACGCCATGCAATTTTTAAGGGTCGAAAAAATGCCACGTCAAGTGGCTGTGTCAGATGGGTACTGTTGGGTGGAAGACAAATTAAGTGTATTTCGTTTTTGCGACACAGATCGAGAGAATGTATTGTTATGTGAGAGGATAAGTTGTCACACAGTAGAACTTTTTTCCTTCGATCTTTTTAAGTCTAGGTATCATCTGGCATTCAAGCCAATCTGTGAATATATTAGCATCAAACCACCCAGAGCTACTTGCATTATAACGGCACCCTTTTGGGCCGTTTTCTGCCCAGGTAGTCCACATCTTATGTGCCCTGTAAACTACATATGGAGGCAACAGTTCTCCAGCGGCGTTACCACAGAACATGATGGAGATAGATGTTTTTGATGCATTTCTAATAATTTCTGGATACTTGGTTCCTTTCTTAACCAGGACTTTTTTTTTGCCTGGGTCGTCTGTGAGGTTGGTTTCATCGAAGTTCCAAACGTTTGATGGAGGAACGTCCTTCAACTCACCAGCCAGGTTTTCGCAAAAGCTTCTTAATAACGGTTCATCCACTGCAGCTCGTGTACGTTTGATATTTTCTGCAAAACGTATTGAAATTTCAGGATGTCTAATTATAAAGGCATTTGTCCAATCTTGTCCTGGTAAATTATCCTGAAAGGTTTTCACTTCCCTTCCGCAGCGACTTAAATAATTTTTGATGATGTGTCTCAATTCCCTTGAGTTGATAGGGAACCCATATTCTCCCAGCGCTACGATGCATTCGACAAATTGGTGTTCTTCTTGAGATGTGAATATAGGCTGCTTTCCTGGTTTTTTGCAATGGTTACCTTTGAGTTTATTTAAAATTGTTCTTCTTGGAATTTTATACTTTTGTTCCGCTTTTCTGTGTGATATGTCACCACTTCTGATTTCAGCCAAACACATTTGCAAAGTTTCGGCTGTATAATCTGCATACCTCCTCGATCCCACTCGTCTTTTGTATTTTCTAGGCATGCCTGTAATGAAAGGGATCATATGAAAATCATAAAGCAGTCCAAAAATGATATACCGCATACTACAGAAACTATAAAGGAATTTAGTGGGGTTACTTTGCTCCGGAGCAAAGTAACCCCAAATAATTGAAATTTTGCCTGTCTCAACAAGAAAAATATTATCTTACTATTTTATCGTTTATGAAGGGTAAAGTTATTAACAACATATTCTAAAATGATATTAAACTAGTACAAAAATACTCACTTGCCAGATAAAATGAAAATATCCACTGCACACAACAAATTTCCACGTTCAAATTTCTACAGCTTTTTTTGCTACCGATTCAGCCTCAGTCTGTTTGTTTACTAATGCTGGTGGAATGATGGTTTAGGCGGGAGTCTTTTCCAGGGAGGTAACCTTCAATATTTTGCAGTTTGTTTGGTTGCATACCTATCTCTTCTAATAATAAAAGTACGAATAAACTCTTTTCGGTCAAGGGGCAAAGTAACACCCATAGGAGCAAAGTAGGCCCCGGTTTACGGTATAGGTTTATATTTTGTATTTGAATGCAATTCCATTCTTTGTGTTTTATGTTGTATTTAAACTAAATAAATTAATTTGAAATACAGATAATGAATGTTAATACAAACACTTATCCAGGAACCTTAAAATTTCTAGATGTTTCACCAATTATAAGGTTTCTTAACCTGGGTTGAATATATTGTTGTAATTTGTAGCACAATATTCATAATAAATATTGACAAAACGAACTTAGCTTTCTCGAAATCATTTCAGTTTGCCGAAATAAATCCTGGTTTAAACATTTTCTAAAACTATCCGACTTGATTTGACCCCGAGGTGGCGTAACTGTTCGTCCGAGAACTTACGGCATATTTGAGAATATACAATACAGTCTGATGTCTTTAAATACTATACAACTTGAAGGCCACAGCGGATATACAATAGCAATACCAGGTAAATACTAGCGACCTAGCATCTGAATCCGATGTGATCTCCACAAAACGTATACTCCGTACTCCTTGGTTGCACATGGTGCTAGAAGGACACTGTCGCCATATACCCTCATTTACGATCTCTATGATGCTTGATATTGTATATGGTATTAGAAATGTCAACTTTCTGGTCAGTGTCGTAACAGTTTGAGCTATAGAAAATGAGTCCGAGAATTAAACCTCGGAACCCTGTATCTCGTTAACGCTAAACATATCAACACACAAGATACCTATTTCTACCATAGCCGGTCAAATGACCGGACTATGTTTCCTGAATGAATGTATGAAAGTGTAACGAAAACACCGTTTTTACTGTTCAAAGTCTTACTCCCAGTACCGGATGCTCCGCTGTTCGTTTTCGTCCGCCGGCGCGCATGACGTCACGCAGAGAGTGACTCTCATCTAGATTGATATGGATAACGTGCATATTTTCACCTTCAGGGCAAACGACTGGATGGATTTTCACATATGAAGTGTTGGATTCGTCTAAGCGGCCCGAGTGACACTAGATACATTAAAATTTTATACAAAACAAAATGGGGGATTTTAATAAAAGATTTCAACCTTGTAATTCATATTTCATAGGCTACAGCTCAAACGGCTTGATAGATTTTCACATATGAGGTGTCGTTGGATTCGTCTTAGCGGTGCGAGTGACTCAATCTACATTAAAATTTTATACAAAACAAAATGGCGGATTTAAATAAAAGATTTCAACCTTGTTATTCCTATCTCATAGGCTATAGCTTAAACGGCTTTCTAGCTCCACAATAGAGCGTGTATCGTCACTTTACTGTAAAAAAAAGATTTTTCTACATTACCTATATTTTAGTATGTTCTGTGGAGCAGGATTAAAATCCTCATGACGTTAATACTGCACTACATTTATTAATCCTTATTTCACAGAACATCCTAAGTACTAACTACATGCAAAGTGTAAAAATGTACGCAACTCGAAAAGTAGAAAAATGGAGTTGTCATCTTTTTGCAGTAAGCTGGCGGTTTAACAATAAATGGAAATGACTTAGTCCAAGTCAAAATTTTTCTCCATTTCCTTTTACGATTTTTCTAGTCTTTCAAACTTTTATTCAGTTCTTTGATCCGGAAGAACATCCTTGACTTGAAAAATAGTTTCTTAGCTTTTTCAGGGCAGTCAATATTGCTGCTCTTTAACAGAAGTTCGCCTATAAAATTTTGCTTTTCTGTTACTATTCCGTCCCCATTGAATCTAGTAAACCCCTTATTAACCTTCTCAATTTGATGCATGAAAGCTGTTACAGGTTTTGATAATCCACTCTCACTAAGATGGTCTATCCAGGTATAAGTTTCAGTTGAGGAACTTTTCAACCTCTTATCCTGCAATTTATGGCAAACAAAGCCGGCCAAAATTTTCCGCCTATCATACTCGAGCTCATCCATTTCTTCCACTAAAACTTCCTCGTTATAGTCAGCTGATACTTCAGGTGCATTAAGTTTATTCGTTAATGATGCGGATAGTTAAATGTCCGGAGTATCCGCTTCCTCTACGCTGCAATACTCTGAGTATGCGCCTTCGTTTCGTCTGAAAATATATGACCTTATTCTATACTTAAACTCTAGGGGATAAGTTGAGCCCTTTGCCTTTTTTCGTAAGCACTTTTCCGCTTTTCCCCAACAGATGTAGATGGTCCAGGTGATGATAGAGACTTGGGTAAATTTTCCATAGGAATGGCATCATCTTTTAGAGCACGATATCTTTTAGGGGTGTAACCCAAGAGGGTATGTTTCAAATTGACTTTCACAAAAGTGCTTCGAGCAAACCCTAGCGCATTTTACATTGACTTTAATTTTTCTTTTTGTATGATATAGCCATTTTTTGCTAAGGTATGGGTCGTGAGAAAAACTGTGGAACTCCATGTCGCTGCAAGGATTCCGTTTAGATTGGTTGTCGGAATTACATCCCACAACAGCACACCGCATTTGTATCAATTATATATAACTAATACAAGTCACAAACGCACCAAAAATTATCAACAAATCGCACTATATAGTATTAACCACGATACACGTGCACTGCAGTAACGTTACGACAATCCTGCCGCTGGTAACCACGAGCTCCGCTCACATGCGGAACATCCTATATCTTCAGTGTATGTGTATCCTCTAATTTATAACAACATTTTTATAACCATGGACTTGATTTCATTTGGCTAGCGACATCTGAGAGTAGCCCGAACAATGACGCCATCAAATTTCAATGGAAAAAACCGTAGGTCATTATGTTAAAGCAGAACATTATCATTTGACAACGAATTATTATCTAGACATCAGGTTAGTCGCAATCATAATTTCGACCGTCTGGCGACTAATGAAATTCATTTCTAACAGTCGCCAAAGTATGATGTTGCACATATGCTCTGCTCTCACAATTTCGACTTCGCGAAGATAATTTCAATGTTGCTTCATTTAGAATCAAGTCCCATGTCCACTGGACAATCGCATTCCGCGCTGTCTACCACTTGACTGTTGACTGTGCTCTATGCTCTCTCTGCATAAGTAGTATATTTATTTTCCATCGATGAATTCCAGAGCCTTCGTGAAAGTTATCCATATGGTGGTAGATGCACGGTGGCGTAACTCTGGTTGCCTAAACGTCGATATTCATATCGTTACTCAAGGTCCCAGTTCAGAGGGCGTTACAAAATGTATGGATTTTAGTAAGAAAATAAGCTAATTAATCTTATTATAATTAACAATATGTAATTAATAGCAATAATCAGAACTCCATTTTCTGGTCGAATCAAACCGCATACAGTGAAATCCATATACCACTGACGTCGTATTGTGTACGTTCAATACGTGTGCTAAAAAGAGACAGAAGCACTTCGTTGCCTAGCAATCTGAGTGACGAGGCCACGAACGCATCTGCCGCTTGCCACGTTGCCACCGGCGCACTCTATCTAACATAAATATTACACGCTTCTTTCTCGTACACATTACGACGTCAGCCAAATTTGAACCTCATCGTATATGTCTTAATATATCTGATCGGCACGGGTATCACGTATCTTGAAAAGTGACATTTTGTAGTTTTTTTTTATATTTGAATGAATATCTGTAAACTACGAGTCAGTCAAGAAACCTTGCCTTCTTCAACGAGAAAGTATTCGCAGTGAAATTGCGGAAAGTTACTATTGAAAATTCTATGGAGCGCGCATGGATATGTAAAGAATAAAATGGCCACTTGCGTGATATCACCTTCTTAACAACTAATTACCCTTTAGTGTAGCAGTGTAGCATATTTATAAAGTTATTTATTTTAAAATACTGCTCGAATAAGAAGGTGAAGAATTTAATCCAAATCGTTCATTTTGCTCTCCCCTGTACTGTGGTACTGCATAGGTAGGTACAGCATGCGCATTGTAGTCTCATTTAGCAGGACTACCCCGTCCGCGTAAAAATAGGTGCTGCAAGGTTACGATCTTGTTAGGCAGCATATTTCTCTAGAGAAGAACAATAGAAATATACTTACATTTTCCGATGAAATGCGCAGTCGAAAACAAGTATGGGATACACTCCGACATACACACAAATCAAATTCCACATTTCTAAAACCACTTCGCTGCTGTTTGTCTGATGGCGTGTCAGGTTTTTCTAGACAACTTTTATTTCTACAAGACTTGTGCTCTCAGAGTTGTTAGCTCGGATCTGATGTGGAAAAATCGAATGACGGTTCATTTTTCGGAGTAGATGCTGATCAGTTAGAAAAGATAAAGTATACACCGAAGGGTATCCAGGAAGTATTTATTGAAGTATCCTAATTTTCACGGTTTGTGGCGCTTACGTCATCAATGCCATACGAAATAAGTCAGCAAATCGAGTAACTAAACCATAATCAAATCCAAGCGAATAACAAAAATTTCTGTTATGTGCCGCGGTTATAATATGGTTCAAGATGACACACACGAATCGCTTGAACGAGTTGGTTTTAACCGCGGTTTTGTTGCAAGTTGTTTATTTTAGAAAAGCGCGTATATAATCTCTGATTATTTTTATTATCACTTAATAATCGGTGCTTTTTCGTCTACAACTGTATATGGAAAGTTTAAATAAGAAACCTTTCATAATAGTCATGGGACAAATGTTTTTTTCAGATTTTTTTTAATGATGGAACCATGGCTTTGTAGCTATGATAAACTTTCAATTCTCTAAATTTTTCCGCATGTCAAAGAAAACATTTATTGATTCAGCAGAAATGATGAAAAAAGAAATTAGCAAAACCGTATACAGGTGGATATCATCTAGTGAGTTTATATGGCCATATTTTAATATTCTTGTGGTATATGGCTACACAGGATACTTTGTTAAGCATAGGAACTGCATTTAAAGTGTCCCCAACAACCGTAATGAGTATAACTAATAAGGTGCTCCACTTTAAGGTAAAAATTTAAAAATTCAGCCTGTATCATTTTTCTCAAAAATGAAGCTGAAGTACAATAACAATATCCAATACCCGGCAAAATTCTCACTTGTCACATTTCAAATAATAACCAGAAATATAAAACTACTCTTGAGTTGGGTAAATACCACAATTTTGCGGTGATAAATATGACATATAACAGCTGATTCGTGACGTCACGGATCTTATAACCAAACTGATAACTACACTCGCTTGAACGGATTGGTAAATACCAACCCAAAATGGTAAATACCATTTACCATTTGGTTATCGGCTTGAATTTGATTCATGTGTAGAGATGAAGCTCCATTGGGAAATTGCGC